GGTTTGGAAAGAACGGGAACGCCCTAACCTCCCCTCTCACCAATCCCTCCCTTCATCCAAGATGAAAAAATGGAGAAAAGGAATCTCGCGAGGGCCCGGACGAGTCTCTTTGATACTTTGGGTTTTTTAAACGTGGCATCTCGGGATGTTGGTTTGCTTCCATGACAATTGCTTTTAATACCATTAGAAAACACGGTACTTCAAGTTTAAGATCGCGATGCAATTTTACTGAAAATTTAATTCGAATGTTTACTTGATTCAGCCTCCGATCTTAGCTCGTTCATAAATCTCAGCTTAATTAAAATAGAATGTACATCGTTTACGATTAGAAATTTTACGTAATAACTATGAATATATTCTTTACTTTATAAATATTGTGTTTAAATCGCTGTTAATGTTGCAGTGATCACGAGCTTGCTAAAAGCTACAAAATCAATTAAGCCAACCAAAATAGAAAAAATTCATTTAAAATATTATTCAATCATTAAAATAGTACACTCGCTAAGTCTGCGATTGTATCTATTCTCATTAAATATGTTAATGGAATTTACTAACTTTCTAACGATCTCATTTCTATAAATATTGGATAGGCTTGGTGTAATCTTGAATTTACGTAAAATAAAAATTTCGTTTAGAAAATTATTTAAATTGAATTTCAATCTTCTTTACTGCCTCTTCTTTACTGAAAATAAATAAATTTCTGAAAAATAAGAATTCATTATAAGTAATCGATGAAATTTCATGGTCGATTCTACTTTAGTAAATAGTTTTACCAATATTTGTCATAGTGTTACCGAAATAATTCTAATGCCAATATTTATAATTAATAATAACAACAACAATAATAATAGTAATAATAACGATAATGATGATCCTCGATTATTATGAATGCGTACGAAATATGATCGGACATGAAATATATAAATATCTAAAATTCCTCCTACTCCATTTCAAATTACGTAAATTAAAGTTAAATACGATCGATTTCTTAGCAATTAATGTGTTGAGCACGTGTGTCATTGAAATGAGAAAAATAAAAAATCATCTTGACAATAGTTCCGGTGTGAAAGCACATTCAATATATTCTCTTCAACTCTCGATCCTTTTGCATGAATAGCTCTTTCTTGATTTTAGAGGCAATTATACTCACTAAATTAATAATATTAGTCTGCACAGTCATAATTGTAAGTTGAGAAATCTAGGCTTCGAGTTAGATCGCAACAACAATGTATCAAACTAAGAAATTCAATAATATAATTAGTAACCGTGTCAATTTGCTCAATGATTAAATTAATTGTAATCTAAGCATTTAAATAGCACTATATTGACAAATAACACCATTAAAAATTAATTATTTTTATACATGCCTTATAATTTGTTACATTTGATATTATATATATATATATATATATATATGTATATGTATATATATATATATTATGATGAAAAATATAAAATGTCATAAAAATAAAAGAAACAAAACATCGATTATTAAAGTTATTAACTACAATAATAATAATGATCGACTATTCTAGAATAGTCATATTTTATCTAATAATTACAAGTAATTAAATACTTATAATGTAATTATTATTTATCATATCTTAAATTAAATTATATTATAATGTATCAAATAAATGTGGCTGGTGGTCGATCATATAGTTTAATAAAGAAACAATTACATAAATTTTAAACTGAATTTCTTCTCTTATCTTATAAATCATTTCTAATAGAATATTAAATAGTGAATTCCAATTAAAAGAACAAGAAAATGAACTTTCATTTTAATCTTTCCAACAAATTTCAGTAATCCATATTGTTAAATTTTTTAAAACTTATTTAATAATAATAATTATTATTATTATAATGTATGAGAGATACAAAATTTAATTATGTTTTCAAATTCATATAATTATCTTCGATAAAACTTGAGTTTTTTCAATTATTTTAATATTTTCATTTCCCATATTGATTATAAAAATATGCTAATCATTCTTGTTTGTAAAAATATCATCTAATATATATTTATCAAATTGAAACAAAACTTTGTATTAAAAAATTCTTCATTTACGCAATGCAATGCTTATTTATATATTCGTGACATATACTTCATATAGTATCCGATTAGGCGGAAGAATCCATTGAAATTTATAAATAAAAGAGAACACGAAAAAATATCTACAATTTAATTAAATTTCCGTTACTTTGTTAAAATTTCAACCTGCTTTAAGCTTAAAATTAGCTTATGTAAGTCCCTGCATGTTTCTCTACTTTTGTGTTTTGGTAAAAGAAAAAAAAACATGCAAAAAGCATCGATTAAAACAATTAACCGTAACCGCACAACGACGACAGCGAATTTCCTCAAAAATATTTCAATCATTTTTCTCGGTGCATTTCGACAGACATTTTTCAGATTGCAATCAACGAGAGACAAATGAGCCAAAATGAAAAAAAGGATGAAAGAAATAAAATTCTGCGCCTATGTTACTTATAAGACCATACATACTTAATCAAAATATCCTTGAACGACATCTTTAGAGATAAGTTATGTATTGTTGTTTATACATATGTTTGTACAATGATAGAGGGAGTGTGTAAACAAAATGCTCATTTTTCATAATTGAATAAAGCAGTTGCTTTATTTAGTTTGCAATAAAGTCTTGCTTGTCGGGAGAAAAATAAATATTATTCACAACGAAAATTATAAGCAACTAACAAATATTACGTTAACCGATTGGTAAAAGCAAATTGAAAATTACTTTTCTTATTACACCTAATCTTAAATCATTTATGTTCCATACATTAAAATTTATATTAAATAATTAGTACAGTTAATTAAATCGTTTAAATATGCCATTAAAAAGCAATTTATTTTTCAATTTTTATATTTAATATAATAGTTAAAGAAAAAAGAATGTTTATAATTGATGATGAAAAAGTCAAGGTGATATACTTCTTCTCATTACTTTAATTCATATTTATATAAGTACTGCTCAAATTTATTTTTTGTTAATCTCTTTGAAACGCGAGTCCTTGATGCAAGATCGAGATTATATATGAAGTAAAAAAAAAATGATTGGCCTTTTAAAGACATATTATTTAATGGTCTGGAATTTATTGTAACAAAATTCAAGGTTGCATTCGTGTATTACTTTTTTAACTTGTTTTACCATACTACTTCACATTTTCAAAGACTTGCAATTCTTAATTCAGAAGACTATTCAACTGAATTGAGGGGATAATGCTAAGAAGAAAGAGTGAGAAAAAAAATTGTTTAATCTACGTAATGAAAAAGTTTCCGTATCTTGCAAACTTATAAGTCTATATAAGCAGTTAAAGGAAAACTGTTTTTTACAAAATTTATATTTCTTTTTCTTGCAGTCTTTAAGTACTTGTTTGCTTTTTTAAATGTCTGCATTTAAATAGATTTATTACACAATCGTTTCACGATTGCCACATAAAAATATTATAAGAGCTATAATATATGTTCAGGAGTTGAGAGAGAAAATACGAGAAAAGAAAAGGTGAAATTATCATTGAATGACAGCTGATTTTGCTTATAAAGCTTAGCTTCACAAGGTCCGTAGTATCGCCACTCCACTACCCGCCGTATGCAAAAAAATTTTCAATTCAATTTTCAATCGTATAACAATTCTAAATGTTATTATTCTCAGCTTGCCTACGACATTTTCAACGATAATATCGCACTTTCTTTTAGTTTCTGTATTTGCGAAGCATAGTTAAAACGATAGGAGCCTGGCACGAAACGTTCGGAATGGCAGCGCGAGGTGAAACAAATCTCTCGGCAAATAATTCATCCTGGTAAGCAACAGGAAAAATAGCAGCGGCATCTAAACGTCAGCTATAATGACGATGATCACGTAGTGGTTTAGCAACAGTAACCAGCCGCATTCGCAGAAATGAAATTTCCGACGGCTCTCGATAAATATTCCCGCGAGGATTCCGTATTATGTAATTACGCGCCACTACAACCGGGAGACGTAGGTTACGCTTGATTTCGTCGATAATTTTCCCTCCTTCTCCACCCCCGCCCGCGTTAAATTGCAAAAACTTTTCAGCATCTCGACAATCTGGAATTCTCCGAAAGATTTTTTTTTCCCGATTTACGATCGATTATTACATTGCGCCTGATATTGGTTTCAGTGAATATTTCAAGAGAAATCTATGTAGTACTTAATACTTTTTTCCTCTTTTCTTCATTGTGATATAACTGCCAGGTGTTATTATTCGTTCATGAGCATTGATATAAGATCTTCGTAATCCTATTATAGGTATTGGATTGCACCTGGTTTTGGTCACGTAAAGAATTATTCTTTCAAAAGAACGACATTGTACGTATGAAATTCAGAAATCTTGTTAAAATCATTTAACGTGTAGGTTATTAAATTAGCAAGCGAGATGATTGACGTGATGAGTATTCGGTTACGTGACTTTGAGAAATCCGTGAATCTTCGGCGAAGGTATGAAAAATGTGGAAATCCAAAAGTTCCATAAATAGCGAATAATTAGAAAATTATTGATTTTACAACGAGATATGCGCGGAAAAAGTCGCAATATTTTGTTGATTTATCGTCATTTATCCCGAGTTTCGCGAGAGAGTGAAATCTATTATATATTTTTTTTATCATGATGCAAGAATAAAATTAAATTACGCATATGAATATACGAGCGTGAAATTTAACTTAAAATGTCACAGTAACACGTAGAGCTTTCTATATGCAACTATTAAAATATTAATTATTACATTTTCTAAAATCGATATAACAAAATAAAATAAAATACAAAGAAAACGATTTCGTTTCTTAAGCGTTTCAAACAACTGCACGTCCTTTTTCAACTCACATTAATTGAAATGCATGCACAGCTATTCGAAGCTTCCAAAAAAAAAAAAAAAAAAAAAAAAAAAAAAATCCGCCTCGCACTGGAATAGAAGCCCATAAAGCGCAGCGTAGCATTAAAACTCACACACAGCCACTTACGATAGTAGTAAAGTCTTATGGGAGAAAACGGTATTTATCCAATGTTCGTCCAAAAGTATTAGCTCCCGTGGAAATAGTGGGCAATAGCTACTCCCGGCAAAACTAATAACTGCACAAGGAACAAAGTGATAGTACGTAATGTGGAGCATGTTTTAGCACAGTCAAGTTCAATGCGCCCGCGGCGTACGTTTATAGGGTTATTGGTCTGGTGAATCGTAGCGACAACATGACATTTCCTCGTCACCGTAATTTTCTAACTCACAAACGTATCCTCGTCTTCTTCGCTCTTTGCCCGAGTATTTTTAGCCCATCGTCGTTAGCCGTGCCGGGCTCTTGGATGCAATCTAGTCCATTCACCTATTCGAGTATTCGAATATGTCCTCCGCTTAGTATTCTCTTAGCTGTTAGTGCTTTGGCACAAAGAAAGGAAGTGGACGATTGTGGTACTTGATAAGGACCGATTTGTAATGTGTAAAATTTGTTACAACTCCATCGAGAATCCTTGGCGACTGTTTAATTTTAGTATTTAAATGATACGATGGTCATGGAGTGCCTTTATTGTGAAAAGTTCGATCTTAAATTATTATGATTTGCCAAAATTACTCTCAATTCTATGATTTGAGAACAAATTCATGTTGAGGGTACAATGATTTTCTTTATTTAATCCCAAGAACCAGCAGATATTATAAAATCACCTCTTTCTCGAACATTCCAAGAAGTATTGTAATTGATAGTGGTTTGAATAATAAATTGTTAAAAGTTGACTGATTTATTTACTCGACAACGTCACGGTTATTAATGGGCATTGATAGCGTGCGGGGCAGAATCAGATTATACTCGATCAACATCGGTTAAAAATTTAATCTACATACGTGCCATTGTCTCCGATAAGGCCAATGTCCAAACAACATCGGTAAGCGGCAAAATTCTTTTTAAACCCGATCTGATTCGATAAACCGTTCGCTTAGTTTTTCAATTTGGTTGGCCAACGAAATAAATCATTAGATAATCAGCATCCGGGCCTTTCCATTACGATACCTATATTCGAACATACCTAATAGCATGCCTGACGCGACCTGAATTCTTTGATTTTAGATTAAGCTTGAAAAAGTGATCCGCAATGTTTATGAAACAACGAGTTTGAATAATGCACGCACCATTGAAACTTGACAAACAACTAGAATTATGGACTGTAGGCTTGAAACAAAGTTAAAGATTTCGAATTTATCGTTAAAAGTTTTTCGCGCCAAAGACAAATCTTAATGGCCCTCGTAAGAAATATACTACCGTATTTTGTTTTATTTTATTTTTTTTATTCAAATTTTATTTTTTTAGTCCCATACGATAAGCATGTATAACAAACAGAATTTAAAGATTACGAGACAACGTGCGTTAGATATACTTGTACAACACGCCTTGTGTAAACAATAAGCAGCGCAATTTCTATATATATAATCAATCACAATTTGGTACGAATTTCTCGCAGATAAGGCACTGGAGGTCGAAAATGAAATTTCAATTTATTATACGTCAAGCGCTTAAAAGTCCACTGCAACCCGAAAGTGCTAGCTCGGCTCGCGTATGCGCCCACTAGCAGGTAAAAAAAAATTTAGATTGTCACTAAGACTTTCAACATGCCATTGTCTCGGCTCCAGCTCCAGCCCACAAGGATACGCATTCCGTCGTTGGACCGAGCGCGCAAAAACATCCAGAGACATTCCATGTGGGAGGCAGCGGCGAAAATCTGAATGCTCGAGCGTGTTTGTGGAAAAAGTGTGCGACTAGTCGCCGGTGGGATGAGAGATTATTTTCATCGCTTTTCATCTCCGACACTTTTCATTTTTCCTGCTCGTCGCGCACATTTTCACGGGCTTTTTCAACGTCACCGCCTTCTCTATAATCTAATTATCACGATAAGTGCGCAACTAGTCGATCGATTCGTGATAAACGAGCAAGGAGGGCCTTGCCCATTGGCCTCCTTGTTTTTTTACGTGAGACTTAATGGGAAAAAGTGGCGACCTGGATAATCCAGCATTTTGAATAATACGAGATAGGAACTTTAGGGGCTTATTGACATTTAATTGCCACATTTGCTGTAAAACACGCGTGTTTATAGTGAAGTACCGTAATACGAGGTTATTAAATTATAAATTAAAAATAGAAATTGCTTGTACTTGTTATGTGTTGATGCCCACGGGCTATTATTATTAATGGATGGTAGATACACACTTTGCCTTGGCAATATTGTAAAAGTCTTATTTTCCCTCTTATCTCTCTTATTAAAAGTTATATGAATCGAATGAAGAGCCTATCGATGTTACGCGATTGAATATCGCGAAAATTTAAGACAATGGCGTGGGCACTAATTGTGTATTTAAAAACTTCGTAGAATATCGTTTCGGCTAGAAACCGTCAATTATCCTTTCTTACTGAATAATTATTATTGCCATTTGAACTTGACATTGATTGCTGATTATCACGCTCTCAATGCTTAACGCTTTCTACTTTTTTTTCGTGTCTCCACAATATTGCAAAGCTAAGTGGTCATACTTGGGTAGCATTTAATTTATTTTTGCAAACTGAAGACATAAGATCCATTAGTTACGAGATTGTCGAGCATCAATTTATAAACAAATATTTTACGCCTAAACTGAAAACAGGTTGGACTTAAGAAATAGACAATTTGTACATTAGCAATTTTAATAATTATGCACATGGCCATGTGCCATTTCAATTCGAGCGGTACGATCCTTTAATAAGTACATTAGTATTATTGGACTATTTTAGTCGTCAGTAATGAAAATGGTAATGAACATGTAAGATTTCGGTTCACTATGGACTAATATTTAATAATATTCTCATTTAAATTTATTGCAATTAATTTTAATGGATAAAAATACTTTGCAATAAACTGCATAATTCGTGTTATTTAACGATTGATCAATGCAATGCCAGAAAATTAAAAAATTGTTAGAAATCGAATTTGAGGAATTCATCGGAAGAAGAGAAGAAGTCTAATTCTTTTTAAAAAAAATGAAAAGGCTAATTCATCACATTCGCACTATATGTTTGCCTAGAAATTATTGTAATCAACTGTTAAGAGAACAAATATATAATTAAAATAAAAACAACGAGTTATTTATAGTAATTGGAAAATTTATGAGAAACGGTAAAAAAAACAGTTTATCAGTCGGTGAGCAATGAGATATTTTTTGTGCAACAATGTAGAGCGAAGAAACTTAAATGGACCGAAATTTATGGGATTTAATGGTATCGGATAACTTGTGCGAGTGATACTTGTATTTGCGATGTAGTGTGCACCAGAGCATAACTCACGTTATTAAACTCATTGATATTGTGAATTTCGAGTAAAATGGTCCGCGCATAATCAATATATATTTAGACTATTTCTGTGTACTGTTTAGTTAAGCTTATCTCTTGATACTGAAATAGCTCGTTATTGGTTCTCGATATAGTCCATCTCAATATTATCTAATATCTCGTAGATTTAATTAAATTTAATGAGAAATCCAAATCCAGTGTAAAATTCGTTAACCATTAATGAACTTAATGGATATTTTTGAGTCCGTGGATCTGACATTTTAATGCCATCATTTTATTATATTCTTAAGGACCATATAGTGAAGAAAAATTTTTATTTCACGTAACACTTGATTGTTCGTAAAATTTTGGTTTTTCCCCTGTTTTTTTTTTTTTTTTGTTTTTTATACCATAAGTTGGCAACATTAGAAAATTTACAAAACTAGTTTGAGGAAAATCGAATAATGCACTACTTAATTTGTTTATTCTTAAGACTTACTTGCTTTTTCTCACGCAGTCGATAAATAAAAGATGTCTATATGTAAAGTTCAGCATTATATAAAACGAAATTTACAACAACAATTAAAACGAAAGGAAGACAAATTGTAGAGGGCTGTAATAAAAAAGCAGGTCCTGATTTTCATATATAATTGATTTACATCAAAGGCGCGAAAAAAATGTATTTCGTCAAGTAAACATTACGGAAGTTTGCCGAGTTTTTCAAAGGCTTAATAAAATTGGCATATAGCTGTGAGTAAATTCCGCTTAAATTTAGTTTACGTAACTTTTAACATAAAGTTCCTTCGAAAGTATGTTGTAGGCTTATAACAACGGTGCCTGATAGCGGTAGAGCACTCGATAACTGCAATACGATTTCGCACGAATGTAACATGGTCGCGTCACTGTTACGTGCACCTGAAAGTGTGAAATCCCCCGGGCTTACGCAATCCCCCGGTCATAAATCATAAAATATGATCGCAAAGCCATCATCATCGCCGTTCGAGTATAAAAAAAAAAAACAAAAAATAAGGCTAGCAAAACTGTAGAGAGAGTGACAGAGAGAAAGAGATAGTGGGGTAAACGAATTTTACGAATGATTATAGGTACGAGCGCGCAAGAGTCGTTCAAGTGTCCGGACGACTACGGTTTCTATCCGCACCACCTGTCGTGCGACAAATACTGGAAGTGCGACAATAGCGTCGCCGAGCTCAAGACCTGCGGCAACGGCCTCGCCTTCGACGCTTCCGACAGCAAATTCCTTACGGAGAACTGCGATTACCTGCACAATGTCGACTGCGGCGAGCGCACGCAACTCGAGCCCCCGATCGGGACGCCACACTGTGCTCGGCTCTACGGCATCTTCGCCGATGAGAAGAAGTGCGACACCTTCTGGAACTGCTGGAACGGCGAGGCCTCGAGGTATCAGTGCAGCCCCGGTCTGGCCTACGACAGGGAGGCTCGAGTCTGCATGTGGGCCGACCAAGTGCCCGAGTGCAAAGTCGAAGGTGAGCCATTATTAACTCATCTTTTGTGAGACATTTTTCGTTTTCCTTTACGTTTTTTCTTCTTTTCCTTCTTCATCTTTTTATATTTTATTTTTATTTATTTATTTTTTCTTTAAAGTTTTTTTTTATTCGGTTTACGCCCGCAATTATATCGCAATCGGGCGTTCAAGCGCTGCGTCCTCCTCGCTTCCTAAATACCGAGGCGCGAGCTTCTACCTGCGGCTACTGCAATCTCACTTAGGTTCCATTACAAGGAAACCTCCCATTGTCATGGTTGCGAAACACTTGTCACTGAGGATTACCTTATACGAATCGACCGTTAGTCGTTTGTTTACTTGCTTATTTCGCTTCATTGTCTCGCTTATGTGTTTCGCTATTCACGCGCACGCCTGCACCAACCAAGCAGAAGGAAGCGTCTATTCGACGAGACACGTAACGAATTTTTTCTTATTAATGCACTATTCATAATACTCTGTCTTCAAGTGACGTCAGCGCTCAGCATTCAACATTCTACAAGCGTAAAAATTCCCATATTTATTTCTGATGTATCAATCGTCCTACGTACGCCCATAGCCATCTAGAGGTGCTATGGGTGCTCACTCATAGGAGCGCGTACGCGGATCGATTATTGCTGCAGAAAGTGCGCCGATCATTGGAATGCGAAATTTCTTCATAACACGAAAACATGAAAAAGAAACTCGGGAGATTTGCGAATGGATATGGATAAAAGCGCGCTGTTTGTCGAAGTAGAGTGGAAGTTGAAGCAATTTATAAAACTGACGGGCAAACGTTTATATAATACATTCCGCGGCGTTAATTTTGCTTGGTAGTAGTAGAGTAAAAGGAGAAACTAATCTGCCAAGTTCGGATGACTTTGCAGAGGTTGCCAATGGGTTCGCGTGTCCGGCGGCTGGTGAGGTAAGCGGTGCTTCCGGCAGCTTCTCAAGGCACGCCCATCCCGACGACTGTAGGAAGTACTACATCTGTTTGGAGGGCATCGCCAGAGAATACGGATGCCCCATCGGTACCGTCTTCAAGATTGGCGATTCCGATGGCAGTGGCGCCTGCGAGGATCCCGAAGACGTTCCTGGATGGTGAGTTCTCGAAGCAAAACCTACGAATCCCGTCGGCCATCCTATCCACGCGCTATTTACAATGCTATGCGCACGCAGACGAAATATCATTCGTAATACGAGTCCTGGCAATTGGCATTTTCATCCCACAAATCATTATTTTTTCGAATTCTTTTTGCAATGTTACACGAGCATTACATAACGTCTACGCGTAATATCACCTCGCTAGTTAATATACCAAATAACAACAACAACAACAACAAAGTAGAAAAATCGAAAGTAAAATTCAGTCAACTTTATACAACTCGAGATGCTAATGCACTATCGCGGCATTTTTACGATCTGTTGCAATTGTCGAGTATTTCATGATTAGCCAATTTATTTGTACGCAATTCAGAGCTGGTAAACTTTGATGTACGATCTCAATTTATCCATACGCAATTAACTGAGATAAATCGTATCTTATCGCGATAACGCCGTATTAAAGATCACTGGCTCGAGGCTCCTACGAATATACGCCTTCGTATTAAAAATGCCGCGCGCCTACTTTCAAAATTCCCATCAAACTTACCAGATAAAAAAAAATCGGTTGAACCTCTCCTGAACCCCCCATCCTTAACAATAAAAACGAACCGACAATCGGCGTATGCCAGTCCACTGTCACTCGCTCAATCCTCAGTCTTGGAAACGCGAAGCTTCGCGAGGGCAGAAAAACAGCTGCTAAACGTCGGCCGCTTGGCCTTTTACAGCGAGGACTACTATGGCGACCTGGACCTAAAGAGCATAAGGAAGAGCGAGCTGCTCGCGGGCATCCAAAGCTCGGGCGAGTCGAGGAACGTGGCGAACAAGCCGAGCAAGCCGAGACCCTCCTCGGGCCAGACCGCCCGACCGGCCCAGCCCCAGGGCCAGGAGTAAGTCGGCTCCAGCCCTACGGCGGGCGAAGCGACGAGAAGTCTCGTTTAACCACGGCCTCGCGCGGCACGCCTCCACCCACCTTGACGAGCAGCTTGGCGGTGGTGGCGGACCGAGGTGCAAGGAGCCGCGATGAAACGTCGGAGACTTCGTCCGATGCGTCGTACCGACACACCCATACACCAACGCGCACAAGCGCGCCCTATACACGAGAGAGAGACCAGGGTATCTAGTCTCGTCGACGCCCACGGCGATCCCGTCCCATCTTCTTCCCATTTTCTTCACTTTCCCGTTACTCAACTAGCCCCTCCGCCTCCTTCTCCTGATCTACCTCCCCCTATTACAACCTTTTCCCTCGCCCCTCTTATTCTATTATTCATTTGTAATCATTCTTCTCTTATGTTTATCCCCACTCTAGCCCTCGTTTATTACTTCGGATGTCGCGCTAACCCTTCGTTCGTGCGCACAGACGAATTGACGATAAAGTACGCTTCCTGTAAGATTCCTCGTTATTCGTTATTCTCATCCCCCTCCGCCCATTCACTTATTTTCGCTCTTTCGTTGTGACTGTCCTCGGGGAACGTTTGACTCGCAAGCTCAAACACAAGCAAAATTTACGGATTAGAAATGTGTGAAAGCCAATGTACAAATTATAATGCGATGTTGAATTTGTTTTCGTTTGTATTTCGACGGGCATAACGAGAATAGCGTTTATTAGTAATTCTTCACCGAGTGCAGTCAGACGTGTTTTCCTTTTATCAGCTGAAAATTGGAATTCGTCCGAAAGTACGTTCGAAGGCTAAGACATTATTTTGTTCTTTACTCTGTTTTTTTTCAATTTGTTTATCGTATCGTAATAATACTGTGACGGTGCATTGTAAATTATTGATGAATTATGTTAAAAAAAAAAACGAAAAATTTTTTATAACAAGGCGCCAATTAGAATTATAAAATTGCATGTAAGCCTCTACGTACTTTTGTATAAATGATAGAAAAACAAAATGGATAAGAGATACTCATATAAGCGCAACGTCGAATCCATTATATTTCATTGGGAGAGGCTTTAATAAATAGTTTCGTTAGAGCGCGATATTATTGCTTTTTTCTTTCTTTCTAAAAATCATTATATTTAAAGCGAAATTTTGGACGAACAAGTCGCTATGCATTTCGCAAAATTGCCTTATTAGCATTATAAATGGCTTTAATGTTTAATACATTTATTGCGCTGAGGAGAAAAGATTCTATCTTCATAACAAGAGAAAACAGAGAGAGAGAGAGAGAGAGAGAGAGAGAGAGAGAAGAGAAAATGATAAAATCTTGATCCGATAATGTTTTAGATAAACACGTCCAAACCCAAACAAGTCTACTCGCAAATGTATGTATATTCATGTACGTTGTGAATTAATTTAGAAATGCTTGAGATGTTAATTTTTTACGAGAGCGTCGAATGCGCCTTACTAAATGCAAAAACGACACTTTTATCGATTCAACCATTTCTAATTTAAATTATTTCGACAACAACAATAACAACAACAAAACAAAAAATAATAATAATAATAATAAAACAACAAGACGCAAATGGAACAATACAAGAAAATATAAATTTCATATGTTGTACACTCGCCGCGCTTTTAATAACCACTTGACTTGAATTAAAGCTTACGACCTCCAGAACTTTATCTCGTAGCCTCTTCTTAAGAACATAAAGACAAAAACATGAAAATAAAAAATCTTTAAAAACTACTGCATGTTTTATTTTTACATTACACACATTTTTTATTATCCTTTAAAATTACTCTAAAAGTAAGAAATATTTTTTTTTTCAACAAAACGCCTATGTTATTACAACTAGCCATTACAGAAAACATTTCATTCTTCTTTGCCAACCAATGTGGATTGTGTTCGTTTTGCGTCAATCCGCGCGCGTATGTGTGTACACTTGAGATACAAACTTAAAGAGATATCATAGATTTTCACAAGATTTTTTTACATATATTATTAATTTCAAAACGTTTGATTAAATTACAAAGTAAAAGCACACTAAAGGATTAGCAAATTCAATGCACAACGAGAAATCAGGGAAAATTTCTCTCCGAAAAAAACGAATGGGAGGAAAAAACGAAGGCGTTGCACAAATGTAAAAGAGAAAAAAGTGCGGAATGCGTGCAGTGCTGCACAGAATTTAACTTGAAAATCCGCGTGAAAAACGAGGTCGGATATTGAAAAGTCGGGAATCCAAAATTCGGCTACAATTAGCATTCAAGCGGCGGTTCTGTCACCGTCTCTTCTCTTCTCTTTTCTTATTCGCGGAACAGAGGGGGTAGGGGTCAGCCTGGCTTTTGAATAATGCGCCACGCGAATTCTGTCGTTGACGTATACCAGATGCGCGTGTCTCGTTTGCAAAAAAATGACTAGCAGGCTAGAGCTCGACCCTGCCTCGTTGCCGGCCTCCTTCCCCTCGTCGTCCTTACTTATTTTACATGCTAGTGCCTTGTCAGCCAATGAGAAGAATGGGTGAGTATTTATATTTGCCAGGTGCTTGAGGCATCTCGTACGCATTCACTGCCAATGTTAATTGTTACTGCAGCGTCAAATCCCCTGGCCTTTAAATAACTATTGGACAGACGTAGCAACAATTGTCGATAAGAGATATATGAGACGGGAGATGCCGGATATGCCGTTATATCAGATATTAATGATAAACTCGATTGCAACGCATCCCGAAGAGATCCTAATTAATAAGCGGAAATAAGGTGCCCGTAGCGCGGTTAAATAGTTTACCAATAATTAACGTCGATACTGTTTTATGAATTGACATTAATCGATTGTTAATGGCGGAGGAGGAGGAGGAGAGGGGAAGGTAGAAAAGGGAGAGAGAATCGAGTTGAAATAAATCATCAGATTAAAAGAAAGTTGATTACTCGATTTAGAAATTTCAGTCAAATTGTAGAAACTTTTACTTGGTAATTTATATAAGAGCATTGAAAAGGCTATTTTTAAAGAGCAAAATAGGTAGCGTTAAATTATTTTTAACGAACCAGCTAGAATTTATGTACATTTATACACGAAAATATTCTTTTATAATTAAATGCTTTTATTATATGATTAATTGGATAATTTAGTTCAGAAATGCTTCAAGTTATTGTTATTTGTTACACGTAAAGTCTTACTATATTTTCAATAAAATTTCTACTAAAAATCGCGATTGTTCATACCTCTTGTCCGTATGTAAATAATAAGCCAATACGATAAGCTAAGAATTTCAATTGATATAACCACAGAATTTGTCTTGCTATTCTTCAATATTATTGAAAATATTAGCATTCAACTGTTACATTCATGTACCCAAGAAATCACAAATGCAACTCTAATTTTGTTAAAAATGTTGCAAAAAAATTAAATAAATAAATAATTTATTAAAAAATTGCTAATCCTGAAATAATATCAGTATGTCCTGAAATGGCATTAGCAATCAATAAAGCAATATCGATTGAATAACACGATAAGAAAGTACTCACCTCAAACACAACGCAACAAATGTATTTGGTAAGTATATTTAATTATATTTTAGAAATCATCGAAATTGTCAATTAGAAAAAAATTTTTGCTAGTAAATTTTATTATTTTTATATTATAGATTATATTTTCAACAGCTATTTATCTTCTTAAAATAAATATCTCGTTATTCGATAATAATTTCAAATGGTATGCATATTAAAATCCACTGCTATGAATGTAATCTCATATCAAATATATTATTAGTATTGAAATCAACCAGGAATCATACAATTACAATACGTAAATGTACGAAATAAAAAGAAAATATTCGAGCGCGACAAAGGTCGACAATTAATAATCACAAAATTAATTTGGATAACAACTTGATCTGGCGGTATTCATTTTAGTCATTATACGATCTCGAAGTCAGTAAGTCAATCAGTCGGTCAGTCAGTGAGTCAAATGCAGGTTATTTGGAAAGCAAGAGAAAACAGGAGGGAAAGCGAACGATTTTTCAATTGGTCTATGATAATGAATAGAAAGTCAATACGGACAGCGAAAGAGAGGAGTGACCGAGGCAGAGAGCGAGCGACAGATATATATATATATAGAGAGAGAGAGAGAGCGAGAGAGAGAGCGAGAGAGAGAGCGAGAGAGAGAGCGAGAGAGAGAGCGAGAGAGAGAGCGAGAGAGAGAGCGAGAGAGAGAGCGAGAGAGAGAGCGAGAGAGAGAGCGAGAGAGAGAGAGAGAGAGAGAGAGAGAGAAAGAAAGAGAGTGAAATAGACTGACAGCCAGTTATAGAGATACAGAGGGAAAGATGGAGCGTGAGTTAGAGAGAGAGAGAGAGAGAGAGAGAGAGTGAGAATAAACAGGCAGACAGAGAGATAAACTCAGGTGCCGCTTATGTGCCTCGCGCCCAAGATGTTGGGGTGGATAAAGATTTGTGAAAGCTGTACAAGTCCGGTATACTTTGTATACTAACGTACGCGTAACCCATAATGTCGGGCTTTTTATTGGGCGTCCACTGCCTTTTCTCCAATGTCGTTTATACGACGTTTCCATCATACATGTCGGCCCGTAAGCAAATACGGATATGGTGTTTTCACGACGACCACATATACAATCGATTCGTCCTTGTTAATAGTATTGAAATTACCTCGCGCTTTTCCAATTTGACGTTGTCCTCTATTACCAATCTTATTATGGCAATATTCCATTATTTATATATATTTTATATGTATTTATTGTATTTATTGATTCGCTAGTACAAGATGCTCTCCTACATGACTGTACGCGCATTCGTTTATTTCAATATTTATATTATCTTTATATTTTCTCTTTGACTTGAGCATAGATTTGTTTTATCTTTCAATTTTTATACCAAGCGGTCTATGAGAATTTTTTAAATTTCACGCTATTCACGCTATAGATGTACATGCATTTTATTTATTTCAATTACATCAAGAGTCGAATTTCTCTGTGTAATAATTCTCCAGTCTAACAGATCCACTATTTCACTCTCTCATTCCACACGAAATATTTTGCTATTAGTTTTTTAATGTTTAACGGTTGCTTTAAACCTCCGTTTATACATTATGAACTATCTCTATATGTATGGTTATGCATTGCCTATTATATGAATTTCTTTTTGTCTAAAAAAAATATGCGAGAGAGAGAGAGAGAGAGAGAGAGAGAGAGAGAGAAAGAGAGAAATATTGTGATGCATTGGAATATGTTGAAAAATATCAAACAAATCGTACAACCACAATAGGTTATCAGAAAAAATAAACAGAGCGTAAAAATACCGAAAATGTTAAAAAGAAGATAAAATAATGTGCTATTTATCATTACAATAAAAAAATCTCAAGGTAAATAAATAAGTACATGAAATAGTTTCGGAAATAAATAATATGAAAAAGACTTATCTAATTTTAGAATTGATAAACGTAAAACATACGTACTTAAATTTGATTAGGAATGGTTTTCAAAATAAAACAAATCTGAGAGGAGATAAGAACATTAACTTAGTAATGGCTCCAAATGGTCTACTTAGTTAATAGAGAAACTACTTTAATAAATTGCCTAACTTTCTTTAAAAATGAATAAAAATAAAATACGAAGCAATCAAAGCGTTTAAAATGGACAAAAATTGTTATAATAAAATTTTAAGTATTAAGTATTGATATTAAATATCGCGATTAAGAGTTAATTGAAATAAATATAAGAGAATAGCAGAATTTTCTGACAAATAAATAAATAAATTATAATCTAATCATTAAAATTATTAATTACAAAAAATATATAATATGCGTGTGTGTGTGTGTGTGTTTATGACAATTAATATAAAGATTTTTCACTGCTTTTAGTATATATGTATATAAAATTTTGAAACATTCTTAAAGTCTATGTAAAAATATTCTTCTAGTTTATTAATATAAATTCGAACAACATAGTATAATCAATAATAAAATGTTCATAGTCAGAGAGCTAGTAGTGAGTGAAAATAGAATTCTTGTCAAGTGAAACACCTGTTGCTAGTTGCTACTAAGAATAAAATTATATACATATATTCAAATATTAATAAATTAAAGCTGCAAGTGGAATGTGGGAGTGTAAGATATTTTGCCAAAACTCGTTTGCAATATCTGATGAATTAATAATGGACTGTGTGGCGAAAATTTAACATTAATCGAAAGAATGAAATACGTATAAGAAAAGGAAAATAGGCTTATAAGAATAATAAAAAAAAGTCCTGACAATGTGAAGATTTATGTTATGAGCATCATCGGACAAATGATAAATAGTAATCACAAATTTTAATACAAAAATGAAACGTTAAAAGGACTTGTCATTATAATCACAAATTACCGCGGTGAAAGAATTTTTACCGATAAAAATTCAAAGTATACGCGAAAATACGGTATAGTGAAATGAGAATAAATTGCCTGCAAACAACTTTTCAAAAGTGTGCCTTTAATAGAAGACTTTAATTAAGATATTTAAGTTACCAATAAATTGATAAAATATCAGGAATAAAAACTACGCAAGTTGATTTATCGAAATACATTTGTTACAATAATGAACTCACATAAGACTCGGTTTCATGAAATATATGTCATACTTATTTGAAATAAAAAAAAAATAAACAAAAGCAAAAAAATCAATAATAATAAAGTGTCGATAAAAATTTATAGACGCACTTTTGAATAAAAAAATGTTTACTACAATATACGTCTATTTATTTATGGTGGTAATATAAAGCATTGCCGAACAAAAACAAATTTTTACTTTAAATGGCAATGTTCATATTGATAAATGAAGATCCAAGTGATAAAGAAATAAAGTGATAAATATAAATATATGCAGAATAGTTTATCTAAATACACATTAAAGAAGAAATTTCATGTGAACCGCAGTTCAAGACAAATGTATACCAAGAATTTATACATTTTGATTAGACTTTTTTTTTTTAATATATGTGAAGAATAGACAAATTTTAAGTGATAATACAACAAGATTTACTTTACTACCATTAACTAGAATCGTAAATCTTGCAAGTAATACTATTTATAAAAATGGATTCAGAAATTATTTTAAATAAGAATTATTATATTGGCATATAAATTAACTCGTGCGAACAATTTTTCTAATGAAATTCACAGTATTTTCATTAAATGTTTAGAAAATGAAATGAAATACGTATTGCTGCGAAACTTCGAAATAATAAATAGCATTAGTCATCAAGTAGACACGTAAACGCAAAATTGATAAAAACTAGACAGAAAAGCTAAACTATGCTAAACAATTAAATGTATTGTAAATATTGCGTTTTTACAAGAGCACACAGAAGGAGGCTATGGATAAAATAAAAAATTTTTATTAAACGAGATGCTATATAAATTTGAAAGTAAAGGATAAATATTAATAATTACGATTTTTATTACGGATTCTCGAACTAAGACAACTAAATCACAGCAATTTCTATTTTTAACGTTAATCTCATCGCTGTCCTCCACAAGGTAATCCTCAAAAATACATCATCTTAGTACTTAAATCGTTTCACAAGATGACCAAATCCAACAATAATTTTTCAATAATGAAAACTATGGTAGTTGAGATGTAGAATGTTGCATGCCAAAAAGAGAATTAAAATTGTAAATGAAAGATGAAATCAGGGTTGCAATTAAAATCATCACGTTCGTGAATGTTAAACGCCTTCAAATTTCCCGCTAAAGGCATCTCAGGGGTACTTGCGTCCATATAACGATGCACCGCAACAGTTCCGTTCGTACTTCGCGAGATGCCAACCTTCTTTATCTAATTTGCGTTGGCGAGGGATTTTCGATCGTTTGCCGTCATCCCCCGCCGCCACGTACTTTATCGCTCCGACAAATAAAGACAACGTCTGCACTGTACTACCAGGTACGCACACATTGTGCACGCTTTGCTTGCACATAGGCTCATGGCACGTAACGGGTGTGCGCGCATTTGATAGAGAAAGAGGGGAGATCGATCATCAACTGGGACGGGAGTGCATGGAGTACGTCGATGGCTTCTCCTCTCCCGAAAAAGTTGAGCGCGTGCTGTCCGTTTCTCAGAGTGTAACGACGAGTCTCGCTTCAACCAGTGCGTCAAACAGTAGTGGCAACTCAGCTTCGAAAGTGACTTGCGACCTGCGCGCGCGCGCGCCCACACGCACTCGCACACAGCTATGCGCGCGCGCACGCATGTATATATTTCTTTTTTCACCCGCTGGCGATAAACTGACCCGAGTGCGCGAGGTTGCTTTTCTCTCTCTCTCTCTCTCTCTCTCTCTCTCTCTCTCTCTCTCTCTCTCTCGCTCGCTCCACGCATTTTGACAAATGGAAAACTCTCTCAAGATGGCGATAAAAGCAGTAAAGGTGAGGGAATCTGAGAATACAAATGTCTCTTCTTGTTTACGTTATATCGAAACTGCTCCGACACTATTTACGTCGGCCCGTGATACATGAATAAGGGCATTTTCGATCCTCCATCCGTTCCTCGCACTCTTTGTCACGAACAGCTGCACGGAACAATCAAGTGCACGGGTGCATACACAGAAAGAAAGAGACGGAGAGTGAGAGAATGAGGCATAGAGTGAGGGCGAGAAGGGAGGGAGAGACACACACACAAACGCGCGCGCGCGTTCTTACACATACGGCATCATGACCGAATCCTCCGACAAGACTGTATACCACGCGAAATTTCTAGAAAAATATAACACGGATCTTGCAAGCTACCGCTGACTAGCAGCCTAGATCTTGCTTCTCTCTCTCTCTTTCTCTCTCGTACACACATATGCACACACACACACTCTATGGTACGCGCTCTCTCTCTCTCTCTCTCTCTCACTCCTCCCTCCCTTCCGTCCTACCCCTTTCCACATTCCCTCCTTCACTCTTTCTGTTATTGCATTTTCGCGATTTGTAAACGTAAGTGTCGCATCACCTTTTTTCTGCACTCTTTGCTCGTCCCATTTACAAAAAACGTACTTATGTAAAAGAATAAGCACATAACAAGCAAGAAAAAGAAACGACAAGAGCCTCCGATAAAGACAGCAGTGTACTGTGTGCATTTTACATTACTTAAAACGCGGAAGATAACAAGATTAAAATAATCTATTCTCCCCTTCTCTCTCGCTCTTTCGTACGCGCACTCACTCGTACTCTCCTTTTTAATGACATCATTGCCCGAGGAGTGCCAGCAACATTTTAGTGTGCGTGCTTAAAAGACGTTTATAAATCACGATACATGTAATTTGAGTAGATTAATTTGGTTATTAATGGTCGTATTGTAATGGAATACAGTTTTGTTGCAGAATTTTGCCTGTAAAATCTTACAATTTCCAAGTGATGATAAAAACACCGAATTGAATATCGGTATTTATTACTAACAGTGAGCGAAGACTCAATTATTCATATCGAATATATTATTAATATTCATGGAGATGTTTAGCATGTTTAGACAGAAGAGATATTTAACTTACCAAGTGATACATCCGACATGAGAATCATTGAGAATCATCATTACGCTACTCAATATTTTATATAAACTTGTGTTTGTAACACTTAACAAAATCTAAAATTTAAAATTTCAATTCTTGAGTAATTTTTTAATATTAATAATTCAATATATATATATATATATATATATATATATATATACAATTTTTCTTAACTACCTTTGTTGTTGAAGGTGATTCAATGTTAAGATAATGAAAAGTGCTTTAATAATTTACACTTTACTTTCAATCTACATTTCTTAATAAAATACACATTAATATTTATTCGTTTGATAAGTAAATTATAAATTATAGTTGTTTGTGCAGTAGGCTGTAAATGTTAGGAAAGTGAACTTGAAGAGAAAGTTAAATATAAATCATATGGAATTTCAGAAAATGCCAGGGGAGGAACCAGCAAAGTAGGTTAAAATTAAGAACCGTGTTAAGGAGCAAAATTGTAATCAATGTGTCAATGACAAGGAAATTACAAGATGTTTGAGTCACCAAAAAGTTTGCAGGAAGTCTGCATTGACTATATCTGTGATAATGTTATGGCATTTTGTGATTACCGTTCCGATTATGTTCTGAGCGCGGGTAGACCTCCCGACAAATGGGCTCTTCCATCATTTGGTAAATCTAAATTAATCGTTTGACATGAATTTAATAGTAATCTTACTTAGCTTATGAATTATTAAAATTTTTATTTCAACGATTAACAATAAAGCTATGTACAATATTAGAAATATTTTATCGTCTTTGACAAATTTATTTCTTCTATTTACATTCTTATCCTCTAAATCATTATCTTAAATAATAAATTGCTTTTGAAATAAAATTTTCCCATTTCACGATATAGTAATTAATTATTTATAAAAAGATTGTATTTAAATTTTATAGAGGATGAGTCCGATTCCGATCAAAGTATTTCATCAGCCAATGAATTGGAAAATTATGATTTTTCGGATCCATCGTTAAGACTCAGCTTCAAAGATCCAAACACCTTTTTACCAACAGAAATTTCTGAGCAACTGCTTTACGGCTTATGCGAAAGAGAAAAGCTTTCCAATCTATCTATTACGCTTTTTGATTCCAAGACCACAAGGCTAAGGTATATGATAATCAAACGAGTTTCCCATATTATAACAAACAATTTTCTACCAACAACCATTCAACTTTATATTTTATTTATTTTAGGCAAGTTAAATTAAAAGATGCATCGACTCTGACGGCTACAGGACTGAATGTTCTTAAACAACATAAAATTATAGATTTAGAGGTAAATGGGCTAAAAATCGCTGTTTGTGAATTAATCTTTTGTTTGAGTAAATGGAGTCGAGAAAATCTTAGGTCATTAAATATTGCAAAGGCACATTTAGGAGAAGATTCAATGTTAGTTGAATTTTTGTTATCAAATCTTGATTTAAATATTTTAAATCAAATGTTCTCTCTCTCTCTCTATCTCTCTCTCTCTCTCACTCTCTCTTTTTGACCTTATGCATGTTATTTTACAGAGATGTGGCTCTAGGAGCGTTGGGTGAACTAAGTAATTTACAAGTCTTGAATATTTCGGGTATGACTATCGATGTGGTTGGATTAGAATTAGTTATTGAGAGTTTACCACTCTTAGAAAACCTTGATATATCCTGCACTGAGATCGACGATATTTCTCCATTAAGAAAGTGTAAGCACAGATTGAAAGCACTAAGTTTGTACAATGTAAAAATAAGTCGCTGTAGACACACGATATCGGTATTGTTGGAATTGGATGAATTAAGAAATTTAGATATATCGGATGAAAGAGATTTATATGTATTCGAAGTGTTCACACCTATTCGATCCAAGCTAACAGATTTGCTAAAGGCAACTTATTGTATGCCAAATTTAGTAAATTTGGATATATCGGGTAATGATTAATAAAACCTTTATAATGCTTTATACAAGTAGTTCGAAAAGAAAAGGAGAATAAGTATCGAGGCTTTTTTTAGGCAAAGATGAGATTGACGGGAAGGATTTGTGGAATTTCATACAAGCACACAAAAATTTAAAATTCTTGGGACTTGTACATTCTGATGCTTGTTTCGAAGATTGTCTTATGAATCCGTTCAACAAGAATTACAGGCCTGATCTTGTGGTAAATTAATTTATAAATTTATTAATTACTTAACTCACAATTTATTTAACAAAACTGTCTTTAACGCAGGTGAGTGGGACAGCGACAGAATCTCAAATTTTAGAAGCTCTTAGAAGGTACCCAAACAGGCCAATATATGTACAAAAATGTCTCTACCATCTATTTCGTCAAACTGCATATTTCAAAGAAGTGCGAGTTGACGTGATAAAACTCGTAATACCTGGAATGCGAGAACATCCGCAAGAATTTCGTGTACAAATGGCAGCCACTGCGTGTCTTTACAACCTCACTAAAGGCGAATTAGCCACGAAAATACATCCGTCTGTGTTAAAACAGATCGTTGATTTGACTCTAACAGCAATGGAATCTTATCCTGCTCATTACCAGCTGCAGAAAAATACTCTATTAACATTGTGTAGCGACAGAATTTTGCAAGATGTCGCTTTTGATAAATACAGGTAACGTAAAGCATTCATTTGTTAAGTTTAACTTATTTCTTTTTTTGGCTTTTACCGTTAGATATAAGCTACTGTTAGATAATGAAAGAGTCCCTGAATGTCAAAGGATAAATTTTGATAAACTATCGCTTCTACAATATCAAACGAATTTTCATTTATAATTTCAAGCGACGTGGATGAGAAGTAGAGGTTTAAATTTTATGAAAATTACGTCTCGCTTCTTTGCTTCACACACGTTTCCCATAATCTTCATAATTTGCAATTAATATTTATTTATTCAAATGCATGTACTTGCTAGTTATAATTATATTTACTCTATGCATTCTTACAGTACTAAATATATTAAACGCTGAGCTCAAATGAATATTCATTAGAACTTAGTCGAATAAAAATACAAACAAACGCGCGCGCGCGCGTGCACACACACACACACACACACACACATAGAGAGGCATAATACATCAACGTGTAATATTCATTTGGCTGCCTGGCTGTGCGTGCGTGCGTGCGTAAGTAACAATTAACGAAAAGTGCAATTTATATTTTGAAAATGTGTAGTCGACTTAATCAAAGGTCTTGGTAAATCTTTAGATTGATTGAAACATTAAAAGTCATGTAATCCATTTTCTTAAACAGAAAAAATCAATAATCACGAACAATATTCAATATCCAAGGACTGCTAAATTGCAACTTTGACGTTACCAATAAATGAGCTGCTATTCCCATGAATTTAAACGAAAATCATGAGTTCTATAAATCATTGTATCATGCTCACTCGACACTTACAAACGATTGGTCCTCAGGTGTGCAAAATTAGTGATGAACTGCCTATCGAACTTTGATGACCCGTCCATGAACCGCATGTCCGTGGCCATATGCTCGATCCTCGCAGCGAAAATTTCGACCGTTGAAACATCAATGCTGGGTGCTGTGCCACATTACATGTCGAAGCTCCTCTCGATGGTTCGCTCGAAGGTGCAGTCAAAGATCGTCGATATAACGATGAAGTTCACGCTTAGCGCTTTGTGGAATCTTACGGACGAGAGCGCAACCACGTGTAAGGTGTTCTTGGAGGAGGGCGGCATGGAATTATTCATGGAGGTCCTCCTCAGCTTTGAAGGGGAGTCGAGCGTCGAAACGAAAGTTCTCGGCCTTCTTAACAATATCGCGGAGGTACGTTATTTTATCATCTTCAATTTAGCGCAATGCAAGGATCCCTACTTCTGAGGCACTTTTATCGATAGTTTAGGCATTTTAGGAAATATTTTGCGAGTAATCGACAACTGCCGATTTCGCATTTACTAAAAGTCAAAGTCTCATTTTGTCTTGGGAAATTCCTAAGGGTAAAATACGGTCATGAAAAGCATTGATTTACTTTTATTGATTTTTGTTTTCCATTGCTCGTATACAAACAATTCTTTATTAATAGTATCTCCATTATATAAAAAATTTTCAATACAAATTTTACAGCGCCCTTCAATCGCTATTTATTCTATTCGAAATCGCCTCCCGTACGATAAACTTTGATTTTAAATAACGTAGTTCAAGAAAACATTTTTAAAAAAATCAAAAACAAAACCAAAAAAGAACAAAAAAATTCGGAAGAAATTTTCACCGTATTCTTAATACCCACTCACAACTAAGAAAAATCTTTAAATTCGAGAATTTAACTTTATAATCAAATCGCTTAGAAAATCGCCACAATCCAAGCAAATATACATCTTTCTCTTTAACATATAAGATTCTTCGAAATACAAAAAATATAATTAAATGTTTGTATGCGAGTGAATTATAAATAATAAAGACGGGGGTGCTTTTAGCAATCGTAAAAATAAATTCTTTAGACTTACAAAGCGTATTATCGTAATTTAGAACATGGACACGTATACGGAAATAAAATGTTAAGCGAACAATTACATGAAAAGACAAATATTTATAGTTAAAAATAATTAAAATCTATGCAGTGCCAATTGTTGTGCGCTCATTGGTAGATTTAATCGAGAGAATAACGCAGATAAATTACAAGTGAAACAACTACTAATTATAAATAAGAAATCGTCGACGCAATTTACTCGGGGGTACAATCTCACTCGTTTATCCGTTCAATTAATCTTCTGTCTTGACTCGATTTAAGCAAGCATCTCTCTCATGTCACTCGACACTAGTTGTGCGAGTTGCGTTTGCTGTCAGCACACGACGTAACGCTTCTCGTACACAATTTTAATGCCTCCTACAATTATCACACCGCCATCTCCATTGACAATGAATTGGCATTAGAATTCCTCTTGACAATATAAAAATAAAATGATTGAGACAAACATAGATAGAAATAGATATATAGACAGATAGATAGGAGAGAGAGAGAGAGAGAGAGAGAGAGAGTCATAGCTTTCAACAAAAAATGAACGACGGCTTTTAATTGGAATAACAATAGTCTTCATTAATTTTAGCATACCAATTACATTTCATATGTTGAGGAAAAATATTTCTATATTATTTTGCCCTCGCCGACGTGTTTTTTTCCCTCCACTTGGTCTAGATATTGCGTAACTAGATTATCGTAACGATGGCAAGGAATCTGCTCGCCATTGGCAAAATACCTTAACTCACATACATTGACATGAGAAATTCAATTCGACACGCACACTTCAAATTATACTAACTTTATAAGCAGATCTATTTAATCTTTTGCCTAAAATTGTAACTCAACACCCAACACCTTTACTATTTGGCACGTTTCGTTACAATTGCTTTGCCAGTTAAGAGTCTTTTATGACTCAGGTCTCTAAAATTCAATAATATCAATAATTCCCTCGGGAATGCCTTCGCATGTATCTAAAGATACATCGCCAAGCTTTAAAACATCTATTTGAAATTTTCTCAAAGATCAAATGTCTTGGAGATTTATAATCCAAATCACATACAAGCCAATCAATTTTATATCTCGCCGTTAACCACCTCTGAACCAACGATCAAAGATATACATATTTTATACTTATTGCTACGTCGAACTATAATTTGTTGTATGCTTAATATATCGGAGCAAAGAAGTGTGCCACATTTTTAAATTCTCTTTTGATCTCGTGCATACTTTCATCCAACACTAACACACACTGGGATGATAAATTACATCGAAACTTCAAACATGAAGCAGAATGTAAAATAGAAATCGTGTCGAATGATAATCATTTCCCAAGAACAAAACGTTTCCCTTCAAACGTTGCGTTCGCTACACATAACTCGATACAATGGATCTACAGCTTCCAACAATTAGTATAAATGTTAGTAGTTAGAGACGTCCAGTCTCCCTTTCTAATTGCCTCGGTGATGTTCAATTGTAAAGTAATACGCAACGCATGGATTTCGAGAAGACGTAATAAATTAAATCATCCAAAGTCCTCTACATAGGCAAGAAAACATTATTTTTATTTGGCATTATTGTCAAATACTACTTCTCTCGACTTTCATCGTGATGATAAAATGTCGTTAATATTTGTTTTAATGACATGCAAGTCTAACCACGACCTGCTTGAATTCTCGTACACGAGATATGAGACTTTAGTCTGCAGTTTGACTGAGAAGCTCCAAAAATTAGCCACCACATGACTCTCTTCGTGCCCAAGGACCGCCTTTAACAGCTAATCGAATCGACTAAAATTAGACTAAGCTGCGTACGAGGAGGGAAGGGTGATACAATGAATAGATTGGGAGTCCAAAGAAAGGTGGCGGACAACAGAAAAATCGGCAGCTTCGCTCGTTCACGAGATGCATCGTTGTTGCAGGTCGCCGACCTGAGGCACCAGCTGATCCAGCCGCGTTTCCTCTCGATGCTCTCGGTGCTCCTGGAGTCTAAGCACATCGACGTGTCGTATTTCGCTGCCGGCATAGCTGCCCACCTCCTCAGCGATGATCCCCATCCCCAGTTCCCGGCACGCTACCGTCTGCTCAATCACTTGACTTGCGTCATCACCAACTGGCATACACCCCAGGGTGAGATGGTGGCCTACAGGAGCTTCCAGCCCTTCTTTCCACTTTTGCGCTGCAAACACGCCCACCCCGTGCAGCTCTGGGCTGTCTGGGCCATTCATCATGTCTGCACGAAGAATCGTAAGTGTTTCTCGCCGCTTTCTTTGCACACGGGTAACCGACTCGTACCCCCCCCCCCCGCCATGATGCACGATACTTTGTTTGGCATGCAAAGTAGTACGTGACGTTATATTTTTCAGGTATTAGTGCGTGCATTTACATTCATTTTTTTTTTTTTTTTTTTGAAGATATTGAAAAATATTTGAGTTTATTAAGTTTGTTTGAAAAGGATCGATTCGTGGATCAGAGACATTTTTCCACTATTAAAATGCTCCTTTAATAACAATTTCAAATCAAATATTCGTAAGTTTCAGCGTCTGAAAAATATACTCCGTTACAAACAGTATAAATAATGCAGGAAATATTCGATAATATAGCTCTACGTGTATGTTTTTGAAATAATGAAACTAATGTTAATACGCACTATTATAATGAAGATTCCAGAAACGGCTTTACAATTTACGCGATGTCATATTGCGCACACAAAGTATTAAACATAGATTTACATTCGATGCTAATTCTTTAAATTTAACGATAATTGCAACAACAACAAAATCGAATGTTCTTTTTTATAATAATTTAGTCCCCAATATTATATCCTATGAACTCCTTCCGTTTTTATTGCCACGTCACAATGCAAGTACACAACAAATGCAGTGCGATGCGTGGCGCGACAATTCCATGGTATGTATTATATAAAGATGACCTTTGATTTTGCAGCGAAACGTTATTGCGAAATGTTAGTAAGGGAAGGTGGCGTAAAGATCCTGGAGTCCCTGCATAAGGAAAGCATGTACGCAGGGCAGGTAAGAGTCCATAACTTATGCCGAGCGATTCTGGACACCCTTGCCCAGCAGCCGTGCTAATAGACTAAGCCACTCTTGACATTACAACACGATTATCAACAATCAACCACGACGAAAATTACAAGTAAAAATAAAGAACATGATTCGCGACCATTCTGTCGATTATTGCAAACCGAGAGCGAAGTGGTGTGACGACGCATTAGAAAGACGAAACTTTCCGCGTGCGTTTTTAACTATTCCATAAAACAATGAAGTGAAACAAAAATTAAATTCTGTTTATCGAGCAAAAGTACAACTCGCTGGTTGGTATGCTAGTCAATTTATTGTCTTGCAAAAGAAATGAAAAAATAACAAACGAAAGAAGAAATCTATTTATCCTAACCTACCACCCTCTTCCCAGCTTCGATAGTCTTTCTAACGGCTAAAAGTTAACTACGATATTTACTTACACCTCTAGTTCCCTCTGATGCTGTAAAGATAATCCGAGCTAGGGCTGTGTAATTTATAAATCAATCGGTAATTGATTGCAAATAAATATTTCTGATTTTGTTCGACTCATACCAGCGGTAAATATACGGAACGAGACGAGGAAAGAGCAAGTTGTAGAGTGAAACATTATAATGGTCCGTCAATCGTCAAGCGTTATATTATTGATTTATAAAACCTGCAAGATTGTTTATTAAATTGTGAAAATTACATTCGGATACAATAGCAATGTAAAGGAAATTTCGTTTTTATTGTTTTAAGTCCACGCACAGTCGTGCCGGAGCAGTAACGATAGATAATCTAATAAGCTCGGGAAGTTCGTAGTGTTGTTAAAAATAAAACCTGTTATTAAGATATTTATTTAGGCTTATGGAGTACGACAATTTTTTATTTAATAAACAAAAGTCTTTTCTATCTATTGCTTGGTTTCTCTCGTTTGTGTATTTACAACTCAACGAATTATAAAACGAAATCATTCTTTTTTTATTTCACTTAAGATTTATTATTCGTATGTAATAGATTGATAAATGCAAGAATATTATTAGCCTCGTGAACTACCGCAATGACATTAATTTTCGCATATTTTTATTATATCTTGAATTTAAGTTGTCCGAAAAAAAATTGTTGCATATGTCTTTAGAAATAATATCATTGTGTTCGTGAGATAAATATATTCTTGTTCTAAGTACGGTTTCTTATTTATTTTCTGAGGTAGTTATTTTCTTTTTATATCGAAATTTAGTTAACGATGTAGAATTCTTAACGTATCTAGATACATAAAAAATTATGAATGTTGGAGCATATTATCATAAAATATACTGGTAATATTCTGTATCTCAAAAAGTTTTTTTTTCCATATAGTAACCTAATTTTTTAGTATAATGGTTTATAAAAATAAAATCAATTATTTCTTTATACTTTTATTTTATAGCTGTAAATTATGTGCGCATAATTTTTTCTACGATTTGAATTTTGAAAATGTATAAAAAAAACTCATTTAATTATATAAATTATATAAATTAACATTTTAATAATTGCATAATACTGACGTTCAAAGTTAAAGAATTACATTTATATTACAGCGTAGAAAAAAAAAAATTTCAACGTTATATTTCTGATATCAAACTTTAAAGAAAAAAAAATCAAACAAATGTGTATACGTATTTTATGTTAATATATGTTATAACTCAGAATTTGATGATTTTAAATATTAATATAATATTTTTAAAAACTTAAAAAGAATTTTTTTTATTCTATATAATCATATTTATTTATTCATATTTATATTTTTTAATAATTTGATAAAATTTATATTACATATATATGTAAATATATAAGTGTGTGTTTGTGCGAATTGTGTATACATATATATATATATATATATATATATATATATATATATATATACACATATACATATATTAAAGTTAAAAATAAATAAATACAACACTTTTATCGACCCAATAAACTTTCATGATTTTTTTATTAATCTTTATACGTCTCTATTATAATAATGTTGATCTCTTGTCATAACAAAGTAATAAATCTATTGATCTCTAAGAACAGCCCTGGTTTCGATACGTTGAAAGTGCATGATTGTCGATTACACTTGTGGACCGAAAATAAAAAATTTGTCAATTTAATTGATAATATTTTTGGCTAGTTGCCGTCCTGGACGAATATTGTTAATGCAGAGTATTATAAAATATAGAAAATTATATTTGCAAGTAACAGAGATAACTGGCAGTTCTTAAAAAACTATTACTAGTTTCACGATGCTCGCATATGCATTAAGATGCTGTAATTTATGAAAGCGATATTTGCCTTTTTACTCTGTCGATATATTTGTTGATCTTGGATGTAGATTAGATTTTGAATCTAATGTATCCAAGTCTTGTAGAATTATTGAAAGAATGTAATAGACGATTGCAATTAGCAGTCAATTAATGAAAATACATATGCGTTGTGTTTCATAAAAAAAAAAATAATATTTGTCTTTTTTTTCATGAAAATTTATTCTTAATATTTTCTTAGTTCATTTTATATAAAATTTTTAAATTATTTTCATACAATTATAATATATATATATATATATATATATATATATATATATATACATATTTGTATTTGTATAAATATGTTCAGCATATTAAAAACAATATCATTTTTATAGATGCATAAAGCTTTATGCATTTTATAGTAAACAAAATATATTATTTTGTATCTGCTTATAATTTTTACAATGTTTTATAAATATTTTGGTAAATTATTTTTGAAAATTGTTTCAATTTTTCATAAATGATATTTTGTTAATGTATATAATAATATTAAACTAATCTATTAGAACGCAAGGCCTTTGAATATTTCATTTGTAAAAATTCTATAATATGTAACAACTAAAAGTTTCTTATTCATAACTTGTATCTGAATTTGTTTAAATAATTAACAATAAAAACATAATTGAATTAATGTATACAATATATAAATTTTTAAATTAATGAATAAGAAATCTCATATCCTAGCTTGGATAAACTCAATGAATTAAATTCTAAGTAATGAAACACTTTCATCTTTTATCTTAAAGTCTTCACATATTTATATGCATATATATGTAATTTACATATTTATATACATGTGTTACTATTAATAATAAATAATATATTAAATATGAGAAATTATATATATTTAAATCCGATAAACAAATTGAAAGACTTCAATTTTTATATTACCTTTAAATTAATAAAATTTCAAATACAATATATTATATTCCACAATAAATCAAAAAATATAAAATATTATTAAATCTGTTTTTTTTATGTCGTGAGAAACCTTAACGATTAAAAAAATATTTATACGCACCTTTTAAATCATCATCTAAAATCTCGAATAGTTCAAAACTTTTCCAAAGATATTATTTGCTTCAAACAGAAATACTAATCTCAAGAATGCAGTAAGCAAATAAATATTAGAAAAATTTTTTAAATAATTCTTAACAAAATTATAAAATTTTTATTACATTACACATACAAGAATTTCAATTACACAAATTTATACGAATTACTGAAATAAATGATTTCATTAAAAAAATAAACCCCTTACATAGAAAAACAAATCCTATGATTTAGTTACTTAATAACTATAATATTGATTTTGTCAGAATTGCAAAATTTATTCTAATGATTATATTCTAATGAGTGCTGGAAAAAAGCTTCTTAATTTTTTTTTACATTTTAACATAAAATAGTTTGTTAAATAATTATAAATTTTTTAAAACAGATACATATTATATATAAGATAAAAAATTTCTTAAAGCATACCCATATAAGTAATTAAGGAAATTAAGAAAAACCAACCATTCCATATGTCGCAATTAATATATGTAAAAAATATTATATTTTAAGAAGAATAAATTGTTTTGATCTTATAATAAAATATAAAAATAGTTTTGCTACATGTAAAATCTAAATGAAAAGTTCTAGAATTATTTCACATTTGTAAAATATTATTTTAAAAAATAATGAAACGATTAACCGCTGTAGTAAATATATATTTTAGATAAAAAATTTGAATACACTCACGGAACCTGCTTTTACTATATAACCTGACTCTATGATTATATGAATTTGCTCTAATTATAACAAATACTTAATTTTATGTAAAAAAATTGAAATTTAGTAAATATTTATGGCTATAATTAATTATTTAATATTTAAAGCAAGAATATAGATTTCTTTTTTTGTTTAATGTATCAAAAATAAATATTGGCTTGCAGTGGTTGAAATTTCAATGTTTAAACAATTATACAATACGCGATGTACACGAATTGTTAAATTAGAATATACGTGTATTAAAGTATTATTTATTAATTGAAAATACTTAATAATACGAGATCAAGAAAGCCAGGATATATAGTACAGTTAGAAATAAGACGTAACTATACCAAGTACGAAAAATACATATGTTCAGAATTTTATTTGATCGTTAAAGATAAATGTGTTCAGTTTTCTGTATAAAACTGTATTTCATATTTTATAGATAAAACTCGAATTTCTTTAAAAATCTAATGAATACAGCAATGAATCTTCTTTCATGCTTTGTCTTAATATTTTTATTTAATTGTAAGTTTCATTATATTATTAAAAATGTTGAGTATAAAAACGTATTGACTTTAACGTGTCATAAAATTACTTTTAAGTAAACAATTGTTTAAAAAAAAAAAAAGAAAGAACCATCCATTATAACAATAAACCAATATACATTATTTTCCTTTTTTTTTTCTTTTTTTTTATAGACATTGTCTTGTCCTTTTTGGTAAATGTTCCTGTATATCGTAAAAAATTATAGTAATGTGACTGCTTGTGTCAAGTGGATTTGGACATATGCTCGCGTTGCACAAAATAAACGGCGTCATGCACGGTCGCAAATATAATGCAAGTCAGCTCACCCTTTTCCAACAAATCACATTTTTGTATCATATCAAAAACGATACCCGAACAAGCCGCTAAATACACGTGTACATCAATTTGCGAAAAATCCGCAACTATATCGCGTAGCGCTCTAACACCACTCGAATCAATCTTTGATACAGCGCTCATATCAATTACAATGCACTTCAACGTAATTTTATCATCAAAATCATTTGGCTCTACGTAAACGCCCTTTTTAGCAAGTTTTGTGCGATACTTCTGAATTTGGGAAGGCTTAACACCAACTTTATTCCTTAAGTCAGAAATTAGTTGATTTGCATTCACAAAGTTTATGCTACCTGCGTAATGGAAAATCTTTAAGCCAAATATCTCGGCAACCTGAAAAATAATTAACAAAAAGTAAAATATTATTTTTTTTTGTACTACTATGACTATTACTATTACTACTAATAGCGTTAGAATTATTATCTTTCTATATAACAGCGTTAATTTCTTTCTAAATGAAACCTTTAAATATATTACTTTTATCACTGGTGCTTTTAACCTTTATAACAATATATTTTTTTAATTTTAAAATGTACTCACTCCCACATAACGACTTGTATCCAAGTACAATTCCGTATTTGGAACATGACCCAGCAAACAGCTGTAAGGTTTTATACTTTGAAATAAAACAGTTGCTATTGATGCTAATAATCCACTAATTAAACCAATATCGATATTAATCAATGCAGTTGACAAAAAAGTAATAATCCATATTATGCCGTCGACTTTACTTAACTTCCAAATTTTTATTAATTCTTTGGCTTGGAACAACAATCCTTTTAATGCTACCTGAAAAAGCAAAGTCTGAGTTCAGTTATTCAACAACAATTTTCTTTATCGTATTTATGTGCTTAATTCTACAAATATTTAATTATTAAAAAAATTTTCTTAATTTTACCTATTATATATTGTATTATGATAATAAAACACAATTATTGAAATAATTTACTTACAACTATAATCGACGCTAAGATGCACTTTGGTAATGCTTCGAAAAATGGACCAATCCATAAAAGTATTACAAGTATTATAAGACAAGAAACCACACTGGCTAATTGACTTTTTCCACCAACGGTTTGTTGTATTAAAGATCTACTTAACGATGCTGATATTGGCATACATGAAAAAAAAGCACCAAATATATTACTGCTACCCTGTAAAAACATAATTTATTTGAATTATTTTAAGAAACCATTGTAGTATTATTTAATTATCGCTGATATATGAATTCTAATATTACCATTGCAAATAATTCCTGATTAGAATCAACTTTATAATGCAATTTTTTTGCAAAAATCAAACTCATTGACATAGTTACTGTATAAGAAACCATGGTTATTTCAATGCTCTCCAAAACAACAGTGGGCAACAATGAAAAAGCTGGTAACTGTGGCTTTGGTAATCTATCCAATTATTAAAAACACCTTAAACATTGATAGGAATTATTTCGTACGAGTAAATTATACTTTGATTTAGATCAGAAACATATTCACCCCGTAGGTATATATCCAACAGTTTTAATATTATATTTGGTTGAAAATTCACAATAATGTGAAATCACTGTTCCAGTTATAACTGCTATTAATTCAACAGGTACAGGAAAACTGCAATATTTTCTAATCCATGACTGCAAATGGCATAAGTTGGTACTAATTTTCTATTTATTATAAAATTTTACATCTTTTTTTTAACAATTTAAAATTACTCTCTCTCTCTCTCTTTATGTATGTGCGTATACGCAGACATAGTTGGGCGAGTGTATTAACATTAAAAATTTTTATTTATATTATTAAATTTTAAATTATTAACAAATATATTTTTAAGTGTAATAAATAAATAATTACATACTTTTAATAACTCATTGGATAGAATCATTAAACAGATAGCAATGGCAGAAACTATTATAGCTGCTGTATTCGCATTAGAAATATCATTAAAAATAACAGCAACAGTCTGTAAAAAATATATTGTTTGCATTATTTAATTAACGAACCATATTCAATTTTTATTTCTTTAAATAATTACTTTAAAAAATTTAAAATTTCCATTTGGCTTTACTGAATCCAATCCTATTAAATCAAATATTTGTGATAGTAAAACATGTATTGTTGCTCCAGTTGTAAAACCATTTACAAAAGTTTCACTCAATAATGTACTAATAACACCTAGTCTCATTACATACATGATGAGCTAAAAATAACAATAAAGTAATAAAATGAGTTTATGTATTTTCACCACACTTTTATTAATAAATTAATTTTGCATGAATTAATATTGAGAAGAGAAATTCAAATATTAATGTAAAAGAATTCGTTTAAGAATTGGTGGTTTTTTAGAATTTATAAACGTATTCAATTATGGTATGTATTAAATTACCTGAATTATTCCAACCATAAATGTAACAGATGTAGCTACTTGCATTGGCGTGTATATTTCTTTACTATCAATTGTTGTTTCAAGTTCTTGCGTATGATTATCTATTCCTATATTTTCTAAGGGTGTTGAGTAAGAAGTGATTGCTTTGCCAGTCATAAGGCATATTATTGCAAATGTTCCTAAATAATAATATTGATTTTTTGTTTAAATTAAATTAAAGTAAAAATTATTTATTGTTTATGTTAAATTATGGTTAATTTAGTACAATTACAAAAAACTGATTTATTCAAAATTTATAGAAATATTGAGAACAGTCGAATTAGCTTATGTAAAAACTATATATACAAATGATGAAAACTAACAATGACAATTTTTTAAAAATAGATCTAAATCTATAGTACGTAGAAAGTTGATGAGTCTATGTTACAATACATAATACTAGATTTTATTATATTTTTGTAAAATAACAGAAACATGCTTACATTTACATTATTCAAATACTATATTCCTTTTATGTACATATGATTACAAATACTTTTATTTGCAAAAGAAAATGTTCATATATACTTTATAATTAATATTATAATTTTCAAATTTACATTTATCATAAAAAGATTAAATAGCAGGATAAAATTCTTTTAAAAATTCTTACCCATCGAAACATGTCTTGAAGTACCAAAAATAACGTATATGAGTACAGGAAAGAATGCCATGTATATGCCAACGACGGGACTTAAATTCGCTAAGAAAGCATAGGCCATACCCTGTGGAATATGCATTATAGCTACGGTGATGCCAGACATGACATCGTAAATAAAGTCATTCTTCCATTTATATTTTCTAAGCCAGTACGACGCTGGTATCACATTTTGAATACAAGTTTCAAAATTTAAAGACTCTATAGATTTTTTTGCAGTTTCTATCACTGAAAGGAAAAAGAAAATCAAACGATTGCAAGTTAAATATTAATAATGCTAAGACATGATACTACTATCTTACCAGATATTTTTGGTTTTTCATATTGATATAATTGACGTAGATCCTGTTCTTCCAACACAGGACGTTGCACATCCAGTTTCAAAATTATTTGGGAATCCTTCCTTAAGTTACCTTCACAAGTGGTTTGCATTAAAATAAGGGGAGGGGGACAAAATCAAACACTCTTAATCATCCAAATTTAGTAAAAAAAAAAAAAAAAAAAAAAAAGACAGAGCGTTACAAACAAATATAATGTGAAATGTGAAAATGTTTTGGGAATTTCCCGCATTTTTTCAAATTTAAAATATCTTGAACAACTCAAGCAAAAAATATGTATTGAAATGTTCGATAGTGTATTATTTTCATTAATAGCAAATTGGAAGTATTATCATAAAATTGATATGCTTTATATAATAAGAAATAGGACGTGGCACTGCATTATAAATATTGTAATGTTAAATATACCCGATTGCTACATTACTCATTAGTATGCAAATGACTTATATTTACAATATGTGCGAGCGCACAGACTCGCCCGCCGTATTGATGATATGAAAAATGCCCTTTAGAAATTGCAAATTTACCTTGAAATCGTCGGATATCCTGAGCATCGTCGTTGGATACCATGATTTTGTAAATCGATGTCTTGTACTGTTTCTTTTTTCGATAAGCCGCAGAACGGTGGACTATTCAAATCTCTCGCACTTACATACCTTCGATGAACCGACTTTCGCGCTAATTGCATCACGGGAATCATATCCACGTGACCATTGCGATAATAAAGCGTGACCATTTAAAAGCATAGAAGAAAACAACTAATTGGCTGGGCTATAGAGAACGCGGTAAAAAAGAAAAGGAAAAGAAAATGTGATGACAACACAACAGAGCAAATGTAATCTCTTATTGTGCAAACATCCACTATCGTAAGTTACTAGTTCGGTCTATAATTGATTTTATAGATGGCGTCTAACGCAAAAGCAATTCAAGCATTTGTGATTTATTTAATCGTTACGAGATACGATATGAAAGGAGAAAATTATAATTAATTTTTTAAAATATTGAAAAATATATGTATAGAAAAAAAGAAAGAGAAGAAAAAGAGAGCCCCGAATATGAAAACAGAAAGAACAACTTGTATTAATACTTATTCTTTATTAATATTACGAGTTTTTATATAATCATGATATTAAATAGTGTTTTTCTGCACTCGTATATATATATATATATATATCAATACATACACATATGCATGCATGCATATATGCATACATATATATATATAAAAACATACACTTATGCATACACACATGTATGCATGCATACATACATAATACATACATACATAAATATATATATATATATATATATATATATATATATATATAAATTTCATGTATAAAACAAAGATTTTGTTTTACCATTGGCAGCAGATGATTGAATTGTACATTTTACAAAATTTTGTTCAGTAACAAATTTATATAGTTGGCTAATAGTTTCTTTTAATTATCGACTAAAGTACTTTTTATTATCCTTCCGGTTCATGAAACATACCGTATAAAATTACTTTTGTCAATTCATAGTAACAAAAGTTCATTATCGAAATTAAATATTTCATGATCACTATTGCTTTAAAAAAAATTCATTTCACTTTATAAAGTATAAAATTATGAACTGCAAATAATTATTTCTTAGCGAATGATATTTTCATGGCATGAGATTGCGTGATTTTGAAACCTTGAAGAGCATCTTTAGCTGCACCAGACTGCACTTCGTTTTCAAATTCTACAAAAGCAATGTCGTGTCGATTTGGAACTAAACGTACTTCCTTGAAACCGGGGAATTGATTAAACAACATTGATAACATCATTTCACTCGTTTCGTCTGGTAAATTAGTAAGGAAAAGAATTTGATTCGGAGGTTGCTCGGGTACAGCTGCGTTCGATAGACCCATATGTTGAGGCGCACCGGATGCATAACCCATCTGTTGTTGTTTTGCTTGCTCTTTGGCTCTCTTTTTAGCTTTTCTTGCCTCTTCATCGGCAGCTGGTATAATTCTCTTTGGTTTTTTGGGCCTCTCTCTAAACGTACCTTTCATTTTTGCAATTATATCACTATCTGTCTTTGAGTAATTTATTCGCTGAAAACATTAAGATACGTTACCGATCCAATATCTCTTCCTTATAAAAATAAGAATTGGTTAAATTAAATTAAGTGAGCTTCCGTATGTATTTCAATTCGTGTTTTGATAAATTCGATACCTCAATGATTTTTATTGCGCTAATAATTTGTTGAAAATATCATCCGAAATGAAATATACCAAATATTATATTACAATGATCTGTCGATGGTGGTTGGCAATTAATTCGATTATCGCCAACGACATATAATTACCATTGGTTTGTCGTAAAATGGAAAACCTTGCATAGACCTAAGGGCGTTTGTTGCACTGGCAATTTCCTTGAATATAACAAAAGCTTGACCTCGCATTTTTAGAGTCTTTAGAGCTACGATGTCTAAAATCTGACCAAATTGTGAAAATATAGCGTATAAAGATTTTTTCAATTCATCCTTCTTAATTTTTTCATTTAAATTATTTATATATATAGTATTATTTGGTCTTATGTCCATGATCTGGAAAAAAAAAATTATTAAGGTTATGTTTAACAAAATTATGAAGTACGAGATTGCCTCGTTAATGAAGCACATAAGTCACAGAATCGCATTAAATGATGATGTTTGAAGGAAGCCGATGAATCTGCTAATTTTCAATGAATAACAAAGGTATAAAATTTCAAACTTTATCGTTTACGCAAAGATTTTCAACGTCCCATTACCTTAATAATAAATAACCAATTAAACTCAACGGAGATACTTACGATATATTATGAGATTAAATATTTATGTGTTGTAGTTTATCTTAGTATAAATACAGTATAGACACTTATAAAAGACAACCGGAAAATCAGCGTCGGAGTTCCCTCATGCTACTACAAGCCATGCAAATTCGTAACCTGACGTTCTCGAATACCCACAGGCATATGAGACGCCGATACGTCCATGCAAACATAAATATAAAATTTCGAAATGGAACGAGAAGACCAGCCGGTGGTAAAGACGTTTTTCAAGCGGTTTACATGAGAGTTTGATGTCCACGGTGAATGGGTGCGCGGCGTAACGATGACGACGGCGGACGGGGGAAGAGAGGGGAATGAAAATAACGTAGCCGAGTCGATCTCGGAATTGGATTTTTTCCCTATTAAATAATACTTTAACGTGGGGAGAAAGAGAGCGTCTCGCTTCGTAAAGATTTTTTAGTGAAAAATTGCACTTTTTATAAACGACAAGGAGCAAGTGTGACTTTTAATTTTCTATATTGTAAGGAGACTGATGAGCAGTAGACATTCTGCTAGATGTATGGAAACTCGCCTTAATTATTTAAAATTGTGTTCCAGTCCTATCGAGCAGCACTACGGCAATGCTTTCTTACGAACAGAGGAGAAAGCATCGATTCAAAGCCTACGTTAACCGTCCAATGTCAACAAACACTCTTTCCTTCGCCGAAAATAATTGATATTTTTGTAAGAATATAGCTTAGTAAGTAGAAGGGTGATAGCTTGGCACTTGAGATAACACTTTGGTCGAGTGGCAATGTCGTTTAGTCTGATTCTTGCTTGAATTATCGTCGTTTAAGAAGAAAATGGAGGAGAACGATGTTTGCGATTTGACGATCTCGGAAAAGTTTCAAGAACCGAAAAAGAAATTTTGGCTTGTAAGTGCATTTATTTATTTAAGAGAACGATCAATCTCTTGCTTTTAATAATCAAATATCAACTTGAATATTGAATTTTTAAAGTCAAAAAATGTCGTATAGCGTTTATAGACTTTTCCTTACATAATCGATAGCTGTGTTTTTTAATCATTAAGATATGGTTTTAAACTGAATGTTCGTTAGCATGAAAAATTTTCTGTCACTTTAGCGTTCGAGGAAACGACCAAAAAGCGATGCAATCAGTATTAGTTCGATGGACATTTCCATAGATTCTACATTAGGTAAACGAAAGAAGCGTAGAAAGATATCGGAGGTAGCTAGTAATTTTTTTGCATCTGCGAGTAGCAAATCATTGGATCAAACTATAAATGCATCTGAAGTTTCATTTATAGAAATGGAACCGCCATCGGTTCGAAAAAAGTAAGTATACAGTTACAATAATAGTTGTGATCTTTGTTTGATATTTTCTCTCTTTTCTTTCTTGTTTTCAATTATTTTCATTGGCTTTTCTTCATTTTGTTTTATATTTTCCTTTTTTTTTTTTGATTTCTTGTTTTTTTCAGAATAAGAATAAGTAACGAACATAATGAAAATATAGCGATTCGAAGTTGGATGTTAGATGTTGCAGAATTAGATATTGCATCGACTCTGAGTCGTAGGGAGATTAAGCGGCAAGAGGCAATTTATGAGCTTTTTTGTGGTGAAAATGTACTATTGAACGATCTCTGTATACTAAGAGACTTTTATTATCAACCTCTGATGTTAACCAATATCTTTACTAACGAGGAGCTAGTTACTCTTTTTGGAGATGTATCAAAATTCATTCAAATTCATGGTAAACTTCGCGACGAGATGGTAGAACTGCGAGATCGTTCTGGATTTACAGAATGCGTCGGACCTACAATAGTCGATTGGGTAAAATAGATTGTTCTCTTGCGTTCGCGACAAGCAGTGAACGTGATAATGTAGTCCAATTGCTTCAAGAAATTAATCTAATATAAATTTTTGTTTAACGCCGTAGCTCGCACAGTTACCAGACCTGTACATCGAGCGATGTAGAACGCAAATATGGGCAAGATGTATATTGGAGTCGAAAAAAATATCATGCAGACGTTTTCAAGAATTCTTGAAAAAGAAATCAGAATCACTTAGGTCAACGGACCTATGGACATATCTGGACGTGACACGCTCAAGAATAGTCAAATATCCTTTACTCGTAAATGAAATTTTACGACACACCCCAGCGGGACACGTGGACGAAGCTGCTCTGAAACGAGCGAGCGAGTTGTTATCCGAATTATTAAAAACGATCGATCAAGCAATGGGCGACGCTGAATGCAAGCTTGCTCAGACAAGAATAAACATGCGATCAGAATACGATACAAATAAGTGTATCGAAAATGCCACGGATTTGTTAACCGAAGGACCATTAAAGGATTCGAGAGGAACGGTAATATTAATATTTTATAATCACATCGTATATTTAACAATAAATAATATCATTATAATTACAATCTTTTATTTTGTTCATTACAGAAATATCACTGCTTTCTTTTTAATACGTGTTTTGCTTTAACAAGATCGAACAGACGTCCAAACAGAAAGTACAATCTTTGCTTCCCGATTATACCGCACGATCAACTGAACATACAAATTATCACTCCAAATAAAACGACTGCGGCGAGTTTCAAAATCGGCGAACATATTTTAATGAGCGATGACGAGCATCACAGAAGACACTGGCTAGATTCTTTCAAGCGTCTGTCAATGCCTAGATTCGAAACCAGGCGGAAGCAGAGCGTTGCTAAAAATGAAAAAGGAAAAGAAAACGAGCCTGAAGTTCCCGATTGTATTAAAACTGGTTTTAATAGACGGTCTAAGAATATTGTTCGCGACGGTTACTTCACTATTTCATTGAGAAAAACCTTGCTCAGGCATACTAGGAATAGCATTGACAATATTTAACTTCGTATAATTTATAATTTCATGTTAATCGAGTCATATTAACGCATTCAAATCTTAAAATGTAAGATTTGCCAAATTAACTTTTACAACTAGATAAGAACTAGATAAAACTGTAATGGATATTTCGCAAAGTACTTTATATTTTGTACAGCGCTGTACCATCTCGGTAAGCGTTTATATATCAAAGATTTGTATTAAACTTTTATACCTCACTTCGAAGTCTCTATTTTCATGACCTTCGATTTTCGTAATGAAGATTTTGTATTCAATATAGAAAAAAATACTAATATGCAAATAATGTATGAAAATAATGTGTATTGAAATACAATTTGAAACTAAAACATTATAAGTCAATTATAATGAGATAATTTTTAAGCGTCTAATATTTCATCATGCATTTATATGCAAATGCAATGTGAATATATGATTATATGACCCGTTTGTTTTGGAAAATCCAAAGTATATAATGACTTTACGTTTTCGTAGGTTTCATCGAATTCCCATCGGGATATCGCTTTTTAAAAGCTCTTATCAATTGCGGATCGATCAAGTGTACACCATCAACTTGATTTCCCAATGTAATCCAATTGGGCTGAACATTGTGAGGTCTGCCAAAGAGCTCGATTTTTCTCGTCCCCGGGCTCATTCGCTCAATTATTCCGTAAATTTCATCGGGCTTGTGACTCGTGGCCCGCACTTCGGCAACGATCACATCACTATCGAGTCCTCTATTAATTCGCGGATTCCCTTTCATACCGACCAGGCAATGCTCCTTTCCGTGATTCAACCAATGGCCGGTGCGACCCGTTCGAATAATCCTCTGCAGTTGGTTTGTCTTAACCCAGATTATTTCATCCACTCGTTCATAGCCCCAAAGCTGAAGACACTCTCGACCCAATTCCATGGCCCTACCTGTCACCCACAAAAATAGGAGTCCCTCATCCTGCAGCGCTGGAATACCTAACTGGCGCATTTCATCATCTGACATCGTACCATACGGTAGCTCCATGTGAATATCCCACGGTGGATCTGCCATTATAACTGCAAATTTACCGAGCACCGTCATGTCCAAATATCGAAGGTCGCATTGAATCCACTGGGGCGGATATAAGGTCAGCTCCGTGCTATTTTTATTAGTTAACGTGGACGAATTGTCCGCTATAGTAGCATTCGATACGTGCTTCTCGATACTTCCGTTATTCGCACTTGTTTCGTCGGCGGCGACGTTATTTTGTTGCTGCTGAGTGGTTGATCCATCAACCTCGTAATGTACATATTTACAAGTGTCCATATGAAAACAAGTGTTTAAGAAGCTACAATCGCCAAGCGACTCGTCCGTGTGAGCTTGAATGATCTTTTTAAAGTGCAACTTCTTGCATTTATTGGCGAAGCCCTGATTGAGCTTTCCACAATCGACTCGTGTACCATGGGGGCAGAATTCCATTACTTGCGCTCCCCCCTGCGAACGAAATCTCTCTGCCAGGGATTTTTCTTTGGAAGTTTGCTTGGAAAGTAAATCCAAAATCTGCTCGCCCACTTTCTTGTTTTCCTTCTCTCGAATTGTTGGCATTGATATAAGCGACATTATATCCTCCGTATTTTTCGTGTCAATTTTAATTTGTTTCTCTGGTGGTGCATTGTCGCTCAATTCGGATGTTGTCGATTCCGTACTTTCTGCATTCTCGATAATTTCAAGAAGACATTGCGCATGAAGAGGCTCTGCTTCGGCGAACGAAAGGACCGTGTATCCAAATACTCCATCTTCGGTTACCTCCTTAATTCTACAAAAATTAATGCATTAAAGTTAAAAACATAAACGAGACCAAAATCGTAAGATCGCAAGGGTAATTTAAATAACTTTTCAACGTAATATATCACTCTTTGTATTTATTAAGCTTTAATATATATTTTGCATATTACAGATTCTTCTTTCAGAATCTTCTTTCAAAATTCATTCCTAATTTATTGTACAAAAAACTAAGGCCAACAATAATAACTATACAAAAAATTTTCATAAATATTTGCATTGTATAAGGTGGAAAGACATTGTAAAATGGCTTTAAAAATATCAAGAATCAATGATAATGGTATTAGGCACATATTCATAAAAATTACATATTAAAGTAATTTTAATAATTCAGTTTTCTATCTAAATATGAATATATTACATTTTTATATTATGATAATATATTATCATTCATAACAAACGTGTATATATAACCGATACATATATATCGATCGATATTAAATATATTTGAAAATAACATCATAAAATTGATTTTCTTATTATACTGAATTATCATATTTTACTTTTACATAACCAATACTAAAAATTATAGAATTCTATTATTATTATTATAGATTTTACATTCAATTTTTTGAAAATTGAAGAAAATCAAATACTGAAATTAGAATATAATTATTTAAAATAAAAATAACATTATGGTACATACAGGTTATATTAATAGAGCATATACATACTTAACAACATCCTGAGCAGCCAGCTTTTCTAACATTTTATTAATGTCAGCATGTGATACATCAGCGTTTAAATTTTTTCGCAGCTGATCCAAAAGTTCCGCTGATGTGATCGGTAAATTTTGATAAGTCTCATGAAGTATACACAACACATCACGTTCGTATTCAGCATGATTGGAAGATAATGATGTCGTTGGACCTAATAAATAAAAATTACATAATTCATGTATAAGATGGATTTAATTTAAACATTACCTAATTATGAATATGTACTATGATAAAATAATACCTGGTGATTTAAGATGCTCGTTATTAGGTGACAGAGATAGAGAAGCCCTTGATGTTAACGTAAATAATTCATGTCTCTCTCGTTTTCTTTTTTGCAACTTCTCCCTTAAACAATTTCTTTTTATCTTTATGGCTTGAATTTCTTCAAAAGCATCAGACATTGTTTTTTTTATTTTACATATAAAATAATCCTTAGTTATCAAAACTCAATTTGATTTTAAGCCTGAAACGCTTCTACTTGTAATTGTAAATATCTCATTGAGTGTACTATATTAATAAACAAAAGAATCAGCCAACATTAAACTCAAAATTAAACTTAAAAAAAACATGTATTTATTTATATTGTTAAATATACTTTTCACTAATACATTGTGTGGCCTCTTGTTATTACACGACTTGATGTAGTAAACATTTAAACATTCAGTACATAAAGGTTATAAAGCGTCGTATGTCATCAGCAGCATTTAAAAATGGCGTTTGCGAATATTTTATATGGAGAACATTTTTTACGTTAATTGTTTGAAAAGTCTTCTTTTTCTCTCGCTTTTTTTTATTCGTCAGTATACTAAATCACTGCCTATCAATTATTGATATATACATAGGGAAAGTAATGGTTGGCACAAATACCATTTTATATTCAAATGATTTACACTCCTTCAAATAATGTAGTATTTAAATTTTTTTTTTTGGTTATGCTATATTTATGCCGGCATTTTTAACAGCGATTATGCAAAATAATACACAGTATATATATGTATATATATATATATATATATATATAATTTTGAGTAATCAATATTTCTTAAGTTTAGTAAAGTATGTAGAATTATAAATAAGTAAGTAGTTAATAATAATATTTTTAAATGGATTCCGTATCAATGTACGACGACAACGAATGTGGAGATCAATGTTTCACCGAGAATACAGAGGATTTAGATTATGATTTTGTATATGATCAAGAGACACCTCTTGAGCTCTATCACTATTGCATTTTCCCCACTGTAAAAGACACAATTTGGTATTTGGTCCCACTTATTGTTGCGTCGCTTATCTGTAATGTAGCTGCTAGAATTAGTAAGTAGCAAGTTTATTTATTTTTACTATAATTATATAAATATTATTTATGCACTTTTTAATCATAGGTCAATTGCCACATAATGTATTTCATTGCGTAATGGCTTTCACAGGAATTTTTACAATCTGGAATTATGCATATGAGTGCTTTTATTTATTATTATTATTTATTTTGTTTTCTTATATTTTCTTGTATTTACCTATGAAATTTCGTAGAGGAACGAAAGTATTTATCCCAAGTCTTTTATTCATTTTGTATTGGTTAGTATTTAAATATTTCTATCGAATTTATCCACAAAATTACTATGTAAAGCATTTAGCATTTTAAGTTTCAGCATAAATTTTTTAGTATATATTTTCTGATAAATTAGAAATTCTATACGTTACATTATCTCTTGTTTACATAAAAGTCTAGATATAATTTTTAAATTATTTTCTTTTCAGTGAATTTTTTATGAATCCAAAAGAATGGCATAAAATTCGAGGAGTTGTTATGATTGCTACAATGAAAGCTAGCAGCGTCGCTGTGGATAAGGCAGAATTAAGTAGTCATATTAATTTTTACGAATATGTTGGTTACATGTTATGTAGTGTAACTGCATTATTTGGTCCATGGACATCTTTTGAGAATTATAGAAATTTGTATAAAAAGACCACTTGGGTATAGAATAACGTCTAATTTTCTTGTATTTGATTGTAAAGAACAACAATTATATCAGCAAATATCTTTACAGAAGTTTTGGTGGATTTTCATAGTAATTGGCTACATGGCCATAGCATTTTTCTGTTTATGCATATCAAATTGTTGGACAAACTGGATCTTGAGCAATTCAGCTGGAAAGTACATATCCAACATACTCTCTACTTACAGTCAATTTTTACTCGATAATCTATCTCAACTTTATGTTTATTTAGATGGATGTTAGCTTTTAGAGACGCTTTGGGATTTAGAACTTCTCATTATTTTATATGTTTCACAGCATCTTCGATAATGTTAATGGGAGGATACCCACTTTCTCAGACATTAATAACTAAACCCTTAGAAATTGAAGTGCCTCGATCGCTCGTGCAAGTCGTCATAAGTTGGAATATACCGATGCATAACTGGCTCAAATCATGCAAGTTAAACAACATAACGTTAATAACTTTTTAAAGCATACACAGATAAATATACTTTTATCCATATGCTATAAATTTTTATTAATAATGATTATAATTTACAACATATTTAAAGACATTAATAATAATGCATCAAAATAGTAAAAACATAAAAGAATGTATCCTATGCAGCTGTGTATGCTTTAAATAGTCACCTAATTAGTAATTATTGATATTATTTATTTCCTGATCGCATATTTAGCTAAATCATCAATATTATTTATAAGTAAATATCAGTGCATAAATAGCCCTTTGAATTAAATCCAATAGATGTATTCCGTCCTGGATGTAAGCAGCTTGGAAAATTTGGAGCAATAATAATGACTTATTTAGCAAGTTCTTTACTTCATGGATTAAATTTTCAACTCGCCGCTGTTCTTCTTAGCTTGGGTTTTTATACTTACATTGAGTATCAGCTGAGAAATCTGCTAGCCAACGTTTTTCATGCTTGTATAGCTTCAAAACAGTGTTCATTGTATAAATGTGAACATTTAAGGAATTCCATAAACTGCTACTGGGTCACTTTAGTAAATGGCTTATTTGGTATTTTAGCAATGTTTCATTTGGCTTATTTAGGCCTTATGTTTGACACATCAGATATTCAAGAAACTGGTTACAGTTACAGCCATACTATCGATAAGTGGTCACAACTTGGATTCGCAAGTCATTGGGTTGCTTTTGCCACTTATTGTGGATATTATTTAATAAGATGACATTAAATTTGTTAATTTTTATACAAACATATTAAAAAAGTGCTACTAAAAAAAACAAAAACAAATAATAATAATATTACACATATTTACAATAATTATGGAAATTTTAATAAGTATTTGTATATTAATTAATTGTAACTCGTAAGTCATTACTTACAGCTTCCGATTCAAAAGTAAAAAAGTATTTTTATAATACAATCATATTTATAATACTGATGTATATATATTTTTTCTTATTATTTTAAAAATATTTGCTTAAGGATTCTTATCATGTTAATTAAAAACATTCAATATTTAAATAAAAAATGCGATTATTAATAAAATTTTCAAAAATATAAAAATATCGAAAGTAAAATCATAACTACATTAATAATTATATATTTGTAAAGAGTCGTATTTGAAATACAGTATAAATATTAATAAATAAATACACATGATTTGTTTTTTCAATGCTTTAATTGTTGCAAAGCCCATCTATATATATCCACAGTTACTTACAGAAGAAATACCAACATTTCATTATATATACTTATAAAAGAGCTTACACAAACATTTTACGCTTATTTAAATTTATGTACATTTTAATCGATATTGCCAGGAAGACTGACATTTATAGCACATTAAACAAGATTTAAAGATTCTAACAAGTTTACATAGTATATCTTAAAAGAGAAAATATATCTTATACGCCTTGGTATGTGTATGTTATATCTTTGTATGTGTTTGATTTGAACCGTGGGCGGGTGTTTATATGTACTTATATTTAGGAAATTTATCTGTAAAATCTTTAATTTGTGTACAAAATTAAATATAACATTATACAATTTTGTATAAAACATTACTTCACGCTTTTTATTTTCCTCATATCACTATCTCACACACTCTCTCTACATATATACATACATATATATATATATATATATATATATATATATATATGCATCTATAATAATTTTATAGCACTTTCATTATAAATTTATCTGATTTTCAGTTAATCATGACTTTTATCGCAAAAAAATGCATTCACTTTATGTTTATTTAATCATTAAAAGCAAATAAAAACAAAAAATTCATATATTGTAAATTTACAATATTACATATGCAAACTTTCAGGTTGTCATTCATTCTCAAATAAATCACTGGTAGTAAATATATCTTGCAATTAATAAATTTACTTTTTCTTCAAGGTATGACATAGTAAATGTAATTTAAAGAAAATCGTATTATATTCAGATTTAGCTAATGACACCAAATTTGAATATTATCTAATTTGACATATGAACAATTGTTTACTGAAACATGCAATATAAAAAACGCGGGTGATGAAGTTTACATGGCTTATTCGGTTTTTAAGAGCTTAAAAAGTTATATTACAAGCTTGACATTTAGATTTAACATTTGTGTTCCAGTCATTGCTCAAAGCCAAGCTAACTACGTAGATTATTAAGTGCAGTCTTTAAAGAAGAAGAAAGAAAAGATTTTTAAAAAGTTAAAATAATTGGTATTAAAAGAAATATAGGCTATTAAACCTATTAGCTGACTCTAATAAACATTTTAATTGCTATTTTTATTTATATTAAACTGGAAAAACATATTTTTACATCTAGTTTATGTGCTTTTGAATGTTTCTATGAAAATCACTAAGGAAGAGAAATAAGTCTAATTATGTTAAACAATGATTGATTTTAACAGAAATATGAATAAGTATGAAAAATAATATTATATATAGATATATGAAACAAAAGCATCTATGTTGCTATTACTTTTTACATTTAATTAAAATAAACTTTAGCTTATAATTTATTTTATGTTAATTTTTTTTTTTTTTTTTTTTTTTTTTTTTTTTTTTTTTTTTTTTTATCAACTAATCTTATTTCACATAAATATTACAACAATAGTTTAATAATTATTAAATATAATGACACAATCGGCTTTGAGTTATTTATGTAACGCACGGAAAAGAGTTATTTGCAAATGCCATAAAATGTGTATATATATAAAATAATAATAATAATAATAATTTATTTAATCGATAAAATATACTAATATAATTTGTAGTTTCATAAATCTATGATTATGTTAAAGATCACACAAAACGCGTAAATTTCTAATAAATATATCTCTATTTAGCTTATTAATTAATTATGCACAATAATGTATATAAATTTGTTATTACGGGGTTGATATAATAGTTCGTTCCGTCTTTAATGCTAATAATGACATCACATCGCAAAACCTTAACATTATCCACTTCAAAGGTATATGTAATGCAATCTAGTTTTATGTTATTTGATATCAGAAATTTGATTAAACTCTAAAATTCTAGAGTGCATTATTTGGTCGTATTACTAAAACGTCACTGAGCATTAAAAGTTGTACATACTAAGTTGTACTTTCAACATATTATGCATCCTTATTAGTAAAACAGCAGTAATTTCAAGATATTTATTATGCATAGTGTAAATACCGTTAGTGATTCAGCAAGTTCGTGAAGGCAATATTAATTTTCACGATACACCATGTTCTTAATAATCGGTGGAGACTCAAAGTAACGAAATATTTGTATTAATTAAAAGCTATCGAAATAAATTTATGTAATCGCCTTGACACCATTAATTAATTGGACAATTTTTCCGATCTCTTAAGTTATTCCACATCTATCGCTTTCGATTAGGGCCAATATTTCATTACCATCAGTCTAAGTCGGTCTTAAACATAACACATATAATTAAAATTGCTTGCACGAAATCCCTGAATTGTTTACTTTGCGTTCTCAATCAAGTATGCCGAACATATTTGTTTTACCGTGCTTATGCAGCTTTCAAACATTTTCACAACTGAACAACAATTAATGACAAGAATGCCGCTTCTTTTATACCACTTGTATATTTGGTAAAAATAATTCAATAATATAATTAAATAACGATTGTTCCCTAAATACTCTTTGTTATTCTTTTTATCAAGAATTATCAAAAGTTGATATGAATAGATTAACTGATATGTTGTTGATGTTGCAATGTAATACCTTTCATTACCAAAAACAAGACGAACTACTCTATCATTTCAATATTATGTATGTAAATCTTTCATTTGAAATAAAAATATAAATACAGGTATATGAATATGTATTAATTATATATAAATATCGTTTATTTTATTCTTTAAAATATAAATGGTAATACTGGTTAAAACACAAACCCTAATTGTAGTGTAAAATTAAATTATGTTCCTTGTAAAGTAACAAATTAATCAAAGAAATTCTTAAAATAGATCATTTAATTTTTTGCAACTAAATATCACTTTAACAGCCTACTTTGTTGTCTTACGTATTAATACGATAATTTTTAACGAATTTAAATGTCAAAGATAATCGATTTCACATAATTGTGCATAATATTTTTCTAATATATAAAAAGCTACATTATCCTATACTTTCATAATGGCCGCATTTTAAAAATCCCTTTGCCCACTAAAACAACGCCTGTTTAAGTCATTTATATTCATTTATAAAGCACTACACAACCTGTACAACATAGAAGTAGTGTTAACACGCAACTGTATTAATATAAAGAATGTCCTCTATCACCGTTAGTACCATTTATTATTATATTCTGCTCACGTTATTACGTACGATATTTGAATAAATAACGATATATTTCAGATTTTCTCTAAAAATTTGCTTTGAAGGCACGAATTTCTAAATTTCTTTTGCAAATAATCGAACATATAATAATTTTATATTTTCAAAAAATTATGAAAAATCGGTTATGAATGTAAAACATCTCGAAAAAACTCTACATTATATACTTCGTAAAATAAAAAAATATATATATAATTTTAAAATATTAAAAAATTGCCTTCCGAAATAACAATAGCAAAATAAAAAAACAATTCTAAAATGATGATAAGTAATATTACAGTGTTGTACTAGTTTCGAATATAAATTTTATTGAATTATATTGAATTTAACACAATAACTATATATTATAGTTTATTGAAAATATATATGTCACATTCTATATTTTTTTTTTTACAAATGAAATTCCTGTCTTCGAAGCTTTATATACATTTCAATCCACGTGCACGCGGGCGCACACAGACCACACCTATATATATATATATATATATATATATGTCTATATAAATGATAATTATTTTTATAAAAAATAAAAATCTAGAAAATAAGTGATATTTTTTTTAAATAAAATGAACGTAATCTTACGTATTATATTTATAGTAAATACATATTTAACAAAAATAAAAAATATGTTATTTAGTAATTTTTAAAAATATATTATAAAAAAATTCTTTTTATGATACTCTTTCGGTTATATGATTAACAGTTTTTAAAGATTTGATAATGATTTAACAGAATAATTAAAGATAATTATTGGTGTGATTAAAGGCCATATTATAAAAAGATTTTCACTCTAAAATCAAGATTGGCCGACATTTTATCTTCGCCGTAAATTCACCATCTATAGTGGAAATTGATTAATGCTATTTAATGTGTACAAGAAGATTATTAAATCGAACTCATTCATACTAAATACGAAAATTCGATTCTTCAAAGCAAACTTATTTAGTTAAGCCTCAAAATTAACAATGGTCAGCTTAATTCTTAATAAACACTTTAAACGGCTTGACAACGAATATCACGCGCAACTAATAAGTCAGATTTCTTTAGCTGTACTTCAACAAAAGATGCTCATGTCATAAAAATTTCATACATAATCCAATTAAATGCGTAGGAATGACGAAGTTCTCGTGTATACATAAATACATACATGCAATTGACCTACCGTGTGCACCAAAAGGCGACGAAATCTTTATGACAGGCACTCTCAACACGCCCAATGAATTCACTCGCTTTCCCTAAAACAAATTTGGGAATCGACCGTCGAAGGACGAGCTTCTCCCATCTTCGCACGCATAAACGCACTCACGCGCGCGCGCGCGCGTAAACAAACAAACATACTCGCGCACGAACACGCGCGCCCGCGCCCGCGCCCGCGCCCTCACACACACACACACACATACACATACACATACGGAGATGATAGGAGATAGCTCGTAATCATCCATCCTCGCGAGAGCTGGCGTGCGTGCGTGCGTTAATCGCATTAGTGTCCATAACAAGTGCATATGAATGAGGAGGACGTCGGGATGCCGGGGCGTTGGGGTGCGGCCTCTCACCGCCCTGGCGAGCGCTTAACCGCCGTCGCCGTCATCGGGTGGTGCGTGGGTGCGTATTACTCTACTTGATGATGGGGTTCACGCGGCGAGACTTGCGCCGCTGCTGAGAGACGCGGGGCACTGACACGGAGGCGCTCTGGCTGTCCCCCGCGGTGCCACTGAGAATATCGGTTAGTCATCTGATAATTGCTTTTTTGTAACTTTTTGGCGTGCGCGCACTGCAAAAGTTAGAGAAAAGAACAAACAAAGGGTCGGTATTTCTCTTTAGCCTTTTTGCTTTTTGCTTTTTGCTTTTTCTACATTAGTTTCGTTCGTCCGAGTTTGGATTTGAATTTTGCATTGCTAATTTGCCGTAGCCGCTCGGCTACGAATGCGTAAGGATTTTGCTCTCCTTTTCGCTGCCACTTAGCTTCGGTCGCTCGTTGGACGCGGCAAGGTAAAACAAAGTATTAATCCGTGCATGCATACGTTTCTGACGAGTCGAAGATAAATTAGATCCATGACAAACTTTTAGTTACGAAAAATAGCAATCTTATTTTAATACTCGAATATTTAATATTTGCGTATTAAGTATTATCAATAAGTATTATTGCGTATTAAGTATATAATGTAATGTTGAATTTGGGCTTGTTATAATCAATTATGGCATCAATGTGCATACGAGCTTAACTATCATTATTATTTACTTTTATGCAGTTTACGTGAAATTTGCTTATAAACTTTACTGCTTTTAATGGCTGTACAAGATTATGTAGCCTCTAGCTTTTAATATTACATCGTACGTATCTTTGACGTGTCGTAAACGTAAAAAATAACTAATATTCGAAATATTATACTATACGTGTAATATATATATATATATATATATATATATATATATATATATATATATATATATATCCATCAGTTAAGATGCATACAATGAGTATAGAGTGCGCGCGTGTGTGCGCCTACACACACACACACACACGCGCGCGCGCGCATTTATAGATGTACATTTTAAATGAGATATCATGCATTTCGCTTAGCTTATTTTTAGTCGGCGTTGGATAATATAAAACAAAATAAAAAACAAAAAAAAACATTAGCACTTTATCCCAATTACTAACAACATAATGGAAGCAAAAATAAATTTCTATTGTTATTATATAAGTTTTACTATATTGTCCAATACTGATATAAATTGTTTTAGAAGTTACTTTAACTTTTAAAAAATACGATAATAAATACTTATGGTTATTTATAGTTTTTGAATCTTGTTTGTAGGCAACTTTGATTTAAATTTTCTAAAACACTTGCGCAAGCATTCTATTTTAATTTTTAAACTATTTTTTAACCGATCTTATCTATCATATTACACTTTGCATTAAAATTTGAAAACTAGAATGTTTGTTTTAATTGATAAATAATAAACTATGAATTAATGATCGTAAATATTAATAAATTTTATTTATGCCAGATGACTTAAACGCGCGTTTTCATTATCACGTGCACATTTGGTTACGGAGATAGGAGAAAACCTGAAAGTCGCGCGGAAAGGTCATTCGTCGATTTTCCATAAAAATGAATAACATTTAAAGTCTTTATCTACGGATGTGCGTGTGCGCCTACATATATATAAATATATGTATGCATGTATGTATGTTGGGTGTTTTCTAGTGCGAGTCACTCTACGTTAATTTTCATAACCGTTGCAGTTTAATAAGAAGAGGTTCGAGTTTCACTCATTGAAAGAAGAGTAAGAAAACCACACACCTAGGATCAATGAAGCGCGATTTTTAAGTCGATGCATAAACTACCGCTAATTTAATAGAAATTATAGTAAAACGTATAAAATAAAATGTCGAATTTATGATGCCGAGCGACATAAATTATCTGTAAAGATTTTGCGCGTTTAAGGGATTACATTACGGTAAAATGTTTAAGAATTAAGTAAAAGTTAATTATTTTGATAATATTATAGTAAGATATGTTTCAATAAAATTAGAAAGTCAAATTTGACATTAATCACGTATTTACTCCAATGTTTGAGTTTATTATAAACAGCTTATTTTTAGTTAAACACCTTTGTAAAAAACATGTCTAATATAATGGCAGTACAATGACCGAGTACAACCGATAAACATAAACAGTTTTTACTACAAGATTGTTTAAAAAAACCTTCATAAAAACAATTTATATAAATTAGTTAATGATCTACATCATCGGTAGTAAATGATTAAAATCGAAAATTAGTAAATTAGATTTTTTTTAAATTGTAAAATTTCTTTTTCAGCATTGAAATGGATATTTTTAATTCTTGCGATTTTGATTTAAATCTTTATCAAATATCATTCTCTTCAAATGGCTTCCTAAACAATTTTTAAAAATCTTTTGTTCACTTAACTAAACATTTTAACAGTATTTTTATAACATTTAAGAGATATCCATTGAAAAATTAATAATTTCAAAATGTGAGCCTTTTTCAATATTTACCAAAGAAAAACTAATATTGTAAATAAATTAAAATGTGATAGATATTTTCATGCAGATGGAGAATTATTCTTAATTTCAGCTTAACAATAAACTACAAGACTGAAAAGCACATAATAAGTATATATATGCACATGCTACATAATTAATATATTAATTATTATAAGAACGAAAAGATTGACATAAATTATTATTGTTGAATGTAAATTTTATATTTGTATTGTTATTGTAGTGTAATCCCTTAATAATTATTGTGATAATACTTAATAAAAATAACGTAACTCCAATTGGTTTTTATAAAATAATTGTCTCATTTAATTCATGATATTAATACCACAAGATTTATCCTTACCATACCGCATTATATCTTCAAGAAATGTTAACTGTAATAAACGTCGATATTGTATAATCGATTAATTTTTATCGCGATCAACATTAAAATTTCTTATTTTCTCCACATAAATTTCGTGAACATTATTTGTTACGGCGCATTTTGAATTAGCCAATCGTGCGTCAACCAAGAAAACATGGTCGGAATAAGCAAAAGCTCTATTCCCAATACATACACGAGATTATTAAGGTTCCAGTCAAAATTTTAGATCGTAACAAACATGTTTTAGAATTTACGTTAACAAACGAATTACGATAAAATTTGTATTAATTAAGAGAAACAATTTAATCGAGATTCGATTGATTACTGTTGAAACATATATCACACAGTGCATTAATTGGCATTTAGTCAATAATAAATGCAAATAAAACAAACTAAATATTTGGATTAAAATATATATATATATATAAAGTATATATTTGAATATTTAATAGGTAAAAGCTAAATACGGAAAAAGTAATATAATATCCTTTGTTTGGCTTAGTACGTTAAACGAATAAACAATATGAAATAAAACGCGAACAGAAAATATCCTAAATATTCTGTTAAATTTTGATTGTCGAATACATTAAAATATTAATATAAGCTTTGCTAATATACTTTTCACAGTGACCATATTGCGATAATCTAGAAAAGCAATAAATAAAATTTTAAAAAAGTTTGCTCTTAATATATAATATAATGCCCTAACAATGCAGTATTAGTTACTTTTATAAGGCAAAACACCGATTTTGTACTATACTTCATCCGTGTTATATTACAATATCCTTAGAAACTTTTGAAAATATTGAGATTCGTTTAAACTTGAATTTAGTTTTCCGTTTCCGTAGCTTTATGGCTTGTATTTAGAACTACAGCTTTTTGATCATAAAACCGATGCTCAAAAACATTTACTTCGAAAGTTGCAATGCCGGGAAACAATAAAAACTAAAAAAATAAAAAAAATAAATAAATACTTTTAACTTATAATTACTATAAGTTCGACTCTGTTTCAAAATTACAAATACGGAAAGTTAATACAAAAAATCGTCTTCCGAAATGCTCTAAATCGGCGTAATAAAGACTGCATTACAATGATTAGACTTTAGGCGTTGTGTTTTGACTAAATACATAAGGCTCTTGTGATATATAAAATTATAATAAAAACGTATCACTATACATTAAAAAATTAATGAAAATAAAATATTCTCGGCATAACGTGTCCTACTTATTGCGCATTACACTCACTGGGAATCCAAGACAATTCCAGTCGCAGACATCGCGATATACAAATTACGCTCGACCTCGATAAACGAGTGTCCGTCAACGAGACTCGCCAGCGAGGTTTCGGGCCACTGAGTTGGCAATCATAATAATTATAATAACAATAACAATAATAATAATAATAATAATAAGAAGAAGAAGAATAAAAAGAGGATGAAGAAGAAGATGAATGATCATGATGCAATGACAATAATAGGACAATGCCAGTAGTAGTACAGTTATAGTAGTCGTACTAATGATGATGATGATGATGATGATGATTATGATGATGATGATGATAATGCATACAGCCTCGGCGAAAACATAATGGGCAAACAGCGATGGGCCAGGTTGCCGGGATTAAAAGGATATGCGCAGCAATAGGCGGACGGTAAAAGGCGCTGTCGTTATGTCCAGTGCAAATCGTTGGCAACTTACATCCTGATGTTGTGGGTCCGGGCGAGTCGGTCGGCCGAGCGCAGTATGAGACTCGGCCCGCTGGGGAACTGCGAGGTCGCCGAGGAGGCGGCCGCCTCCGCAGCTCCGCCCGACCTCAAGCTGCTGCTCCTCGTCGCCTTGGGGGCTGCGTGCGCAGGGCTTCCATCGTCAGCCCTCGCGCCATCCAGGAAGGTTACGTCCCCCGAGTACTTTGCCACGGACTTGACGTTTGCCTTTGACAGGTCGGAGTGCGTTGGGTTATTTCTATAAGTGTTCATACTCTTTTATCCGTTAGATTTTGCATTGAATCTTTCGTTCGTCGCGCCCTCAATTACAATTACAAGGCACGCAATACATATAAGAGAGGATTGATTAAGGCTCGTTACGCTGGGTACGACGTGCCAATGATAGAAATCGAGACAAAAGTTGCACATTCATATGATTGTGTAGGTAAAGTGTTAGTCGGTAAGCGAGGATCTCATGTAAGCGGTTGTATTTTGTTTGATTGTATGGGTGGAGTTGTTTTGCGAAATATTATCAATTATAGACAAATAAAATTTTAATATAAAGGAAGCTTCATAAAACAAGATGTATAAATCAAGAAACAAAGAATTCTACTGATTCGAGATTTAACGAGACCGATGCTCTGTCACTTGGTAAACGTTATTTTTTTAATTTTCATTTTCAAATCTTGGCGATGACGGTACCACAATACAATACAGCTGATTACTTTTTTTAGAAATCTTATTTATCTTGAAATAAAAAAGTATACAACTATTATCGATGTCTTTGTATTTATAAGCATTTCCAAAAACACGTAATACTTATACATACGTATTCCCGCGTGGCTGGAAATTTGATTAGTTGTAACTGAAATTATTGCTATTGTGTTACGTAAGTATCGTAGTTAAGTGTCCAGGGCTTGTTTGTAAGCACAATACTTAACTTTTGAATTGAAATAAGATGCCCATTTAAAAACAATACTAAGATTAATTATAAGTCGTTGAATATAATTGTAGCGGTTACGTATTATATAAAATAAGGCCACTAGTTTGTCATTATACATGCATATGAGCTATATGTTGATCCGATTAAGGAAAACAGTTCAGCAGCAAGTTACATTATAAATTATGCATTCACTTAACATATACAAGAAAAAAATATCAGCTTTAATAAAAGAAACTTGTTCAATTGCCATATATCATAATTGCTACAATTTTAAATTATTGAAATTAAGCACTTGTCATCATCATATAATAATACTACTTAATTGTAAAGAAAATATTTTAATTTCATCATTTAAATGTATTTTTAAATCAGTTAGATTTTAAAATATGGTGCTAGTAATAAACTATAAAAAATGAAACCCGCCATACGTTTCTCAAAAAATGCTAAATATGATAATAAGTATATTTGTAAAAAAAAATAATAAAAAAAAGCATTGAATCAGAATGTATTGACAAGTAATTTATAATTTTATAGAATAATACGTTAAAAATACAAATCTGTTTATTGTTATATGAAGTAGCAAACTAGCAGAAATGTATGTACGAATAAACAAAAATTGATTCATTCGCATTTATTTTTGGTCAAATTGATGAAAGATTTGAAAGTTTATAGAAAAAAAATTGATCTTGTAAGTTACTTCGAAAATACATCTAAAACAAAAAAATATACAATTAAATAAACCTCTATAAAATTCTATGAATTACTACAACATTAATCATTCATGAGAATACTATAAATAAGATAACAAGTATGATTATTATTATAATGGATGATTTATACATTTCTTATGTCACTATATTTGGCTATCGAAAGAGTATAAAAAACTGAATAAATCGTCGATTGATTAAATAATTTTTTTTTTGACGAATAAAAATGCAAATACTTAAAATCTCTCGTCTCGAATCCCCCCCCCCCAGAATATTGCACATGTAAAAAAATAGCATATGAATTATTCTACGTATGATCTATCACTACAGTCAATCACATTACATTATATTAGTATTAAGCAGGCACTTGTGTGCTATTTAACTGAGAAGCGATAAACATTAAGTCACAAGTATATTTTTGAGTAATTCTACAATATTCAATTCAGTACTTTCAACAATAATCGTCAATTATTAAATAAGAATTAATAATTAGATATTATTGAAAAAATTAAATATCAGTTAATTTGAAAGTCAAACTTAATAATAAAAATAGATAACATTTTCTTAAAATCCTCATGTATTTACTCAAGATAAATCTCACAAAACAATAATTAATTATATTTCATTAATTTAATAATAGTGACGAACTTTCAATTCTAAAAGATTCGATGTAATATATTATTATTTGATTGTTTGACCACTTGAATTTCATATCCATTAAAAATTCAAATTTCATGCTAAATTCTTATGCGAAACTAAATTTCTAGCCAAGTCGAAAAAAATGACACAAATTCGAGAATTTCTAATGAATGCTTTTTTACAATGCAAGCGTAATGAGAATATTCTCTCTATGTATTAACACTACCTTTAAGTTAATTATTACAAGTAAGTTAATTATAACAAGTACCTAATTCTAGGCCCATTTTATAGTGAAATACACCGAGACAAAACAACAATGAACAAATCTTGTAACAAAGTTATCAAGCATTGAAAAATAGAGCTTACCTTATTCAGTTATGACAGATAAGGTATAAATAAACATATTTTGTAATTTGTCAGAAACATCGATTGGCGTGATAAAGTAATGGGTGAAAAGAGACGATGACTATTCTCAGTTGTGTAATTGGAAAGAAGACTTACTGCCTGAGAGACCAGTGTCGGACTACAGTATTAGCCCCAGCAACTTGCGATTGCTTATTGCGAAGCGAGCGATTGCTTCCCAGTAGATTCGGCGAGCAGGTCGCCCTTGCTACAACCGATGACTTAGTAGTAGTTATTATTGGATTCGGGGTGGTTTTCGTGCTGTCATTGTTGATAGTAGTGATGGTGGCGGTGCTTGTATTATTGTTGTTATGGATGTTGCGAGTCGGAGCTGGTTTGGGAATATGACACCTGTAGGACGTTGTCTCGTTACCGTTTCTACAAAGGGACAGATGGCGGAAAGAAATGGAAGAACAGAAAAGTGTGTATAAGTCTTTGATCATTAGAAGTTATAAGCTGTACACGCCTCATCTAGAACAATTGCAGTAGTAATAGTTGAGACAACTGTAATACCACAGTTGACAAAATAAATACAAAAAACGATAGTTATAGTCATAAAAGGAAATGAAGAGATTGTAAAAATTAGTAAAGACAGCAATCTATTTTTTTTTTTTTTTTTTTGTTATCTAACCATGGATGGACATTTATCCCATTGCAAATAAAATCATAACGATTATCTAATCGTGTCACGTTTTAGCAATTAATTGTTTTTGCCAATTGCCAAGGCATTATTTACTCTGTTTGGTTAACATTTTAAAGAACTTGATTCTGTGGATACAAGTAAAGTACAGATTTTATTAATGGAATAGAATTGTCGAAAAATGACTCATGGCTGTTATTACTACTAACAATTGGCATTATATTTAAATGCGTAATATTATCAAACCTTTTAAAGATTGCCGTTGAGGCTGATCGAGTTACGACACGCTTAGTACCGTCTTTTTCCTTGATTGCAATTATGGAGTTAAAACCTTTTTGACCTCTGCTTTGTAGTAAAGGCCCCAAATATGGACTAGACAAAATTGAAATTTAATTATACATTATAATAATGTACAGATTGAATTTGACTACAATTTATAATTATAAAAGAATATTTTTTAATTATAATTAATTTGATAATTATTGTAGATTATACGCGAGCAATTTAATTAATTTTCTTAACTACGTGCATACAAGATATATGGATAATTTTAATAAGAATTCTGTTAATTACAACATCCAGTTGTCTACAACCATCATATTATTCCCAACTAAGTACATAATGTAAACAACTTGACCACTTAAATTAATTCTTGCATTTTTTAATATCAATTCTTGATTAGTAACATGTGGCAAAATGATTCTCAAATTATGAATTTCTTAACATTAGAAATCGAAATAATATCATGAACAACTTACACTATAAATTTCATCTGCGAATTAGTGAATAGAAATGTTTATGTATATATACTAATTAACAAATATTTAACCAGCAGTAACTTTATATTATTAAGATCCTATGTTGTGATAAATCAATGACTTATAAAATCACTCTCATAATATTCATAACTTAAGGATATGATAAGTACTCACTGAACTACAGCTAACGAGGATGTTGAATTTTCACCAATATTAGAATTCGGAGATAAGGTTCTTCTTGTTTTAATTTGATTTAACTTGTCACCCTGAGTTAAAACTGATAATCCTACTGATGCTTTTGGAGTTTGAGGAATATTATCTTCCAATTTAATTCCATCAACTCTGTGCATGATACCTGATACATTATCCTGTAAAAGACGTGTATCCAGTAACCCAATTGGGGGCATATCAAACACATTTGCAGCTTTCGAATAAATTCCATATTCGTGAACGGGATTTCCATTCTCAGAACGCAAAGGCTCTTTTAATAAGGAGTGTAAATAATCTTCTTTGCTGTATTAAGAAAACAATGTTTATTTTTAAATTTACAGTGTCTACAGAATTAATTCTTTATAATTCATTACAGCTTCTTAAAGTCAATTGAAGCAATTATAATTCCAACAATTAATCTCAAATTAACTATTTAATATCGATTTGCCGATGTATTTTCAAATTATTGTATTGTGTTGCTCGTAGAAACTTAGAAGATTAACATTTTTCAATTTTAAAAATTTAGCAGTCGTACGTACGCGAACGAATATCTTTTAGTAGTAGAATGACACAATTATCTAATTAATCATCGAAGTTAAGCTTTTTGATTGCAATTTGTACTCGAATGATCAAGTACTTTAGTTGCAATGACAAAATCCATAATAAAAAACAATATTGGGATTCGCAACAAAACTCGAAGTAAATTATTTCTTATGCTTTCTAGTGCCTCAATTTGAATTAATTAGAATAATCTTGGATTGATGGTGAATAATAATTAACAACAAATCCGTTACTAAATTTCGTTTACCATTTAACGATTACAAGTTACTGATTACAATCTTAAGTCCACACAAACGCAATTAATTAAGTATTATATTTAATATGACAATAATATAAATATTTCAGTATTAAAAAAAAATATTTTAAATAATTATAAAAAAAACTTATAAAATAACGAAAATTCCTAATTATATCTTTAAGATAAATATGAATTAATCAATTTCACTTCATTTTTATTAATATTTAAACATTTTATTATTATTAAAATTAAAGTAAAACTTAATTTATTGATTGATATAGAAATTTTTTATTTAAAATATTGACTACTTTAATGGAAAATTTTTGCATTACATTTTAATCATAAACTGCCAATATTAAAAAAATTATATGTATTTTCATTTCTATTTACTAAATTATACAAACATTTATCATAAATCCACTACTTGCAAAGTAATTATAAATATATAAATACGTTATGCATTAATGTATATGCATTAATGATAAACAAAAAATAATTGTAAATAACTTACTCTTGTAACCATTCTTGTTGATGTCCAATGACAGATCCAGGTCTGCAAATTCTAATCCACGCAATAGATTCCAGGGCTGATAAATGATAATGTTTCATTATATAACAAGCAATTAAAGTGCCCGTTCTTCCAAGTCCAGCTTTACAATGAACAGCAACAGCTCCATTAGTTTTTTCAGAAATTTTCAAAAACTGCCTCACAATTGAGAGAGTCGGTGAGGATCCGTCAATAAAAAATAAATCTTTGTGATCAAAGCCTGCTTCCAAAAAAGTTGCGGCATCGTAACGTTTTTTGTTAAGCCTTACAATGGTAGTTACATTGTAATATCGAAAATATTTAAAATATGATTCTGGAGCATGTAGCATGTAACCTGAAAATAATGAGATAAATCAACATTAATAATTATGAAATTCTTAGTTAATAGCATAAATTATACATAAGTAATAATAAAGTTTTTATTTTATTTATCAGTTTGTTTTAGCAGATTTGTAACTAATACATAAATTTTTATTCGGTAATTGCATTTAATTTTACAAGGTATTCGAAAAAGCATATAATCATAAAATAATTTTTAATGAACCAGTATGTATTTAGTTAATTCACATACTTAATTAACAACAAATTTGATGATATTTATAAATAATAAAAAATTTTTTTTAATACTTTCAATAATAACCTAACAGTTATATATAAATATATTATATAAAATCATTATTAAATATAATTATCAATATTATAATAATATTGTTAGAAATAACAGAAGAATAATAGAAAAATAATAATAAAGTTGAACTAAAAATAATTTGAGAAAAACATTTATATTACCTGTATGAAAAAATAAACAATTCAATAAACCTAGCAAATCTGTATATATATATATATATATATATATATATGTATATATATTATGATAATAATTAATGATTTAGGCAAATTTATTTCACCCGATGTACAACAATATTAAATATCAGCATGTTCTGGATATATTTATGAATAATATACAGTACAATGTATATATACCAATATATTAGAAACAAAAAATGAAAATGAAAAAAAAAAGTCAAATTAAAATGCGATATCGTTTATAAGAGCTAAATGTATGAATTAACACTTCCAACAGTAAACAAACAATTGAAAAATCTAAATGGATAGTCATTCGCTGTTTAAACTATCCCATTGTTAAAATAAAGTATGCTCCAATAAGTTAAACAATCCTTGATACATAATGTTAAAACATACCATTTTCAATTTGATTACTCGAATGAGGTCCACAGAAGGCAATAAATTTGCCAGGAAGTATCCAATTTAAATCTCCATTTTCAACACGCTCCAAATGTTCATACTCCTTAAGGTTAAAGTCATGAAAATTAAAAAAACCTAACTGATGGCATTTGTATATTGCGTTGATACAATTTTCCAATGAAATATAATAACGGGGTTCGCCCATGGAAGCATCGCGAAACAATTGAAAATTTGGACAGTTTGGACTGGATGTTAGACACTTGTAAGCTTCTTCAGCAGTCCATTTTAAATATATTATCTATAAAAGTAACAAAACAATTATATATTTTTATTGTTATTTTATTGTAATCTATGAACAGATTGTTTGCTCTCATTTGAAATCTGTGGAATGTATTATATTATAAATAGCATTACAAAACAAAACAAAAAAAAAATTCTTATCGGGTGCATTCGGAAAACTACAAAATGATAATATAATAAATATTAAATGTTTATAAAACTTTGATACAGGTATAGAATATACAATAAAATTTGAGCAAATATAATGTTTGGATAAAATAAAATACATTAACACTGAATTTAATTAGTGTGTTTCTATCAAATTAAAGATTTACCGCATAACAAGCAATAAGAAATGCTGCATTCACTCGTTTCTCAGGATTCATTGTTGTATAATGGACAATTCTTTTTTTACTTAAAGAAACAGCCTTCAACTTTTTATCAACTTTTAAACAGTAACGGTAGACCATGGCAAGATTCAAGGGTCCAAAATCTGCATAAAAGTTTTCATACAACAGCTCATTCTCAATACTAAAGTAGTGAGTATTTGCCGTACATTTGGCTTTATCCGGTGATGACACAGTGACAAAATACAAGCGACCTGAAAACAATACATGCAAACATACACGCGCGTGCGCACACACACACACACACATATATATATATAAATATATATATATATATATATATATATATATATATATATATAAATCACACACAAATTCAAAATCTATATACTTTAAATTATTATCAAGACATAAAGCAAGCCACGGTAGAGTTGAGTTTTCAAATTTTAAACATTTGATTTTACATTGTCTTCTACAATTTTATGATATCTTTTGTTAAAACAAAATAATATATAATGCTTCTAATATCAGATACGTAATACATTGTAATTTAACAGACTCTGTAATAATTAGCTTTTAAATAAAAACAAAGTATATCGCAATGAATATGTCTGGTCAAATAAAAAATATTATAATTAGAAATTGATTAAAATGTCATAAATATCTCACCTCTGATTATTTCTGCAGGGCCAATTAAAATTTTGTTCCAGTCCTCCATTATTTCTGGATTGTAAAAACTTACGTTTTACAAATGTATTAATAATTCATCCAAAAGATATAGTACTCAACTACCTGTAAAGAAATGCATTAATAAGCAATAGTAAACAACTTGGCCGCGAATACAATTTAATTGCAATACCAAATAAGTAGAAAATTATGGGCTAACATTAAATGATTCTAGAGGTATCGATTAATTTACTTGGTTAATGAATAAATAGTAATCTGTACCTTACGATCAAAAACTAAAATAAAAAAGCACAGGAAGAAAGTTTGCGCAACAATTCATCAAAAACACTTGTTTTCCAATTCATTCAAATCCAATGCACAAAGTACCATACAAATAACAATAATGGACATTGATGTTAATTAAAGTATTAAATGCATAGGCTTAAACGCGCGTGTCTCATTAATAAAATCAAATGTCATCGAAATATTTGTAATAAATTAAGCCCACTGACAGTAGCACATCATTGCTCCATACATAAAAAAGGTAAAATGTTATACAACACTGGCGGAATCCTAGTTCAATAGTTAACCGAGGTGCGCTTATCCTACTAATAAGCCAGGCAAATTAATTCAACAACAATGATAATAATAAAAGTATTAACAATCACCTTGAAAAGAACGTGAAATTTATTTTTACTTTTCACAAGACTTGATAAGCTCATGTTTATAAAAGAAAGCCTGAAGATTCGAGAGCTTCTTGCAAAGATTCCCAAAATAGTCCTTCAAACTCTAAGCGAAACTCCCCTTAAAATCACACGAAGCGCAATGGAAAATCTAAAAATACGTCTGTTAAGATATAACAGCATACGCACACGCGCGCGCAATTGGAGCTCGTAATCAATGCTAAGATCCTTATTCCACTGCTAAGAGGAAAAAAAACAAACGAGATGGCAGTGGCGTTGATAGGTTGGTCAGCCCGCGCGTACCGAACTCGCGAAGCTCGTACAACTTGTGGCGGAGGAGGGGGCTTAACGTCTCCAAAAGATTCTCTATACCACTGCTACGCTACGTCATGGCGCATTATCAATCCTACCGTCCCTCTTCCTTACACCCTTCCGTCCGCGCCGCACTACTCCAGCACTGCTCGCTCCCTCAACCCCCTTCACCGATACTCAACGGCCGCACTTATTTCGCACACCCTCCTATCTTCTCGCTCTCTCCCGCCCACTCCTCAATCAAACAGCACAATACACAGCAGCAAAGCACAGCAGCAGCAGCAGCAGCAACAGCAGTAGTAGTTGTTGTTGACGTCGGCGCCACAGTTGCAATTATTGCGTTGCACACAGCTACTTGGCTACACGTGTCCAATGCGTAGAGATGTGCGTGTGGGGCGCGCTCGCGCGCTAAATTTTCGTTCTCGGCTACTTGAACCACCACTGCGCAATCACGCGCCGAACAAATTTATGTCGCCTACGTATAGAAGGTCCGACGCGCGCTGGAGACTGCGCGGGCCCGATGGGGTTGGGTGGGGATGTGGCGGGGGAGCGTAAGAAAGAAACAACTCGCTCGATCCGAGTACTGAGAAGAGAATCGCGTTCGATCGTCGACTGCTGTTTGGCGCGAACTTCAACGCCGAGGAACCAACGTCCGCGCGTCCACCCACCAGCGCAAGTAACACAACCGTCGCTAACCGGCGTCACCACCTTCACCGCTATCGGAGTCGCCGCCTCTACCGCCTCCGATGTCGTTGTCGTCGTGGTCGTTGTCGTCCACGAGTTGGAACTAGAGCCGCGAAACACGCGTTCGAAAAGCAAATGGAGAAATTTTCAAAATGAAAAAGTGGCGGTTAACGGACTTTCGCGCGTGGGTGGGACGGGTGGGGAGAGGGGGGGATGGTTGGACAGTGGTGACACTCGTGGCTACGTAGAGGCGCCGCGCTTGTCGCGGTAAGAGCCCAGGAGCCGGAGGTGGCGCCGCCGGCCGCTGGCCCGCCTCGAATTTTCACCTTTTTTGGGCCGACGCGTACGTGAGGTCGGAGCGCACGGACGACTCGAGGCCAATGGGGTCCGAGAGGCTCGATCGCTCAAATCTCTTCGGCCAATCACCGCAGCCGTCCTCGTCCTCCGCTCCCGAATTTTTTAAACTTGTATTGTACCTTCTTGCCGTATTACCGTTAAAACAGTTGGGTTTTGCCGATTTGCCTTTTGATTTGAAAATCACATTGACTGCATTTGCTATCGTACACTCTTGCCCCACCCCCTGATTCCACCCACTCTCATTCGCACTCGCACTTCCAGTCCCACTCTTTAAAGGTCGCTTCGAATTAACTTGACTACTCTCGATTTATCCTCTCCGTGCACTTGTATTTCCAATTTCATTTTATTTTTTCCTGCCTGCCTAATATCCCAGCCTCGTCGCTGTTATTTATTATCTTTCTTTCTGTCGTCGCTCGGATTGCAGTTTTTCATTTTTTCCTCAAAATATTGTCAAAATTAAGTGTCACGGTTTCGAGACATTCCATGCAAATTAGATTTTGACATTTATTATTATATTTTTTCCGTTCACTTACTACTGACATATCTTTTATAAATTGTCCATTATAAGCTGCTCATATAAAAAACTTTGTGATTTGTATTTTAAAGGAAAATAACGACAGTGCATTTAGATTTATATCGATTATTCGTATCGCACATAATGAAAGTAAAGCAGAATTAAAGGCTGATTTGGCTTAGCAGCGTTGCATATAACAAATCCTCTTGTACCTTAGCACTTGGATTATCTAATCTTTCACTATCAATATTGATAATACTTTAATAAATTGTGCAACTAAATATAACTAATGGACGTATTTTTAACGTAAAACCAGAGAGAGAGAGAGAGAGAGAGAGAGAGAGAGACATGTGCATCGTCGTTTTTAATATTCCAATTGTAATTAAATTTTAAAATATTTATGCATCTCGGTTAAACATTACGTACTTACGATATAGTATATACATACTAAATGTATATACACTTTTGCGCAAAATTTAATTAGTAAATCAACCTTGACGATAAATCGCAAATTACCCTCTAATTATTTATTCAGCACTGGATTTAATATTGCATTAAAATTGAATGATGTAAGCGGGCTTGCTTTAATCGTTAAAGTAAAAGAGAAAGAAAGAAGTTCGTTTAAATTATTTGGCCCCAACGAACGATACTGGTAACACATTTGCAGAATAACGTCATAAAAATTACTTATACATTGCAAACAACGATCAACGACAATTACAAGATCATAAACCGAAGGATGAAATAAATCATTTAAATATCAAAACTGTTGGTACACGCGCGCGCTTTTATATTTATTATTAATAATGTCGAGTCAATAGATCAATTTTAATTAGCCACTGTGTAGCTTAACACAGTAATGCTCTTATAGTGCCTATAGAATAATAATCACTGTTGTAAATTTAGATCAAAATTTTTATTCAAGAAAATGGGTGGGGAATGGTGTTGTCGTTGCACCTGTGAATGAAAAGAGCCTACACACCTACGTCAATTCGCATTGTTTACGATCGAATGTACCCATGCGTGCACCCATTTTAAATGCCTCTTTGCCGCGGCCTTGTTTATGCATAACGCATATGCATGCGAGAGCGCGCGCGCCTGCCTGCCTACGTACACGCGCTGCATGGACGACAAGGACGAGCGATAGAGAGAGAGAGAGAGTGAGAGAGTAAGAAGGAAGGAAACATCGAGGCCGGCGCACAAGCGGGCGACGTAATCATTCGTGCCGAGCGAACGAATCATTCGTAATTCTTCGTTGTAAATAACACTTGACGCCGCCAGCGTATCTCCCATTGGCTGAATTTTCGCACATTTCCCTCGCTAAATCTCGCATTTAAATCATCTACGCGTTGGGAGAAAAGTGCGTGGCTGGTGTGCGTGCGTGCGCGCGCACGTGCGACGAGCGAGCGATAGCAGAATGACAAGACGGGCATTTAAGTAGGTGGCCGTAGAAAAATTGTCACATCCATCTGCACGTCGTCTCGCCGATGTTGGAGAGGGGAGTTTGCGCTTGCGCGCTATTGTAAAAGATCTTATATCGGGTATTATATCGCATATCGTAGACGGGAAGACGAAGCAGGTTGCAGCAGCATTAAGAATTACACTCGATCGGTTCTTCCTATAAAAGCGCCTAAGTCGTGTGAGTATCGATGAGTGGCCACGGTCGTCTCGGGGCATAATTATAAGCTACTCCGAGGAGGCCAACTTAAAGCACAGCGATCACTGTCGTCTCCAGCATCGTCGTCGCAATCGTCGCTAACGTGTCATTCATTCATTCTCACAGCGGCTCCCATGCGCGTCGCCGCCTTACGCATCGCGAAACGCGAGTGAAGAAATAGCGCATGTGAAGTCTGGAGGAGCGGAGTGGGGTGGGCAGGAGTTTTCTTTTACAGCGGGGGGTGGGGGGTGGGGGTGAGTGTCTACTAGAAAGAGGAGAGTCGGCGGGACTGGGATGATCGCGACGAGAGTCCGGATTTAATTGATCGGTGAATGGGCCGATCGGGATAAACAAATAATCCGTGAAGCGTGCGCGCGTGGTGCGGTGGACGTTTTTAAGGTGACAATTTAAAGAGCGGGTCGAGTGGGGAGGACGAGAGGCGGCGCGGTAGTGAGTGCCGTGCAGAAGAAGTGTGACAGAGCGAGGTGCTGTCGGTTCGGCGGGAGGGAGAGCGCGCGAAAGGGGATTGGAAAAGGAACGAGGAGGACGACGGTCGCACTGCTCGCGCGTTCCGTTGTGCGCGCCTTACAGCTCAGGTGAGGCAGTGAGGCAAAGAGAAATCGAGATTGAGAGTGAAAGAGTGAAGGAAGAAACGGGGCTGCGATAATTCGAGGATTCAAGAATATCGTTGGTGGTCAGTGGTGCTGTGGTGCGGTCAAGCTGACGGTCGTCGTCGCCGCCGACGACATCGACGACGACGACGACGACGACGACGACAACACAACCATAACAACAACGACGATCAGCGGAGGTCGAATAGTTAAGCCAGAGACCTTCTTCGCTACGCTGCAGATTCGGCGGTGGAGTCGAGAAAATGGCCGACAATTCGACCTGCTATAACGTCGTTTGCCGGTAAGATGAGAGTGGGTTTTGCGACGTCGAGGCGGCAACTGGGGATCGGGAGTCGGTCAATGGCGGTCGACGCGCTCCGTTACCCTCTTGCCCCTTTGCGCCTCCTCTGGTTCTGGCCTTTTCTATTTACCACCGTTGCGTGAAGCGAGGATAGGTCAATAGGAAACATTGATTTGTAAATCAGGGGGTAAAGTGTGCCTCTACCTTGCATTCTGTCGATGAGTCGTAACTTTTGTTCGCGGATAGCTTTGTTTTGTTTTGTTGAGACGGTGAGTGGTAGGGGCTTGTCGTTCCTTATCAGTTTCCGAGCGTTAGCTTGCAGTGTATTGAATTGGGATGTATGAATTGGAACTTTAGAATGATATGAACTTGGTTGAAGACTAGTAGTAATTGCGAATTTTCGGAGTTTACTAATGATATTTTATCGTATAGTAGTTGATCGAGCTTGAACCTTGCGTAACTATGGAATAGTTTCTGATAATTTTTTTTTGTCGCGATAAGGGACGTTTTCGATAAACCGATCTATTACGGGTATTTGAGCTCCTTTGACATTTGCAAATACGATGTAAGTGAATTCCTTATTTATTAAAAATCCTAGCGACTTATTGAACTTATTGGTTACTTTAGTGAGTTTGAAATTGCATCGAGTGCCATGAACAGTAAATAAATAACTTTCGAGTATGCGTTAAGGATGGACAACAAACGGAAACTGTCCCACTTTCTTTTCTATAATTTATAAATGATTTATTGTTTGTTCCATGATGATGGAATGGATGTTGTCAAAATCTTGGATCTAGAAAAATAAACAATATATAAAATTACTTGAGCATCCGAATCATTGAATTACATTGGGAAAAGAATTATACTAAATAAAATGTGAACTTTATATATAGTGATTAGTGAAATATTAAAAATTCCATTTTTTTAATAAAGGTTAATTAAACTGAAACAAACGATGAATTTTTTTTTAATATTCCTACTGGATGAATAAATTTAATGAGAATGTTATTCTGTTCTGTGCAATATGCATGGTACAGTAACTTTATTGAAATAGCTATCTTATTGCTTATAAAAATCCAATTATTCCATAAAAATTCTATTGTATTTTCATCGAATGCTGTTCTAATGACATAATCAAGGCTAATGCCAAGTTTACAAAGCATGATCGAGTATATTTTCATACGATAAACGATCGTTTAAAATTGTGAAAAATAGCAAAATTTATAAATAAAAGAATTTCAAAATTGTTTTCTAACTGCTTCAAAATAAGAATTCTTTAATTTAATATATTATATCGATATCAATATACAATGAAATTACAGTAGTAAAGTATAAAAAAAATTACTGAAAATTTTGTAGATTAATGATAACGTTTGTTTGTTTTTATGATAAATTATAATAAAAATAAACCAACGAGTATGAGACATATTGTAAAGATTGCTTTATAAAAATGACAAAAATATTCAGTTTATAAAAAGTTGAAAAAGTAATCTTTGTACGTTTGTTTTTGTCTTTGTTGTACAATTTCATCTTTGCAATAATGTTTTTATATACTTTTGTAAAAACTCAATTGTTCAATCAGCAACTTGTCCTTATATTCTAGATACTTCAAAAAAGGAATTTGTCGAGAGGGGAGCAAGTGCAGATATAAACATATGGAAGTAGTTAGGAATGAAACTGCTCCTAGCGAGTCTGGAAGTTCACAGGACTCGTCCGCATCATACGTGAACATTGAGTGTTATTATTTTAAGCGTGGGAATTGTAGGTTCGGTAACAACTGTGGGTTTGCACATAACCCAGACAACTATTTAGAAGAATCAGATTCTGATGCTTCTACCAATGGTTCTTTATCAAATAAAAAGTAAGTTGTTATGTGTACTGTTTTTTATCTTCTTACTCGCTACTTTACTTTGTAAATTCCAATAATGCTAATGCCAATAGTCGTATTAATATAATTGTGCTGTATCTATGCACATATGCATACAATACAAATGCTTGCATGCACTTTCCAATTAATTAAATAACTAATACATATCTCTTTTCTGTTTATCGAATCATGACAATTATGTTTATAATAATTTTTTTTTTTGATTGTTTACTTTGCATGCTCTTGATATGATTTCAATAGAAATATCATTAATACTATTGCCTTGAGTGAATATCTGAAATATCGTGTCTATATTCAGTAAGTATTAAAATTATGTGAAAAAACTTATATCCATTACATAAAAATTGTAGTGTCGAAACCAGTTTGGATGTAGCGAAGGAATGGGTAAATACTCCAAAGGTAATTAGGAAAGAAACAGCTTCTAGCAAGTCTGGAAGTTCGCAGGACTCATCCGCAGCATACATGAACATTGAATGTCATTATTTTAAGCATGGAAATTGTAGGTTCGGTAACAACTGTGGGTTTGCACATAACATAATTAACTATTTAGAAGAATCGGATTCTGATGCTTCTACCAATGGTTCTTTATCAAATAAAAAGTAAGTTATGTGTATTGTTTTTTATCTTCTTACTCGCTACTTTACTTTGTAAATTCCAATAATGCTAATGCCAATAGTCGTATTGATATAATTGTGCTGTATCTATACACGTATGCATACAATACAAATTCATGCATGCACTTTCCAATGAATTAAATAACTAATACATATCTCTTTTCCATTTATCATATCACGACAATTATGTTCATAGTTGTTTTTTTTTATTGTTTACTTTGCACTTTCTTGATATGATTTAATTAGAAATATTATTAATAGTATTGTCTTAAGTGAATTTCTGAAATATCGTGTCTATATTCAGTAAGTATTAAAATTATGTAAAAAAAACTTATATCCATTACATAAAAATTGTAGTGTAGAAACCAGTTTAGATCCAGCGAAGGAATGGGTAAATACTCCAAAGGTAATTAGGAAAGAAACACCTTCTAGTGAGTCTGGAAGTTCGCAGGACTCATCAGCATCATACGTGAACATTGAATGTCATTTTAAGCATGGGAATTGTAGGATCAGTAACAACTGTGAGTGTGCACATAACCCAGACAATTATTTAGAAGAATCAGATTCTGATGCTTCTACCAATGGTTCTTTATCAAATAAAAAGTAAGTTGTTATGTGCATTGGTTTTTGTCTTCTTACTCTCTATTTGACATTGTAAATTCCACCAATGCTAATGCCAATAGTCGTATTGATATAATTGTGCTGTATCTACACACGTAAGCATACAATACAAATGCTTACATGCGCTTTCCAATTAATTAAATAACTAATACATATCTCTTTTCTGTTTATCAAATCATAACAATTATGTTTATAATAGTTTTTTTTTATTGTTTACTTTGCATGTTCTTGATATGATTTCAATAGAAATGTCATTAATACTATTGCCTTGAGTGAATATCTGAAATATCGTGTCTATATTCAGTAAAGAATTAAAATTATGTAAAAAAAACTTAAATCCATTACATAAAAATTATAGTGTGGAAACTAGTTTGGTTGCAGCAGAAGAATGGGTAAAAGCTCCAGAGTTTGTGCCATCTTCGATAAATTTTAATGTAAATGTACCTTTCTCAATGGAAGATTTTGCATCTGCCACACATCCTAAGTCTTATGCTCAAGCTGTTAACCCATCTTCAGGACAGTCTACGTTCTCTGCCAATGATCCACTATGCCTTAGCTTTTGCACAACCGTCAACTGCCCAAATCTTCATGGAGATATTTGTGACATGTGTGGCCTACGTAATCTTCATCCTTATAATGAAGATTTAAGAAAGATGCACATAAGTGTAAGGATAAGTTTTAAATAAAGTTGTTAATTTATATTTAAATGTTTGTAATTTATATTAATATATTTTTTCAAATGCCTTTGAATAATATAAACATTGTCGACAGACATGTAGTATGGAGAACCATGAATTTAATATGACGTTTAAATTTGATACTCAACCTAGTCGAGAACTCACTTTCTCACTGGAAAATTATGCATCTGCCAAAACTCCTATGTCTTATACTCGAGCAGTTAATTCATCTTCAGGACAGTCTACGTTCACTGCCGATGATCCACTATGCCCTAGTTTTTGCACAACCGTCAACTGCCCTAATCTTCATGGTGATATTTGTGACATGTGTGGCAAACGTAATCTTCACCCTTACAATGAAGATTTAAGAAAGCTACACATAAGTGTAAGTATAAGTATAAATAAAGTTGTTAGTTTATATATAAAAGTTTATAATTTATATTAATATATTTGATTAAATGCCTTTGAATAATATAAACATTGTGAACAGGCGTGTATGGAAGAACACAAAATTGATATGGAGCTTTCATTTGCTATCCAACGTAGTAGAGAAAAGTCTTGTGGTGTTTGTTTTGAAACAATTATGGAAAAATCCAAAGGTGAACAAAGGTTCGGAATTTTACCAAATTGTAATCACTGTTTCTGTTTGACTTGCATTCGCAAATGGCGCCAATCCAAACAGTTTGACAATAAAATTATCCGAGCATGTCCAGAGTGCCGGGTGCCATCCGATTTTGTTTGTCCTAGTATGTATTGGGTTGATACGAAAGATGAAAAAGACAAATTAATTATGGATTACAAGGATGCATTGAGGTAATTATTTATAAATACTTTTCTATTTTAATTTATTGAATAAGCAGCTACAAATTTTGATTTATATTTTACAGTACCAAAGATTGCAAATACTTTAACAAAGGCAGAGGAAACTGCCCATTTGGTAATAAATGCTTTTATCTTCACGCTTTACCAGATGGCACAAAGGCTGATGTTGGTCCTCCAATTCGACAACGTCGTAATGCTGATAATGACATTGATGTTTTTCACGTAAGTAAATGCAATTTGAGACATATGGTAATTTATTATTTATTTGTACTTTCAATTTTTATTCTTTTAACACCTTATTAAGGTAGTTTTTATAGCGAAAAATAGGGCTTATTCACAATGAAAAGGAAAATAAAGAATATAAATATTAATAAATTATTTTATAAAAGTACATTATAGAAGTATGAGATAGTGTATATGAGAAGCAATCAAATTATTTTGTAGTATTTTTGCTACTTTTTACTTTTGCATTTTATTTACCACACATGTATTTTAAAATTTATAATACTATTTAACCATAATTACATCTTATAAGTGGTACAAATAATTTATTTCGTAGTTTAACAATATTGAGTAATTGTTGTTCGACTTTCCTTGGAATCAGAAATCTTGATATCTATAGTTTAATCTTAAATAGTAATAAAATGTTGAATATTTTTTTTTTGGCCCCTGTTAATTTATAAAAACAATTAAGTACTACAAGCTTGCATTTACATAATAATAGTTAATTAAAATTCTTTATTTATTTATTCTTTGATCCATTAAATCTTAATAAAGGCATTTAAAATTGTAGTGCTAAACGTTTTAATTTTGTATTTACATGTTTGTAGCAATTATTACTCTGGGATTTCATGGATGAGAGGGATAACTTTTGGATGTACGACTTTGATGATTTACGAGACTTTGTCAATATCGTATCAGACTCCGATGATTCTGATTTGTCTGAATATGATCTATACTTTGACTAGTCTCCTACCTTTTGTACACTATCAAGATGCATTGCCAGCAAATTCTGCGTAGCCTTTCTCTTATCTAAAAGACTGGATAGCGAAATGAGAGGACCTCCAGAGTGTATGAAAGGATAAAAGCTAAAAAATTTAGAAGATCAGCCGCTTGCTATTGCGTAAAACTTCTATATTCGAGTATAGACTTTTTTGGAGTATATTTTATTAACGCTCGTCTCATGATTATTCAAGGCTGAATCAGTTCTTTATTCGGTACAATTTAATAGTACGAAATACTTACATGAGACGCTTAATCAAGACTAAAAAAAAAAGAAAAAAAATTGTAAAAGAAAAGATAAACTATGTGATTGTGGAAGATTTAAAATCTAAACTCGGTGAACTTAAAATAATGTTAGCCTGCTACTTTATCTGTTTTTAAAATAATTATCGTTGACGTTGTTGATATAATATTATACTGTTATTAACCTCGGAGAGTCGTTATACTCTATTATTTTTTGAAAAATTCTAGCTTCGGCTAATTTAACTTTATTGTTAATTATCTCCAAGACAAACATATGCCTATTGACGTTATGTTTCTTAAATAATAAAAGTAGCAGGTTAACGCACAGTTCTGGTTTAAATAAAATAATGTTTCGGGAAAAAAGTGAAAGAGGTTCGCTCGTTCGTTCACGCGTTTTTTTTTTTTGGCGAGTCTTAGCTTTCTTCGCCCGCTGACTATTTTAGGCTAAATATCGTAAAAATAATAAAATATTAAATGAAAAAAAAATCGACGATAAGTCTCTACTCGCTGTTATAGTGAATGCGTCCATAAACGTGTTCTTCAGACATATGAATAAACTGCGAACCTAGCACATTTCCAGAATATACGTAATCTTTAGATTAACATTATCTGGGCTGTGCGATCGCACGGAGTGTCTACGTATCTTAGATATTAATTTGTACATTTAGCCAAGCTCGATGAACCAGGAAAACATTGATAACTGGCTTCAAATTCGTTTCTTACGATAATATATTTTTGTTATTGGAAGTAATAAAGTAGTTCGTATGCTTCACGGACCGAGACAAATTTTTATCATTATACTCTTCAGCACTTGAGGGAAACAAAAAAATGAATGTGGAATTCATTAATTTTAACTTCTAAACTAAGGCACCAAACACTACAATTGCCAGTAAAAATAGAAAGAAAAAAAACAAACAATAAATTTGGGCCCTATTGTTAAGAACAGTGGATCTTAACCGTAGCTGCTCTTCTTCTAGAACTTATTTTTAGAGATCAAATAAATACCGGAAAAAGTTTCAACAAATGCATACATTGCTTGATGAATCTTTGGCTCTTAACGGTGCCGCTACATTTTATATAAGCATAATACATATTATAATATCCTACTAAGGTACTTAAAATCATGAAATCATTGCAAAATGCTCTGTTAATTAATATGTCGATAAAAATCAAAGCCATATTTTCAATCAGTCAATTCTGTAATACACACTATCTATAAACGTGGCATTGATGTGTTAGGTAAAAACAAATATCATAAAATAAAAATGAGTCTTATTTAAAATGATTTGTAAATGTTTGTTTTATTTTAATAGAAAGTGACTGTCAATGCATTTATTAACATGTTTCTTTTTTCTTTCTAAAGAGAACAAAAATAAATAAATAAATAAATATTAGCTTAAAAACTGAGCTTACTTTTAATTAATAAAATTTCATTAATGAATCATAGGATGCAATGTCAGAGAAAGTTTATTTTAAAATAATTGATAAAATCACATTCTATTAAAATGTTTAATTTTTCAAATAGAAGTAGCTATTATCTTAAAGTGTATGGTGGACAAGCGTTTCGTTGCACCGGTTGATGAATTCTTTGCATTGGATTGTTTGCTTGATTTTGATCATTCTGAGTATTTAAGTTAGTTGATTTCTGCATTTGCTGCTCATTTATAGAGTTTGCTTCCACCCTTTTACGAAACTTTGTTGAATATTTATAAAAATCTGACATTTCAAAAGGCTTCGTTACTTCTCTATATGGTTGATATTTGCCAGGCTGCACGATCGTTGTTGAATTTAACGGAATAATGGATTCATTGCCATTCTCTTGAGATCCTAATGAAAATACAATTAATTGGCAATAATTAAAAACGTACAAAATGTTTTTTATAATTCATAGTAATTCAATTTAACTTTATAAAGAAACTTTTCATATTTTTTTAAAACATATTAAAAACAAAATAAAAAATATTTTAATTCGTTGATACTTAAATATTTAAATACTTTCTCTATTTACATTAACTTTACCTATAATAGTCTAAAAATTAATTAAAATTTATGTTTTTAAACGACTATATTATTATTGCATTTTACCGTAAGAAATCAAATATTGATATGATTTACTTTACAGAAGCTTACGTTCAATTTTAAATTAAAAATTATATTTCAAATACATGAATATAATGACGACCGTTGATTTATTTATTTACTTAGACTTTTATATAATGTTATCTACTATTTACAATCATTTCATAATATTATGGAAATAAGCTATCATGTATAATTGTTATCGATATACTTAACAACAACCCGCACGATACATGATATCGTTATAATTTATTTAGCATATCTTTATTTAATTTAAATTAAACATTATTAATTTCGAGACTGCGTTATCTCTCTAGACTATTATAAAATCTAATAAGCAAATAAAAAATTCGTTAAATTAAAATAATTGACCAGTTGATAATATACAAGCCCCTATTTTATATTTAAATCAAGTATTTGAATATTAAAGGAATTACCGTTTTGCAAATCATTTAACAGGCTTTTCAAACCGCAATTACAACACAAAAAATATATATATATAAGAAGAATTGCTGTTCAAAGTTGAAAAGTAAAAGAAACGGATCACATCAAATCGATTAAAAATTCTACCAAGAATAACAAAAGAAAAATACTAACCGAGAGAGGACTTTGACTCGGCTGGTATTTCCAGCACGCGGTTGTCGACGTATCTATTTTGCAGCAAAGCGGGTCTTTGCACTCGCTGTTGCTGTTCCTCAAGCTGCTGTGACTGCTGCAGTTGTTGCTGTTGCTGCTGTTGCTGCTGCTCTCTTGCTCTCCTGTTGGAAGGTATGGAATTGCTCCGCACTGGGGCGCGCTCCTTGGTCAGTGGTCCGACGAAGGAGTTGTGATGGGAGGCGCGCCTCAACGCCCGCTGCTGCTGCTGGGTAATGGCTGGTGGTACGGTCGCAGCCGCGTTCGAGTCGAGAGACGTCTCGTACCATTCCTTCTCTTTCAACTTGGCAGAGGACATACAGCCGCGACTGCTCCCGTCGACGGACTCGCGACCCTCGGCCGACGATGAACCATCGTGGGAGCCGCCGGAGGCCTGAGGCTGCCAACTCTCGACGCTCCCGAGCGACTGGGTACGCAGTAGAATTCGACTGCTCGGTGATTTCTTCGACTCCGACCCCTGTACCTGCGACTAATGCCAAGTCGTTCAAGGTTTTGGTCATTGCTGATTGAACCTCACTATCCCCACCCACCCATCCACCCATAGGCACATCTATTTTTTAATCTACCACCAAATCCCTTAGTGACTTTATATCTAGCGGCGCTAGAGAAAAAGATTCTTTTGGCTCAACGAGGCATTTGAATCGCTATTGAAGTTGACAACATTTATATAAACAACATCTAGACTAAGAGAAAGTTTGCTGTAAACTAGCCTTTCTTCATATTATACAATAATCATAAGAATAATTATAATTATAAGTATAATTATGTCTATGATGATTATTATGATGATAATAATAATAATAATATGCGATTGTTCCTAATGGTCTAAATGGTTTCTAAAATTGGGATTAATTTTAAATTCAATCATCTTTTTAATTTGAATTTAAATTTTTAATCAATATATTAAGGACGCAATATTCTAATTGAAGATCCGTTACAATCAAAAGTTCCAGTATTTTGTTGTATTTTTAAGGACAAAAATTATTTGTGCTAGTAAAATTAATTTTTCTAATAAAAAATACTTATTGAAATATTGAAATATTGAAAAATTGAAAAGTTGAAAAATTTAAGATTGAAGACATTAGTTTTAATTAATAAGTAAATAAACGATGCAAGTATTATGAAAAATTTATTTATACCATTAAACAAATTATGGGTTATGCTTCCCATTAAAAGTTAATATTTGTAAGAATATTGCCACGAATTCTCCTATTTATAATAACTACATATAATTCATACCTGAAGTGGATGTTGTCTCAAATGTGCTATCGCAGCATTTTTGCCACCCAAAGCGACAGTGTGATACCTTGATTGTGTCTCGGAATTAGGTGGATGGTGAATGGCATTTTGCTTTCGGCGGTCGAGACTACCAAATCTGTCGGTCGCTTGCTCATCCGTGCACCAGACAATTTCATCATCGAGGCGCATCCAATAACCGGGGGGGACGTACGTGTCAACCGCTGGTTTACTAACTTTATGATCCGATCCAATCGTGGCATTATCTACATTATCCCTTGATCGTAGAATCATTGGCGGTTGTTGCAATTTACCTGATTTTAATCAACCGTTCATTAAAAATTGATTTTTTTTTTTTTTTTTTTTTTTTTATAACGAATAATTTACCTTTTTTGTATTCAATATATGAATAACAATGAATTTTAATGAAATGAATTTCGTTACAAAGTAATAATAATGTTAAACGTTTTTTTCTTTAAGGATAAGATTATTAAAACAGTTTACTCTACTTTTATACATAGTTACTTAAAAGTTTATTTTTAGATTTCTTGGATGGAAATGAGAATGAAAACTTTACCAACATCATTTTTATCTTGCTAGGCTAGCAATTAATTAAAATAATATTTAAAAATAATTTTAATTGTAATCTTACTTTATTCAAAACGAATTAATTCATTCATTTATTTATGTATGATATATTATGTAAGCGGAATAGGTAACTTTATACGTTCTTTAATATATCGTTTTAATGTTTTTAATTAAACTAAGTTTGAAAGTAGTCGAACTAAATTAACATTTGTGCCTGATATATACATATCGCCGTGATCTTTACGTACACATTTATGTCAAATTATTAAAAAGAAAAAAAGAAAAAAACTAATATAATGTGAAATAAAAAACGCTACACTACCATGATTATAATGTGCTGGAAAATCGTGAATCTGATTATCATAACGTGCAGCATTGATATCGGTATCGTAAGATATTTGGGCTGATCTTCGATGCAATTCATTGTCAAGGTACTTTGGCTCCGGATACTGTTGACCACACATAATCTCATCATTTTCCTGCTTTTTGACCTTCAGCTGCCGATAGTGAATCTGTCTTTCCTCGTCGGAGTACGTGCTGGGTATTGGACGATAAGCCCGTTCTGGAAAGTGATGGGGACTATTGCTACCAGCGCTGTTGCCGCCTTGGGAGTAGGCGCGACTGCGAAAGAGATCCGGCGCGACATACATATTGTTATTGGCATTGAGATCGTGCTCCAAGAATTTGACGTTGGGCCTCCTGTGATCCACTGGACTAGGAGCATGATAGGTCATGCGATTTTGATTAGCGCTATTGTTGGAGCCTGGCTGGAGGTAGCTGTGACCACTGAGATCTTGAAAATCATAGCTGGAGTAGGAATTGTAGTTGTGCTCGGGTCCGAGTGGACTTAGACTTATGCCACCTTCTTGAAGAAATCCACAGGACTCCATCTTGGGACTTAGATCTTTTCCTAGTTTTAAATACATTATATTAGAGTATGGATTAGGATTATATTAGGACTGGTTGACTTTAACTTCACCTTATATCAAAGACATTTCATGTTTTACTTAAATCTTTAAGGCTGCTAGAATTTATGTAATGATTATTTATAGAAGCAGTAATTTAGCAGTATTCTTTATTATCTAGAGCTTTCTTTATTATTTAATGTTATTAGTATTGAAAAGATGATTTGTGAAAAAATGTACTAGAGTAATTACCCGAAGTGTCTAATGGAGGTCGAGGCTTTTTTGTTCTGTGCTTCGTAGTTGCCTGCAGATGTGGCTGCGAACTATGAAGTGGAATATGAACAGATTGAGTATGCCTTGCGCCACCTCCATGACTCTGTCTAATAAAATTGAGCTGAGCATTAAGCTCTTGTAGCCGCCGTTGACTTTGCTGATATATTGAACGATGTTTGCGCCTAACAGCTTTATTTTCCGAGGGATCGTTTAAGACAACGAGAGCAGCATCCGCTATATTAATTTGTACTTGTCGTTCCAATTCTAAAGTAGACTCCTCCTTTAAAGTGACAATCACTGATTAACAAAAGAGATTTGATAATTAGAAACATAAAGCGCATTATGAAACGTACAGCTCCGTTAGTTTTCAATTTATTAATGAGATTTTGAGAATAATTAAAGCTTGTTCCGACTCTCTTTCTAAAGTTTGGTGGATTTTCTCCAGGCTCCAAAGGTATTTCAGGGGGTAATACCCCAGTGAGTTCAGCTTCTTCGATGCAAAGATTTTTCAGTTCGTTGTTCTTTTGGGTAAGTTTGTCGTTCAATGCCTCTCGACGCTGACGTAGCCACTGTAGCCTGCTAGACAGAGACTCATCCGTTACTGGCCCCGACATGCCCTCTGTACCGGCCATCACTGTTTTCATTAACAAAAATTAGTTGTTTATTACAAAGTGCAAACCGAATTTATAAAAAAAAAAAAAAAACGTAACATGCCTCATACCATAGTAAATAATAGTTAAATTGTATATTGTTAATGTTCGAATAAGCAAAATATATGAGGAGATCGAGACTTACAAGCCAGTGCCTTGTCAATGAGAAGTAAATCATAATTTTGTAATTTTAGATTTAAGCATCAATTTCATGGTTTATAAGCGTAAAACAATTGGAGCAAGTAATAATTAGTACTCTTACCCATATTCTTGGTGTTGGGTATTGATTTCCCTGTTTATTCCCTTGATCGAATTTTAAATTATTTTATTCTATCTAATTAGGCATACATTTCCTACTACACTAAAATAAGACACAATGGCTTCTATGTATATACAATTTAAGTTACATATAATGTAAGACATTTTTATACATCAACCTTTATTAAAAAATGCGCACTTCGCAAATACATCAAAAGGCAAATTTCAAACATTTATAAAAATTTTTAAAAGTATTCCTACTTTATTATAAAAAATCTATTCTGCATTTTTCACAAAATGCATATAAATAAGCGTTGCTTGTAAATTCAATTATCTACTTGGCAAGTATAATTCAGGTTATGACACACGATTAATAATTAGAAGGCACTTTTTCAATCTAACAGTCAATAAACTTTCCACATAACGCAATTAAGCACCGGGACGACACTCATTTCTACGCGAACAATCGTCATTTTACATAAAAATAAAATAAAGAAAATAAAACTAAAGTAAAAACTCGGAGGACCTCTCGAGATCACCTCGAGAAGGTGACGCGCGTCCATGGATTGTTTGGTTTTGCGCAATCATTCTTCTTACTCCCTAGCATTGCAGAAAATTCAAATATTTTCTGTTATACCTGCTGAGCAATTGAACATAATATTTTATTGCATGTATAATAATAATCTAGTCCATCCTAACGTGCAGTTAGGCGGCTGCAGTTTTAATTATTAACAATTCGATAAAACAAAAAAATACTTCTTTCGAATCTTTTTCAAATTGTAAATGTCGATTGCTAACGATTCCCGTAGGACAATGTTGAGCCAATTAATCATTATACTTTACGTTTATGCTTGTGATTTATTATCTTTGTCATATTGTTAAAGTAAGTTTTGGCTTTTGTCGATCAAGGCTACATATACCTACAGCGTGCAAACGAAAAATTTTACTTTTTTATTTACGTTGATACGTGACTTTCTGCCATTCATCTGTTTAAATTTTCAAATTGTATGCGTTACAATTTTTAACTTTCCCCCGTACATACATTGCAAAATTTTAATCGCATAAAAGGAAAACCCATTAGTAAAATATAAAATCTTAAAATTTAACATATTTATAAATAAATAGAAGATTTATTTTTATGTTATCTTTTTATTTATATAATCAGAATATTTACCATTATTTATCATTTAATCAGTGTTTTTAATTATTTTTAATTATAATTTATTTCTTATTTTAGGATATAGAGAATTTGTAAATTTTTAACTTTTTCGAACGAACAATAATTATATTTATGGTTATTCCAAGTTAGGCTACCGAATTCGTAAAATATATAGAATAAATAAATGCATAAAAATATTTCCATTTTAATGATAAAAGTTATAAAATTTATATACATTATTCAACTGAAATTAATAAAAAATTCTTAAAAAAAAAAAAAAAAAAAAAAAAAATTGAATTAAATAAAATAAAATTTGATTTATTTTGTGCATTCAACTACTATTAATAGCATCATTGGAACTCGTATAAAGAAATTGTTAAAGTTGTTAATTAACTAGACAATTGCTAAATATAGATAAATTTTTTATTAACATTTTATAAATATCTTAGATCGTCTAAGATGAAAATTAGCATTTCGTTCTATTCGTTTATATTTATAGCTTGAATATTTCTGTATCATTTTCCACTCCTCCTTTTTCTATACATTTTTATCAACAATTTCGCTCCATTGTACTCGAATATCTTAAAATAAGAAATAATCAAACGTCACCATCTATTAGAATATTTTTTTTAAAGAAAAAATTGTTTTAGCTTAACAATATCCGCTGTTTGCGTATAACAATAAACACTTGACTTGAAATGCTGTAACAATTCACGAATGAATTTCGAGGAATGACAAGTCTTATATTTTACGAACGTCTCGATACACAGTTGAATTATTCGTCGATAATGAGAAAAAGTAGAAAAATATGCTTTCCGCTAATTTCCTGAACAAAATGGTAAATTTAGTTCACCTTTTAGTCTTTATTCTTTACATTACCAATTATAGCATTGTAACTTTGTAACTTAAAGTACACTTCATCTACGTAATTATAAACTGTACTTTAATTCTTATAAATAATTGCTTTATTGTGTTTCGCTTGCAATTTCAAACTACACCTTTCTTATTTTTATTTCTTAAGATAAACTTTCCAACGCATTACTAATTGAAAGTGTATATAAATATCATATAATAACTGTATATTAACGATTAGTCTTTAAAGATTACAATAACGATAGTCGTATCATTGTATAAACTTAAATAGTGTACTATTTATTTAAGATATCGACTTTCCAATTTGCGCATCTTAAAGCGATGAAAATATAAAAATCCTTTATATAAATCAATGTGTTGTAATACAATGTTTTCCAGCTTCTTAAATGTTCGATTAAGCGCAGATATTTTCAATATGTCGAATTCGATTATATGGCTGGAGCAAAATGTTTGCTTTTACTTAAGCATTTTGCCGCACTCGCTATAGCAGTAGAAATTTCTTTCGAGTACATATAATAACAGTGAATTTCAACTGCTGGCTAATCCTTGGGTTCCCAAGGTTCGAGCGCAGTCAACATAAAATCATAAAACCATTTCAAAGACTTTCTTTTCAGATAGAAAATTCTGAATTTTACTTTTAGTTTTATTGCACCCTCTCACGCTGTGAGAAAGATGACCTCCGCATTGTCAGAAAAACTAAGAACTGCGTGCATTTACATAACTATTGTTCATAACGAGGACTTTACGTACTCCTATTCACCACTATCAATTGTTTCAATTTTAGACGAATTCGTCTAACAATCCAAACAAACGTATTCTTAAGAGTTATTGTTAATAGAAAATAAATAAAAATACTATGACAATGACTATCAATACACCCTAGAATCTCTTATAAAGATGCCGCTAATGCATTTTAGTTCCGAATTCTCGCCTATACTGCACATACTGTATGCATATCACGTGAGAACGACGAATTCTAAGTTTAGGTCTGTGTTTGTTTATTTTTTTCACTTTATATATATAATTACGCATACAAGACTGTTCAATATCTAGTTTAGACAAATTTAAGAACCCACCAGTATTCTTTAATTACAATGTTTGTATTGTATTGTAATAATCAGTTATATGATATTACTTAATAAATTAATGTCATAATGAAGGAACAGTATGTTACTTATTATTTTAAAATTACTTAGTAAGCCGTTTTAAATTAAAATTATATAGAACATATTGTACATTGTACATAAATAGCGTTTTTTAATTTCCAATGTATAGTGCATACGAAACTTTCGTAATCAATTCCTAAACAATAGATTAAACATTAAAATCGTATTTTTTATATTAAACTATTTTAAAATCATATGCTAATGTTTAATTTAGAGTAATTTCCAATACTTGTATAACGTTAAACAAAACATTATTTACCCTTATAATAAATAATTAAAAAAAAAAAAAAAAAAAATATATATATATACATATATACAAATGTAATAATAAATGTTTCTGTTGTTCATAAATAATTTATCGTTTGCGTATATTTATTTGTATATTTTATAAATTCGTTTAATAGTGTAATAATGTTATTCAAGAATTATTCTATCAGCGAATTATAAAATGAATGCACTGCATGTAATTCTAGGTACACGGATATGTGTAGTCGTAAATTATAGTTATATATATATATATATACACACACATATATATATATATATACTTATGCATTAAGTACAGTTATAAAATCGTGTATCGCGTCGTTGACCTATGAAAGTCAGCAATTAGCGTGTAAACATAAATATAAAACGACGACTTTTCAAGAAATTCATTCGTAGGAATAAAAATTATCGGAGGGCAAAGTTTTTTCATACGAGATGTGTGCATGCGTGAGTATGTTTTTGTATAAAATTAAAAAAGTCAAGTTTCTACCACTTGTTGCTTACACATTCGCATGCCCACGTGACGTGCATATACCCATACCCATACATAAATACTTAAATGAGAATAAACACAAATGTACACATATGCATATGTATGGCTATGTGTATATAGTTTCACTTTCACCGCTTCGCTATTGGTCCCCGCGAATTGTTCTCGTCGGCTAGCACTGTGTACGAGCGCAGCATCCAATGTAACCGAGCGCACACGGGCGCCTACACACACCTGCACTTGCGTTTCGGCAAAAAAGAGGGGAGGTGAGTGGTCTCGACCACCCCCACGCGCAGACCAAAAGGATTTCAAACTGTTGTCGACCGTTGAATGAAAGAGGAACCCAAGAGCCGAAGAGCGTGAACTCGTATAGTCTCGTATACGTATATGAGTGTTGTTTGCACGCGTGGGATTGGAAGGAAGGGATTAAATGTCCAACCGAGCTGTATGGTAGTCCTTTATTCGCGTTGGTAAGTCCCAAACTCGATCAATGACAATTAATATTCTCAGCGTATATTGTTGAATTATAGACGAAATATATTATGTAATTGTACATTTAGAAAAGAGATTTTTGGAAGATGAGCGACTCCAGTGAGAACAAATACAAATGGACCCCTGAAAGTACCACTCTTCTGGTCTCTGTGTGGACTGATAAGCAAGTTCAAAAACAATTGGAATATTCAACGAAGCCACAATTGATATGGGATAGCGTAGCTAAGTATATGAATAAGAAAGGTTACAATGTGTCGGGCAAACAATGTCGATCACGTATGAAGCAGGTTCTTGTATGTTATCGCGAGGCCAAAAGAGCTGGTACTCGTGCAGGAGTGGAACAGTATTACGAATCCATAGATAGAGTATTAAAGATCAAGAAGATGGAACATTTTAATACTAACGGCATTGACACTGTTGGTTTGTATTTTTTTTGCTTTGATAGATTTAAATTGAAAAGTAAATGTGACAACTTTCATCAAATTATTAGTAATTTTGCAATAAAATTTATAAAATAAGTAATTTAGTTACTATTCGTTACTATGTTTAGTTTAATTTATTATCCAAAGTAATTGCAGTGCAAATTGAGTAATTAGTATAAATTATCAAAGATGATTTTCTCACGAAGATGACGTAGAAAAATTTTAAAGTAATAAATATTGCGTTAATCGATAGCAAGTTAATTTAAATAGAATAGTATAAAGAAATCATCTTCTTCTAATAGCCAGATAAACAAAATTTGTATGATAATTTACAAATAACTTGTTAAATTTCTAGATTCGACGGTGAATGTGAAATCATCGCCAAAAGACATAAAAACTAATAAAAATCTTCAAATGCGTTGTAAATATCAGCAACCAACCGAGGCAATCTATAGAACCGATGTCTTATCTCCTGTTTGGAGCACAGGAAGTAAGATTTTCTTTAATTATCATAATTAATTTTTCCAGCATATAAATGTACGCTCTTTCAAATTATGCAAATCTATTTATACTTTATAGGAGACGACGATTATCCAGACTCTCCAGAGTCAAATGAAACAGTCTTAGCCAAACCATTTAGAGTTCTTTCACCGGTACGAGATGCAGCTACTAATACAATCCAATATCAAATTGGACAAACTAATAAAAAGATTGTACAACAAAATGGAGTCTGCGAAGACATGCCAATTAAGGAGATTTACAGACAAAACACCTATTCTAACAATTATTTCAGTGAAATTCCATTTCAAAATACCGTACAAAATGTTCAAAATCAGATAATCCAAGAAAATATGCAGCAAAATCAAGCCCTTTTACAACAAAATTTACTTCAAAATCAATTGTTAGAACACAATAGATTACAGATAAATCCTATTTTACGTCATAATATTCAAAATGTAAATCACGGCTTATACGCTGATCAAGTGATGCCGTACAATCAGGCACAACTGGGTCTTGGACAAAATTTGCAAAACAAGTATCAGCAGAATTCTATTAATAATCGAGCAGTGCCTCAAGAACCAAAAAAAAATAGTTTTAGACAAAATTTAGCATCGACTTATCGTCAATTTCAAGATATCGGTACACAAAATTGTAACACAAATTTCAATCCTATAGGGTTTTTTTCTCCAAGTATCTCTCCCGATATCCCACCAAATTTGAACGAAGCATTCTGCCAATCAAAAAGCGAGAAAGCCCAAGCTTTAAACGACACGTTTAATCGACCTTCGTCAAATCCATTAAATCTTGTTAATGCCGACATTACCGCAATAACAAACAATGCCACGTTCAACGACGATTCTATTTCGATAGAATTCTTGCAGGATTCCCCAACACCGGATAATCAATCGACAAAATTAAAAGACTTTTCAATGAATACTGACGAGATTCCTAACGCACCTTTTCGAAAGAAGAAGGCTGAAAAGTTAGAACGAATCATGCTGAATGCCATAAATTCTCAAAATGATGTCGTTAATAAGGTATCCATTAATTTATTGATTTACGGCATTAAATTTTTCTCCTATTATTTTTCTTCAATAAATAAAAATCCATCCGCAAATCGTTGTTCTTTAATATATCCATATAAACAGATATCAGTTCGCCAATCAATCGATAAGCTACACAGCGTTTTAATAAAATAAAAATTGTTTCTCCTAACGTAGATATTAGCCGCTCAAAATGACATGGTAACGCGGGTTCTCGACTTGGATCGCGATCGGCAAAATCGCCTGGAAAATCGCCTCGACCACCTTCTCGATGTCGTGCAGACTGCCGTCCTAAATAAAAGCTCCGACAAGAGTTGCGATATTCCGCCCCCTCCACCCGAGCCGCTTATTACGAATCTGATGCCACCCCCAAAACCAGGAGTAATACCCCCTAAGTTGGACCTGGTGCCACCAAAACCGTGTCGCGTACCATGTACAATCTCCAATGGCAATTGCCAGATGATCAATCAGAATCCTGTGATGACGAGACCTGGTGTGATATCGCCAATTTTGAGTCCGACAAGGAGAGTTGGGTCTATTTGGCAAAAATTGGGCCCCGTCTCGACTTCGCCCTTCGTCCGAGCCCAGCAGCAATTAGGATTCAGACCTGTGCAGGTACGCTTTAACACTTTGAACATTTACAAAAACATGGACTTCAAATATTACCTTTTGTTTTCCTTTTTTGTTCCGTTTACAAAGACTTTCTTTATTGAGTAATGTTCTTATAAGTAGCAAGTAGCGTGTTTCTCTCTCTCTCTCTCTCTCTCTCTCTCTCTCTCTCTCTCTCTCTCTCTCTCTCTCTCCTTAGCTCAAGATTATAATTATACTTATTATTATTGATAATTATTTATCAAATAGCTTATAAAACCAATTTAAATAAATTTAAATTTACTTGACAATTTGCTTGTATTGCCAAATAAAATAAAATATATTAAATTTGATTAAAAATCTAAGATAATTTTATTTTATATTAAAGTAAAAGGTCTCTAAATTATTAATAGTCGACGTATACTGACAATATTACAAAATATTCAATATATTTATAAATTTATATTTTATATATATATATATATATATATATATATATATATATATATATATACATTTATAAGTAAATCGCTTGAAAGTTTTTACGCAATAATATTAAATCTTTACTTTCATTGTCGTTTCCTTTAATTACTAAACAAAACTTTACTTTAATTTATTTAACTATGTAATTGTATTTTAACGAATTGAAAAAGGGAGAGAATAAATAGAAGGTAGAAGTTTTTTTTTTTACTTACAACATGTGGGCGCATTCAGAAAATATGTTTCAATATTGTCTTTGACCCGATGAGACTTAAGATAAAACATTACAAATATACGAAGGTACGGAAATTCGCTTTTTTATTATCATTTTTATTATTGTAGAAGCCTGAACAGACAACGTCCAGTCTGTCATTGATGTTTTTCGTTGTTTGTTAGGTAATTTGAAGTTCCTTTTTAATATATTTTTATAATTCTATTTTATTATGCAGTTAGAGGGGTTATGGGTGGGTAGATCACACGGTTTTATCATATTATGACTGTATTTAACGTATCGGTTTTATCTAATGTAAAGATTAACATGGCCTTGAATATGTACGATTTACGTTGTAATCAAGTAAACTGATTAATACGTGATCTCTTTTTTTTGTCATATTTACAAGAAAAAATTGCTATTTAGACAGTCCTAAACTATTTGATTGTTATTGTTAACTATTAATTATTAACTCCTTAGATGAATCTCTTTATTTCAAATTGCTTTCGTTTAAAATATTAAAGACTCGTGCTTAATATTATCGTTTATCCTTAGACGATAGTTTCATATCCACAAAAAATTACGTGGGAACAAATTTTTTATTGCCTCAACATTTGGAGGTTTCCTTAGATAAGAGATACGAGGAAAATCAATAAGATAAATAAATGGTCGGAATATTGTGGAGATAAGAAAATGTAAGGAAAAAATAAACAGTTCGATATTGTTTATGATTCTGTAACTATTATTGATTTAACACTTTGTTTTGTTTTGTTTTGTTTTATTGCCCTTCTCAGGCATTTAAATCATAAAATTATAATATGAATTATTATTTCGATAGATAATGGAAAATACATAATCTTTTATCCAAGTTTCGATCTTAAATTTGATGTATTGTGTAGCATTTGACTCGTTGATTATTATTTGACAAAAAGCAAAGCCATTTGTTTTATTATTAAATAAGTTATTTTAACTTAAGCGTTAAAATTATTACCTGACCTTTTAATATTAGTATTATCATCCAATTTCAACACTGAGAATAATAACAGCGAGGTCATTTGTATATGTAAAATCTCTGTTAATTGTGTCATATAAATCGAAGCCCATTCTAGCATCCTATTTTATCCTTGGATTTTCGCATATTCGGTTGAGAAATACTAGTCGCTAAATAAAAAACACAACTAAATGTATCAAAATTCTCCGATGCTCTCGACTGTAGCATTATGTGAGTGTCCAGAGTATAGTAACCGGTCCACTGTGAGAAAGTGGCTTTGGTGGGGGAGACGGCGGGTCGTAGTTTTGAACTGGCTGTGCTGTACTAATCGACGTCGGGTTTTTACGAACTTGACGCGTAAATTAAGATATTTATCAACTCGGTAATACTGAATTTGTGTACACTTTATATATCGACGAATAATACATTAACAAATACATTTCTTCGTTCGGAATAAAACAGTATTGCTATTCATAAAATAATGAGCCTTTTAACCGTTTCGCCGGAGGACTGCTTTAAGCAAAAAATCTAAATTATAAAGAACAAAGTTTAAAATTTCAATTAGAGTTATAACAAATTAGACGTATCGTTAAATAATAGCTTGTGTAATTGAATTGTGAATAATTGGAAGATATTTATTTTATCATGATGTATCTGAAAATTAATATTATGTTGTATATTTTTTATCGCAATTTAATAACGAATTTATAATCATACGAGTTTTATGACAGAATTATGAAATTTGGCCAACTTTCTTTTCTTCCTTATTATTCTTCTTCATTTTTTCATCTTTTTCTCTTCATTTTCGTTTTTTCTTTTTTACAAATACTATGTTACAATTTATCTAAACATTATTATTGATCATTAAATCAAAGAATATTAGTAATCATTACGAACTTCTGAGATTTTGCGATCTCACTAAAAACAATAGTATTTATTTTTAAAGGGTATGACAATAAACAAACACCAAACCAAAAAAAAAATATTAAATAAAGTTGCACGGCCAAATAAGAACTGCCGCTTTAATAATTACGGTCTGATCCTTTAACAACGTCAAGTGACTGATCCTTTCGAGAGGCAGAAGAGTTTTATATTGCTAGGGATTAAATTTATGCTTACTGCCAGTGGGCGAGCCTTGATCGCGGCATGGGCGGGTAAGTTTTTTTTTAGAAGTGAATAGCGGTGGAAGCCATAATCGGGAAAGGGAAAGTTCAAACTTAGATTGAAGCAGCAACCTACATGCAGAGGTGGTAAAAAGCTAAAGAACAGATTAGGATTTAAGGAACCGACATCGTTGACACAGAATACTACGGTCACGAGTAATAGCAAACATTTTAAGTCTGTGACATTTTGATTTTATTTATCTATTTACACGAGGGAGGGTGGGGGGAGATTCAGACATTTAGATGCAGTCTCTTACCATTTTACCCATATAATATCGGAGTAGAAAAACAAAAATTGAGAACGTAAGGATGCGTACGATGATGATTTCTCATTATATTCTTAATCAATTATGTTGAAAATTGTCACAGTGGTGCTCGCGCGCGTGCGCTTTGAAAATAAATGTTATTTATGATTCCGTCAAAAATACCTTTGTATAATTAAGTTTATGCTCGTTAATAATGATTACCAAACGCTTGTGCTTTTCGATAAAACGTAACTTTTAATTAACACAGGGCAATGATGTGCGCACTCAGTCCTCGGCTGAGCGACGCATCACCAAAGAATTGGAAATGAACATGAATCCCAAGACTCTCATACTCGAAACTGCCAACTTTATACATGCCGAACGCCACATCCAAGAGGAAGTTGAAAATGCACGTATCAATGCATCTCTGGCGAGGAAGATGCAAGCACGTCGTCGACTGTTTACCCAACGGGAGCCAACCGCTGCCATGATACTCACCGCCGCCTTTCTAGACTCCGAGATCCAGTCCATGGAAGTAGCCGAGAATGCAAAATTCAACTGGCACGTGCAACGCGAAAGAGAGCTGTACAACAAGCTCCGGGAGCACTACAACAACGTCGATTTACACTACAAGGGTACCGGTGAGGAAGAATCTATATTTTAACGATAGTCAATGAGTTTTCGGAGGTGGCTGGCAAGAGCGCTTTATCGGCGGCTTATTTGACATCTCGATAACGTAAAATCCCATTGTTTTTAGCAGCGAACGATGACGAGGCATTCGCTGCGCAAGTTGAGAATTACGAACGTTTGAAGCAGCTGCATATGCGCGATAGAGTTATTGGCGAGCCTTGTAATTCGTCGACGCCGTCCAAGGATTCAGCGTCGCAGCCGAGAACGGATTTGATTCAGACTGACGAGCCAAGACAAACGATCCAGCAATTGGCCCAGCTGGTCATGAATAGTGCGCGCTGGAGAAATAACAATCCGCCGAATAATTCGGAGTATCAACGTAAAGATCTGAATTTACGAGGTAATGGTAGAGCAATATTCGTTGAAATATTAGAATTTCGAAAGATTATTACCAAGGCTTAATAATTATTACATTAAGACATGATTAATGTTTTATATAATAAAATATTAATCAAGCACGTTTAATGTCTCGAGCCTATATTTTTTACTGTATTGAACAGAGCCTGAATCAAAATCAACAAAAGCAATTTTAGAAAATCTTAAATTATTATTGCTAGATATATTTCTTTTCGAGAATTTAATTTTTACGATCAATAATACAATAGATGATTTTAATTATAATTTTAAGTATAATGAAAATGAAACATCTACTTTTCGTTCGCTTCATATTTGCTATTTTATAAAACTTGCGAATTCAACAGTATTAAAAATGATCTTTGAACATTATTTTTCGTGAAAAAGATGCCCATGATTTAAACATCAATGATAAAATGTAAAGCTATTGTGACTTAATTGTGCTCTTTTATTTAATTTCTTAATATAGGAAATCCACCAAAGCCCGTTCGTCTCAATGAAGAAGCGATGCTCTTACGTAACGGTCAGGAGTCAAAAACATTTGACAATCGTATGGAACAAAAAAATCGATTATCCCATCCACCAGTCGACGGCAAAATTAAGACTCGCGACTGGCTTCAAGACCGTTATTACTATGAGCGACAAATAGGTTCCGATAACGAAAGCGATCCCATAACTCAAGGAATTAAAAAGCGGTTATCGTACAATGGTCCAATGACCCAGAAAACCTCATCCCATCCGACAATAGGCTTCGCTAGGGATTATTTAATTAACTATGACAACAACAACAACAACAACAATATTAATGACAACAACAACAACAACAACAACAACAACAATAATAATAATAATAACAATAATATAGTTAATAAAAATAATGGTAGACAGAACTACGGCAATCAAGGGAAGTGTGTAGGCTTCGCACGCAATAATGAAATTATTATTGACGATAATAGAAACGATCTTATTTTACATGATAACAATGATCCTTTCGAAGAGCTTCATCAATTTTATATTCAAAAGCAACTTAAGATGCAGAAAAATCAGGGGATACCGTTTATGATGCAAAACGGTAAAATCATACTAGCGCAGAATGATATGATCGAGCGCTATATGCATGAAATAAATTTGCAATCCAAGCCAAATCGTGATTCCGATTCCGATAATGACGAGTTCTTGGATACAACTACGAGTATGCCGTGTTCGCGGAAAAATTCCATTACTTCGGTTGGAAACAAACAAGGAAAATCCGAGTCGGCGTGTATGATAAGTTAAGAAGAATATGTCTTGAAAATTGATTTTGTTTATTTTTAAAGATTATTATTAATACAATATTTAATAATGCATTAGCTTTGTTAAAATAATGATGTTGTATAAGATAGTATTTAATTGAAAAATTATTATTTTTATTTGTCAATTAATTTGTCAATTAAAAAAATTATTTGTCTTTATTATTTTTTATTTAGCTTTCGGCTACTCATATCCGTTTAATTAAATAAATTTTGATTACTCAATAAAATTGCAAAGGTCATTCACTAGAGTGATATTTTACGTTGTAGGTATTTTAATATAGTTTATTCTGTTCAGAGCTTATTGTATAATTAAGTAATATACTATTGGTGCAATGACCACATAAATCATTAATTTTGTTATTACTTTCATTCTCCAGAAATATTTTGGAGAATTTGTGATTTCATCGCAATTAGCTTTTGCCTTTGACAATATAGTCTTCCAGTCAATTTTATATGTACTCATAAGTCACATATAAAAAACGATAAAAATAAAATGTTTCTTTTTGTTTTGCAACAGTAGTTGCACAAATTCATAATTAGTTATAAAGTATTGATCTCTTATATATATATATATATATATATATATATATATATAAACTCTTAAAGTATTGGAGATATATTAGATGAGAAAAAAATGAAGCTTTATAATAATGTGCCTCGCCTTACTTGACTTCTTCATTGTTCGCATAAAATGTGCCAATAACCTAAAGTTATGCAACTATTATTTGTAAACATTTTTTGTACTCATGAAAAATAAAATAAAAAAATATACTTTAATTGATTCAATTTATTTAACATAATTGGTTAAAAATTACTTTTATTACATTATAAACAAAAGTTTAGTGATAAATTTGATAATTATATATTTATTGATCTCTTTTCATTTGCATTTATTATAGTTTGAATATGAATTATAATATAATTTTAGATTATTTTTAGTTTATTTAAAACAACAATTTTTATCTTAATTGCGGATTCATTTAACAGAGTTTTTATCTGCAGAAGAATAACTAATTGTGAAATAGCAATAAAAAGAAAAAAATTATAAATCTAGTAAACTTTCAAATACAATGTTATTATACAGGGGTCGAATTTTTAACTGTTCGATTCATAAAAATTGAAATAATATCCGATATCAACGAACAGTTACTAAAGTTGGTGAAATAACTTTTTTTTTATTTAAGAATAATGATCTCTTAATTATTTAGAACTGATTAGTATGGTATGTTCAATAAAATAAAAAGTAGCAAAAATGCATTCACGCAGTGTAAATAAAAAACATCGTTATAATTAAATAAATCCACAAAATAATTTTTTTATAATTAAGACAATTAAGTTTTAATAATTTTATTAAGTTAATGTTGATGAAATTTTGTCGAGTTTGTTATTAATCCAAATCATTTTTATTCGATGTTGATTATACAATCGTTAAATTTAGACTATCATTTATTATTTTCTGCCAGTTTAAGCGAAGCGATGATACACGTTGATTTCTTTTTCTAGAACAAATAATTATTAATTTATATATTTATATATTTAATTTAAATAAAATTATAATAAATCCAAATAATCTTACGTAAACTCTGTTTTCAACTGCTTTAATAATTTCATGAAATGCAAAAAATACTGAAGGCGAAGTAATACTAAACTAGAAAATAATTCGATTTTGTAAATTTATATTTTATTTTGATATAATTTTTTAAATAAAGTACATGTTCTTAACGGACATACTTAAATTTTAATACTTTCATATCAAATTTAATTTGATAGAAATGCTAGTGTTTTTCTGGATCAGTAACTGCTCCAATAAATAGGGTCAATTTATTTCGAGTATCAATTATTTGGAATAAAAACGGTCGATTGACTATTATTGTACGAGGATTTGAATTATATGAATACGGAACCATCATAGAGACTAGAACATAAAAAATTATATTAATCGATCGAGTAATATATTATTAATTTCAATTTATTATTGTTGTTAGTAATATTAGTATTTAATATAAACAATTCAAATGATGGATTATTATAGTAGAAATTTGTAAAAAAAAATTCATTTAGAATTTAATATAGATGGTATTTATTGTGTAAATTTTAATGAATATCTATAAAACATATGAATTTTTTTTTAATTAAATTAAATAATACGACAATATTTATTTTAATTATTATTGAACATCAATTTTATAGAGTTTCGTAAAGTTCAAAAGATTCAATTAAAAAATTGAAAGAAGAAGATATGTTAAAATGTATCATTAAAGTATACGTTTTACAGAAATTATTAGTTACGAATACAATACTTCAATTTTAATAAATAAATCGGCATATCGGATACAAAATATTCCGATTTATCCAGAATAGATTAATTCTATTTAGATTTACATACATGCTTTCCTTTAATAGAAAAATATTATTTAAAAGCATTTATTATAATGAAATATAATAAAATCATATATTTATATAGTATTCAATAAAATTATTTCAAGTTATAATAATGTTAACGATATAGCATAATTAAATTTCTCACAATAATTGATGACACATTAACTGATTAATTAACAATTAAAAGCTTTTGTAATCTTTTCGTATGCATTACCATTTTCTCCACATTTTAATTATTATATTTTCTATGACATTATCTATTAAAAAAAACTTACAATCCAAATCATGAAATTAATGACAAATTATTATAAATAAAATGTTTATTATAAATACAATATGAATTTCAATATTTGATCATTTTAGTAACTTTTGTCTTATTCCAAAAGTGGTTACATGTTTTTTTTTACTCTTGTTAGAAATTAATTATTCATGTTTATATGAAACATATCGATTGATTTTTTTAAAGTTTAATAGAATAAAAATAAATTTCCAAGTAGATATATGAGTGACTGATTAAATTGTAATCATGAGAATAAAAAATCTCGAATAATAATAAATTTTCAATTATTCTCACTCTTTATATACAAATTTGGTAAAATTGTTTATATATATATATATTGGTAAAATTTTATATATATATATATATATATATATATATATATATATATATATATATATATATATATATATATATTTATATTATATTTATTTAATCCATAAAAAAAGAGTAGTATAAAAACACAACTAAAATGATGTCCAACTAACAAAAATAATTAATAATATTGTATAGATGAACGATGATTGTGGAATAATTGTTAAAATATGAGTAACTATAATTAAAATAAAAATGAAGAGATAATATGAGGTACTTACAGTTATATATTATATTATTTGTATAATATTAAATGGCATTATTAAAGAAGCAAAACTAAAGAAAAATAATACAAAAAAGTAAATAAACTACCTGTTGAAGCTGCAGCTTCGGTACCTTCTTCGTTCACATCAATAAAAGCCTTTTGAATAATTGAGTTCACTAACAATGGATTATTGCTTATGCCAGAGAAGTTTGCTTTTTCAGTGAACATTTCTGTTAGCCCTAACTATTGATATAAATATTCGTTAATATTAATAACGTAAATGAAAGATTAGTTAAAATTTATCCACTATTTATATTAAATTAGTTTTTAAGTAATTTAAAAGGCAATTGTTTATTTTAAAAAATCGAATCAGTAATTTTTTGATTATTTGTCTTTGCGAAAATTAAAAAGAAAAATATTATTTCACTTTTAATATATGTATAAAATAAGTAATTGTAATAGAAATAAAATCCCTGCAATTTATTAAATATTCTAAAAATTGTTTTTTTTGTATTTATTTTGAATTTGGAACAAAATTTGATTATTAAACAAATTAACAAATTAATATAAGATTTAGATTAAGACAATGACAAACCTGTTTCAATGGTTCTTTCAAATGGATTGTGCTCTCGAACTTAAATTTCGGTAGATACACATAGACTTTTTCGAAAATGCCATCCTTATCAAGACGAGTATAATTTAACGAATTATAATTTCTAATTAAATTATTTAAGCCTTCGATCCTATTTGGTATAATGATAACCATTGATAAGTCACTGTTCTACAATTGTGTTAAAAAAATATGTCTTGTTATTATTTTATGATAATGCATAACTAATAATAGTTTAATGTAATGAAAAATGTTCCTTTCTATGTAACGAATATAGTACGAATTTATACCATATATTTGCTTCTTAAATAGTTACATTCTATACATATTAAGTTAATTATACGGAGCTAGCCGTAAGAATTATAATAGTAGGAATACTGCAGGTCGAGGTTTGCATCACATTATAGATACGATAATATTTCGAATTAGCGTCACAAAATTTATAAGAAGTTGGACGAATGAAAGTTGACATATTTACAATGAAAAAAGTCGATTAAAAAGGTAAAAGAATATATAATTTTTATTCCAAAATTTTTCTAGAGATTCAAATTTAATAATAATAGAATTATAAAAAATATATAGAAATGGAATTCTCTAAATATTATAATTTTATGTATACATGTATAGCTCTATAATTTTCTCAAAATTTAGCATTCTACTAAAATCCATTAAATATTAAATAAAAAGATTTCTAAAGTTAAAAACAATTTTAATGTTAACAATGCTGTGGCATTAACATTTGTACGATTTAATATTTCTAGAAGGAATGGAGAACTTATTAAATAAGAAAATACTTGTCCTACACGTGTAAATTTATATTTAGACTTAATTATACAAGTGCATGCATTCAAAGTTTTGTATGTGCATTGACTGATAGCAATATATTTTCAGTCTTTATTATTGTGAAAATGAAACGAAAAATGCTGCATAATAAGACGTCGGAAGGTGTGAGTTTATTTGACTTACATTCAATTTAATAGCTTTTAATTGGTGATTTTTTTTCAAATTCTTTGAATATTTGAAATATATAATATTAATGCTAATAAAGGAATTATTATCCTAGATATGTCAAACAATAAAATAAAATTTATGCAAGCTAGTATGATTATTAAAATAATGGCAATATGGTTTCTTCCTAAGTCATGTAATTTGTCTCGAGCTAAATAAGCTATATTCAGTCTGCATCTAATTGGCAATTAATTTCAGCGCTATTTGCGTGCCGTGACATCAAGTGCATTTTGTATATTGGATATTAATAATGGAGCCCCATGAATTTAACAAAAAAGGATATAGTTTCACATAATCCAAATATGAATTTTCTAAGGAAAAAGCCAAAATTCTAGTTTGAGGCTTTTTTTTATATATATTTCAGCTTTGTTTAACACAGGATTAAACTAAAGTACATTAAAAAACTTTTGTAAAATAATAAGTAATAGTAATGATGTACACTTAGGTACATTAGATAGTTATGTATACTTTTCAATACATTATTTCACGTTCTATGTAATTTATGTAAACTGCAACAGATTAATATTTTTTTTTCTTCACAATTTATTAATACCTTAATTTCTCAATTAATAGATAATTAAGTAATATTATTATTATAGAACAATTAGTTATGGCTAAATATTTAATTAAACAGCCTAGTAAGCAATAATGACTAAATATAATTAATTGCATTATCGATTATAGTTTGTTTATCACTTATAGGGTAAAAGATATTAGACTTACCCTGTAAGGTAATACAATGAATTGAGCTTTAAGATCTGGAAGATTACCATTAACATACTCATCATAATTGAACATAGTTGGTACTTGTTTTTTTATTTTCTTACTAATATAAAAGCTTTTATTCTCAGTTGATTTCTCTAAGAAACTCTTTTTCCAATTTCCTTTAAAATATATAGCATTCAAGAGAAACATGTAAGTATTCGCAGTGATATCTCCTATAATGATATATAAATTTTTTTATATTTTTATTGTTCTTTCATATATTAAAGCCATAATAAATAATCTTTTATAATAAAAAATCATTTCAAATTATTATTTCAAATACATTTTAAACATAAGTTAATCAATTACATGTTACACTATTCCATTGAATTATCTGAGCGATGAATATTAATGAAATATTAATTTAATCGTCAGACAAACCTTACAATAAAATACATTAATGATTTATTAATAAATTATCTTCTATATGTTACGGAAGATTCTTTATATGCTCATTAATAAAATATGACATTATTACGTATATAAATATATAAAAAGAAATTAATTTTTAGTTAATTTTATATTTTCATAGGATAATTATTTATATAAGAGCGCGCGCGCACGCACACATACACTGTATTTAAATATAATATATATAGAGATATGTATAATTTTATCAATATAAATCCTCGTGATTTTTTAAAAATCTGGTGCCAAATTGCACCTCGATGTCGTAATTAAATTCCAATGATCACATTTAAGAAATATAGAAGTATAACTGTCAGTAAACTTGAAAAGTTTAAAGATAAAAGATCAATATACTTCTTACTAAAATTACAAAAGTTTTCTTAATGAGTTTAAGCTGATATAAATTATAATTTATTTAGAACTCACCATCTGCGACAATATCATGAATCTTATTACTAGTTTGCTTCTCGATCCAAGCATTAATCAATTGTGCAGATTTTTGTGGCGTGGTGACGTCTAGCTCACAGACATTAGAAAAGAAATAGTTATTGATCATTTCTTTATACTTGTTTTTCAATTGATATTTGTTGGCTATATATATTCTACTGGCCATGTTAAACGTTACATCTTTATTACTGACCTAAAAAGTGATTAATTAATATGTTTGCATTCATTTTAAAGAAATTCATTTAATCGATGCTTATTATTGTGATAATTTAATTATCTGTGTTCTATAAATTATATATATATATATATATATATATATATATATATATGTATATTCTTAATATTTCAAATGTTAGTGCCATAAAAAGATTCAATATAGTAAATATATGAGAATTATATTTTTATTTATATTTTTATTTATATAAATTAAAGATTTAAAAAGAATAATTTTGAGTTAAATATGAATATTTCAATATGACAATATGATCGATGATTCTTTGAAACTGTGTCTAGCAATTAGTATCGTGTTTTCTTCTTCATATTTTTCTTCAATGTGCAAAAATCGTCTTGAGATATTAAACAATTCCCAACTTTATTTCTAGAACTTAGTAATATTTTTTTTAACAACAATAGCTAATAAAGCAACGTACGTTCAAATGCTCCAACAGAGTCTGAAAACCTTGCTGACCATCGCTCTTTTTATTAGGCAAATGTAGGATTTTTTGCATTTGTAAAGCGGTTTTATCATTCGCCCCATACGCAGCCATTGACAGGATAATATGGGCACTTGCGGGTGAACTGATGAGATTCTCGTAATTGCTGTTATGCGCCACTGTCTGTAACGCGTATAAAAGTTATATACAACAAAGGTGTTCACTATGCAGATATGCGTGGCCACTAGAAGAGAATTATAAAACAATTTTTCATATGGAATTAAAAGAGCTTTGGAGAAATATTTGCAATTGATTTATTAAATAAGGCGCTTAATTTTGTTGATTGTATATAATTTCATAATTCCAGATAGTATCTTGAAATAATATAATCCATACGGTTCATAATTAGTAATAATATCCATTAATAGTAATATCCATTTTCTAAGTATTTCTTAATATCCATATGATCATGTAATATTATAAATTACCATGCAGTTTATGAGGCTATTTAAGATAATTTATGAGTTACAAAAAACATTAACAATTAAAACGTAGCTTTGGAACTTTGATCGTTAACTCAGATATTTTAGCCATAAAACATAGAAAACAGTACTATTATTATTTAATCGTTCGAATAATTATTATTGTGCATAAAGAGTTTTACTTATCCAGTACAAATCGCGATTACAGTCCGATACCAATTGAATATTCAAATACATTAAAATACCTATAATGTATCAATCATAATTAAATAAGATATACTCTATACAAGATATATATTAATTATTTCTGTATAATTATAATTTTAATTTTCTGTATAATAGTTTCATATTTTAATTATTAATAAAGTTCTAAAATATTACCTTTAACATTGATGAAAGAGAGTGAGTATATTAAAACAAATATGTGCATGGATAACATAAAAAAATACATGCTCATTTCATTGTCATTATTTATAAAATTTGTACTAGAAACCAACTACTCAATGCGTGTGTTTCCTTTAATTATACGGAAATAGAAATTATAGAGAAATATGCTGTGTAGATCTATGCATGTACACTTTAAATACCGACCTTAAAAAAATTAACAGAAAAATTTTCGATGCTTCCTGACACCGCTAATAATGGATTGTTTAAACTCGTGGCCATTGTGCAGGAAATAAACGAATATAAGCATAAGATCAGCATGACTGTCACTGCAATACATAAAAAGACATTTATTCGTCAAAATGGAATGTTTCATTCGAATATATCAAGTCGGCGAATTCTCATAAAAAATCCTTAAATTAATATTAAAATATTAATTGAATAAAATGACTGTATAATGTATTATCTTTTCCATCGCTGTAAGTATCTTATTAGTTTATTGGTATTGAAGATTTTAACTTCAATATAGTCTAAAGATAATAAAAATAATACTTTTAAAATAATGCACATGAAAATTTATATAAAATTAATCGTTATAATTTGTTATTAATAGATTTTGTTAAATTCTCGCTAATTCGTAATACAAAACAAGAGTTTTTACAACGTTTTGTGAGATTTCATGGAATTTAGATTTTTTCTGATTTATTCGGATATGCATTTTAATAAACTAGTATAGATTTCATTTTTTAAAAAAATAAGATTTTTAAAAATACTCTTATAATAATGTATCTAAATATCGAAAGTTTATTAATTAGTTATTGAAAATAGAGTAAAAATTATAGTAAAAATATAATAAAGTTATCTAGGAAATAAACATTTACTACATGAATATTATTTCAGATTTATAATATTTTATTGTTTTAATAATATTTTATGTTACAATAAAATCAAATGTAAATGTATTATTTCTTTATACATTAAAACATAGTTATACTATTGTGTTAGAAGCATAATAATAATTTTCATTCTGATACTGACACAATATGAACAAATATTAATTACATTCAACATGTTGTGAAACCGTTAGACGAAAGTAGTTCGTTATAACAGTAAAATAGGAATCAATTGTTTACAAAATAAAATAAAATCCTGAAAGATTGAAATTAATACGAAGCAGAAAATTCAATTTCACTATCGTTTTGTTTCATCCATCTTAATAAAGCCTGCACAACTCTACAGTAACCTAATTTTCACAACTATTTATTATTATTAAATTTATGAGTTGATAATTAAGTTATCAAGTACTACGCAAGATTTGTATTTTGATGATCGACATGCAAGTATTGCCATTATACTTTGACATCATAAAATTTTGATGAAATACTTGACTAATAACAAAGTAAAGTATACATTTTCATATTGTATATAAAGAAAGTCAGCTCGATTGTATAAAATATATTGAGTTATTAAACTATGAACTGCGCTATATCAACGAAAGTCAAATTTAAATTAATTTTACAAGGAAGGATAAGTTTTTGAAAGAAATTTCCTTAAAGCTCGTAATCTAATAGAATAAAAAAACAACCTGTGAATGATCAATACAACATCATCCATTATTCCATTATTTGTTAAGTAATATAAATTTAATACAAATTTATCGTTTTTATTGTAAAAATATATTTTTGTAGCTTATTATTATGTTACACCAGGGGACAAAATAGTTTTGTATAATTTCCTCCTTTCTAAATTATTATTGTAATGTTTCGATTACATTTCACACTTGCCATATTCCATAAACAAATTCATGCGTGATTTGGATTGCATTCAAGTATTTATCAATGGCTTTTTAATTACACTCGATCATAAATTTTTAAAATTTATTTATGTTAAAAATTTATGCCTTAGTAAATAAATATGTCGTAATAATAAATTCTATAAAATATATTTCCGTAGCATAATTTTTCACGTTGTAAACGTGAATCCAATCAAATTCTCAATAATCCGAATTTCATTTAATAAGGACTTATTTATATTTTGTATTATATATTTGAAATATTCATTTTCTTAATTACGAAATGGCATTTTTTTGTAAACAACATGGACATTTATAGCGGTGGAATAAGTAATTTTATACAATTTATTTATCAATGTTTTATATGATTGATGTTATCGAATATAGTTTGACATACAATTGTTTATGTTTTGAAACGTATGTTTTATGAAAACTAATTTTAGAGCGAATTTTTAACAGTTTTCTAAACAATATCGTAGAAATTTATATAGAAATCTAAATGTAGAAATTAATTGTGGGTGGCGAGGGTCACGAGAGAAATGTAAATTCTTTGATAAAAATTTGTTGTGTGATTTAAGAGATCACTGCGAATTAATTAATTTAATTTTTTTTGATCCAATAAAAAAATTATCTTTCTATTATTTCGATCGCTAATTCAAGAATCAGATATATTATTAATTTTTATTATTATTTGCATGTATTATATTCTAAGGCTAAGAGAAGTTATTCGTGGATTACAATAACATGAATTAATTGTATAATTTATTTTATAAGATAGTGAAGATACCTAAGGAATTGTATATTATCGATAAAATAGTTGAAGAAAAAAATGTAAAGTAACAAGAGAAGTAGATAGAAGCGTTAGTTAAGTGTGATTTGATATATAATTGCATAATTAATGATTTACTATTTGACATATATTTGACTCATATAAAGAATAATTTTTGTATAAAGATTAAGATTATGAGACTGATAGAATCTAATCACTTTTCTAAACTTGGTTCACGATGATCAATTATGAACGAGCTATGAATTAATTAAGTCTATAGCTGCATAAAGCTTGTTAAATAAATTGTAAGCAAATAGAAATAAAAAATATAATAATAATAAAAGAAACACTTCTTAAAACATCGGATACATAGATGAAACGCTTATCTTCATTTGTTTTGTGTCTTTATTCTGTTATTTATCGTTTGTATACACATTTTAATATTTCGTATAACCAAAGAAAAAAAATGTAAATACAAGCAAAAAATTATGCACAAGAAACAATAACGTTCAAAAGAAATTAACTAAAATACTTAATCTATTTCTACAGTTTCCTATTACCTGATTTACATTAATATTTTTGTCAGTTCGTTAGATAGATAAAATTTTATCAAATACAAAATATCAAAAGATCGTATAAGCTGTCTATAATTTAGATAAATAATTTATTTCATTTAGGAAATATATTTTTAGTTTCATATATTTGTTGAATTTCATAAAATTTGAAAATATAGATTGTGTAATTTGTAATAATATGTTTAAAATCTATTTTATAGAGAATGAAAAAGGTAAAACCATGATATCCGTTATATATGTACTTGTATATATATATATAATATAGTTACTACCTTGTTAAATGTTTTTTGATAATAATTTAATTTAATCTCCTTTAATGTACTGTTCTGTCTGCTATTGATATAATTTTGATTTTAATAACAAGAGATTCCAAGTTTTATGTAAATTTACGAGTAAGAGTTAGAAATTTCATAATATTATGCATTCGCGAGTATGTATGGGTGTATATATCGATAGCTACGTGAAAATTTAACGAGCACAGCAAGCAAGCGATAATTAAATAACGATTGTATACTGCTATCTTAGCGGTCAACCACGATTTTACCTTACTACTTTGTTATTATACAACGTTATTAATTTTGTGATTATAAGTATGTACTATAAAAAATTTTTGGTATTCGTGTGATACACTTTAATGCTGTATATAACGTATTTTTATGCATAAATACTAAACAAATTTTTTTTTCTTTACGTTTATTAAGATAAAAATTCTATTGTTTATTTGCTATACTTTAAATACAAACATATTATTAGATAAATAGAAACATATTTTTAGATAGTAAATGAACATACTTGACACATACTATTGACGTAATATTGATTCTCCATGAAAATAATGTGATAAAACTACATTAAGAAAGAGTAGTGTATTGTCGTTGATTAAAGTTTTAAAACTTGTCACGTTCCATTTACAGAGGCATTTTTCTAATTTTAATTTTCTGAATAATTTCTTTGATTAACTGATGTAAAATGAATTTATTTTGTAAAATAAATGTAAAATAATTGTATTCAATCAATAATTTGAACAATTTGTTGCGTCATTAGAAAATACAATTTTAGAATAGACTAGATGAGTAAAGAAAGAAATTATCTTGAAGGTGCAACTTTATTGCTATAAATAATAGTTTTTATCGATGGTTGAATATGAGATATTGAAGTAAAAATTAAAAAAAAATTTAATTAATAAGAACTGTAAATACGAAAATTCTTCATTTACTTGATTTGTACTTTAAATTGATTAAAAATACTACAACGAAAAAATTAAATTATTGGATTATGTATCAAATAGAGAAGTTATTAAGTTAATTAATAACTAATATTGTATGTATCTCAATGAAATCAAAGAATATAATTTCATAGTATAAATTTGGATTGCTTGAATTATCGCAGGTCATAGGAAATGTAGATTTCATATGAATTTTTTATATTGGCAAGCTCTGTAGAAAAAAAGATAATCAATTTATGTATGTGAAGATATTTTTTAAAAACAAGGACGATTGAAAGCGTGAATGTAGACTTTATACTAAAAACGTAGTACAAAGAAAAATATTTTCATGCGATTTGTCAGATTTAAAGTTCACGTAAATATACCGTACAAATGTAATATAATATTATATTCAATGATTGATCATTGAATCTATCTATTTAATTCATATCTATTTAAGTCTAGAGATACGACGTTTTATATAATATAGATCAAGCAAATGACCTGAATACCTTGAATGATTGATTAAAAAGCTTCTTCAGAAAATAATATAATGCTATAAAAAATTTTTTTTTAAATTATAAACATTATAAAAAGCTCATTTGATATTTTACTTAAAAAAAAGTGAACTTTTTTTTAATATTTTTTAAACTACATAGTATTTGTAAATATTGTATTAGAAAGAATGATTTGAAGGATAAATTATAACCCTTTGATTTTGTATACTAATTTGTTGTTAATTAAAATTTACATGTAAATTTAATGTAATTGAATGTATCTGTTAAAAACATTATAAATTGGAAATCTTTGAACCATTATCGATTCGTTTATTTTTTATCGCGTTTTCATTTCAACGATAATTTTATATATATTCATGTGATTGATTTTGTATTTTTAATTATATATTTCTAATAAGTTATACATTAAACTATTAGGCACTAAGTCAATATTATATAATCTGGTATACTAATTATATTAATGTTAATGTATTTATGCAGTTTTTATTCATATGAACTGATTTTATAATTATTTTTAAAGCAATATCTTTATTACTGATTTTATGTAGATTGAAGTTTTTATAAATTTCTTATAGTACTGTTACATTAAAATTCACGAAATGATTTAAAAGAGTGAGTTGATTTTTATTTTAAATGAACTATTACTTAAACTTTTAATTATTACGACGATACATTAATGGCACGCGGGTAATGGTATTTACAGGTACAATAATTTTTTTTACATTCTCAAAATTGTCGTGTCCTTATCAATGAATAAATTTACACAATGTTATACTAGATTGTATTTTTAATAAAAAAAAAAAAATAAATAAAAAAAAAACAGAGTTTACGATCAATGAAGGCGTTCTAGCTTTTACAACCTTTATCGAAACCGTAACGAAGCACTTGCACCTTTATACATTATAATCATATGCATAATATGTAGTAAGTACTAATTCAGAATAGAATCATAGCCACTCGAGTAAAATAATTAAAGATGGATATAACATTTCTAAAAAGAAAATATTTTTATAATATAAAATACATAAATAAGGTTATTATATATTAGTATATTTACCGGATTCATAAATGTTGTTATATTGTACTATTAAACGGTATTTACAGTTTATGGACTATAATTTTATTAATGTTATTTGAGACAGAAGCATTGTTACATCGATTTACGAGTAAAACTTTCATGTATAGACTTTTTATTTTTGGCATAATCTATTAAAATTGTTATTCAAATTTTAGTATTTAAACTTCAAATTATGAAAAATGTTCTATGCTTTTTCTGTGTAGAAGTATGAGCTTACCATTTTCTTTTTAATTAATTAAATATAAATGTTATATTGGAAAATTAATTTTGTGATAAATTTTTAAAATAAATTCAATTATGACTGAAGATAAAATATGAAAATTCAATTAAATTCGATTTAATTTATTTTTAGCTTTATGAATCTAGATGCATATATTTAATATAGATGACTGCACTAATAGATTGAAATAAATTTAAAACAAGAACACATTTTATATAATCAAATTTTTTAAACAGTGATATATATTATTTCAAATAAATAAAAAACTTTCATTACTACAAAAATATTAAAGACAAAAAATTATTCTTTTCTCAAATCTAATTTTTATCGAATAATTATGATAAAATATCGAATAATGCAGGATATATAAATTCTTATTAAAAATTAGGATTATACATTAATAGTTTTCAATTATTCCTCGTAAAAAAATCTACATAAGTGATATTGAATTATTAAGTTAAACTTAAAGCTATTACAACCTTTTTCAGAATTAGTGCCTTACTTTTATTACATATTGAATAATTTAATTATAAAACATCGTCAGACTTGTTGTTAACTAGTAGGTCATGAAATTGCTTAAAAAACATTGCTGATTTAATTTTCAATTATTATTGTAATTAAGATAGGAACCCTTTGATATCAATATGCATGATTGTATACACACAGCATATCTAATTTAATATAAACATAGTATTAAAAATATCTAAAATCTTTTCTTTCGGATCGAATATGTAAATCTTATTTTTTTTTTTAAGTTTTGGAAAATATTGTTAAATTATTAATTTTTTTATGAATAAAGTAAAAAAATTCAAAATTTTATTATAAAATATTTAAAAAGTTCTCTAAAAATCAAGAGAATTTTTTCCAAAGGATTGGTTTTGTATTCTTGTTTTGTTTAATAATAAAGTTATGATGGAAAAACATATCTTAATGAAAAATTATATATTCTTAAAAAATACATTATATTATGTTAAGAGAAAGACTTTATTTGAAAAATATTTGAAAAATATTTTGAATTAGGCGTCTCAAATGTACAATTAATATGACTGCAGATATTTATGTTTAAATTCTTTATAATGTTATTTTACAATTATAAATTCATATTTCGATCTGAAAAGTGTCTAATATGATAGAATAGATATAATTATTATTATTTATGATGGATGTTAGTTTAATTCATAAATTTAGTGTTCTTCTTACATTTTGAAATTAAACCAAGTGAAACATACATTTTATGAAATATAGAGTGTGATTATTACAAAAATTGTAATATAAAAATAGATTAATAGTATATTTTGTATAATATTATAAACTTGAACTCATATTATATGATAATTTGCATAGAAAGTAAATTTTTTAATTTAAGTTATAATAGTATTGTTGTTTTTTTTTATTTATATACAGTATGTACTTGTACTGCATTAATTTATTTAATCGATAAGGCATTTAATTTATAATTTATAGTCAATTAGAACAGTTCAAGAATAATTCTTTATTTTTATAATAATAATAACGTTTATGCATTTACGCTTAGATGTAAGAGTGAAATTTGTATAACAATGAAGTTTTATATTTTTACTAAAAACGTGAAATAACCGAATAAAAAATTGTGTATACTTATAATTTGTTAATAATTATGGGTACACACAAATATATTTCTACCATTAAAATATAAATATTTTAATTATATTTCCTAAAATACATACAAACATATACGTATATGTGCATTTATAATGAAATATATTTTATAATAATACTTGAATTGTTAAGTGAAAATTAATTCGGCTTATTTATTAGTCAATTCAATAAAATTATGTTCTAATAGAAAATAATTATTGAAACAATGCAAGCAAGTATAAATGTCGTCTAGTACATATCTTCAAGTTTCAGGTATTTGTGAATTGGAGGTAAGAATCAGTAAATTAACCATGACCATGTTACTGTATGATGATGATTGAAATAAAAACCAATAGAAATTTACTAAAACGCATGTCGGCGCAGCTCTCGTGTCTTTTCACTTATCGAATGTAACAGCAACTGACTGCGAAACAAAGAGTCAGTAGCAGCTATATAAAGTTTGCGCAATTAAGAGAAACGTGTACGCTATAGTATATACATATGTTATTTATTAGTCTCCTTTTTTTTCTGCCTTCTGCCTCTGCCTCTTTGGAGGACGTGTTTGACACGTAAAACTTTTTAATGTCAATGATCTTGATTAGTGACTAGCTTTCGTTCTGTTAATATACAACTCATTTATGTTGTATTTATAAAGCGTTTTAATGAAATAATATTTTAAAGATTTAACTACAAATGTACAATGCACACATGCACAGGCGCACGTGCATGTTCACGACATATACATGTTGATGAAGGCAGAACGACATGTAGCGTGAACAAGCGTGCATAATACGTGCGGTGTTTAGTTAATAATTTATTTGTAAAGAAAATACCTTGTTTGTTTGTTTTTGAGAGTTATTTTGTAAGAACAATTTACATTGTTTTCCTTGAGTTTTGTTCTATCTTTTTTGTAACTGCACTTATAGTTTTCACTTAGATTACTGAATATTATACAATGTAGTATTTCAAAAAAATAATCAAGGATGTTAAACGACGTTGGGAAAAATAATAAGATTAAACGTACTATCGGTTGAAATCTTCGTCTAGATCATTACAAATGCTTATTTCGGGTTAAACAGTATATTGTTTTATAAAGATACTATTATTGATTTTTATTTCAAAAGTTCACAACAAATATCAATTTATAATTGATTCAATGAATTATATTCAAACTTCTATATTAAATATGTTTCAAATGTTTCCTAATAAGTTGATCATCTATTTCATTAAAAATACAACAGAATGATATACCCGTGAAAAAAATTATACCGAGAAGTGTTTCGTCGATATGTCATATCAATAGTTATGATGATATACGTATAGAAGTATATAAATTAACGATACCTGCTATTTTTTATAAGAAATTTTCTTGAGCGAATGCCGAAATCTAATTAATAATCGCGTAATAAATACGATTCCTTTCAGATAATATTTCACCTTATTTAGAGAATTGATAATAACATTATTAATTTCCAATGAAAGTAATTACTTTTACAATAATTTCAATTTTCTTGAACTATTATAGTTATTAATACAAAGAAACTCAATTCATAAGTACAACGAGTGTATTATAATTACATTGTGTATGTTAATCGAAGATAGATCTAGAATGAAATATCTTTTAAAAGAAAATAAAAATTAAATTAATTTTATTGCAATATTATAAATAGTGTAAACATATTTATTTCAGAAAAGAAAAGTATCTCGCTTATATCGAGAAACAAACATTGCCAAACAACAGTTAAATTCTATAAAATTGAATTATTGAAACGAAAGTACGTAGCAACGCATAAGAGTATTTTATTTTCAAATTTAATCTGAATAAACGCAATAAATTTAAAATAGACTCTATATTGATATTATACAGCATTCCAAATTTTATTATGCGTATATTGTTACAGATTTGTGGATTAAAATTCTCAAATCTTGTCGATGCTTGAAGAATTAACCTGTTTAAAAAAATAAATTTTAAAAACCAATAAATATTCATGATCTATAATATACTTTTTTATAGGTATAATTTTAAGGTTTTTTTTTTGTTTATAATTATTCCAATTCTTAATTCATAATAAATATTTTAAAAAACTCGAACTATTTCCGATGTATATATGATATACACGTCTTGATATTTCTTTAAAACACGCCATTTTAGATACAAAAATGATTAGATTGTGTTTTTGAAGATTGCTTTAGCCGAATCATTTAAGTATTAGAGTTGATTCGAAAGACATATCGAAGAAGAAGAAGAAGCACTCGAAGGATCTTTGAAAATATTTCTTCATGCACGAAGTTGAAGTAAGCGTACTTTTTCAGATTACGATCATAGAAAATCGAATGTCAGGGGTATTAAAAGCCCGTTAGTCGCCCTCAAACTGGCGATTTGGCGATGAAGAGTTCCTTTTTCTCCGTCATTGCTTCTTCTCCTACTTCTCACCTTTCTAAGTGATTTATTCTCACCTTCATTATTGAACGACGCGTCACGTTTCTGCTCATACTTGTACAAATTTCCAGCTACGTATGTATACAAGACAAAGGAAAAGTAAAGATGCCCTGGTATTATACTAAATCCATCTAAGAATTCTAGGATTATAATATCGACAAATGATAATAGGCATTTCCATTGAGGTCGTATCCACGTCCGACTATTCAGGGTTTTTAAATTAACACATGGAATTTAAGTATGGAGTTTTAGATTATATTACTAATTAGTCGAGTGTTAAAATAGAAAATGAACATTAATAATGTATTTCTGGTAATATTAATGTCATTAAAAATAATTTGAGTATGAAAGTATGTAGGTAAAAAGTAATTTTACTTTACATACTAATTCTTATTTTAAGTTAAATGAACATTTTTTTTCCTCTTTGTGAAATTACATTCCATGTGTAGAATATAGATCTTTGCAGTTTCTTGTTACTATCTGTCGTGTAATATGTATAATAAAAGATCCAATGCATAATTAAATAAACATAGTCGTAGAAAGTAAAAATTCATTATTTATATTAGGTTTATAATATATTTTTAATTTATTACGTGAAAATTAGATAATAAACAATATATTCTGCGTACAGAATATCATCTAATCATACATCCTAATTGTACACCAATTTACAAATTCAATTTTACATATTTACAGTTTTAATATATATTAAATTCGTACTTGCGGAATAATTAGCTAAATTTTATTTAAAAGAAGATAAAAGTATCAATTTCAAATGTTTATTAATTTTCAGAAACTAATTAATATTTTTATTTTTTACACATTATAGGTTTGCACAGTTAGGGAGTCACATGAGTGATTTTATTACATTCTCACTTTTAACGCTGATTGAAAATTCAATAAATGTTATGTTTTTATTGCTGAATATAAAATGATAAGTCTATGCATATATATATATATATATATATATATATATATATATATATATATATTTCTATGTGCACACAAATGAGCATGCGCGCAGGCACACACCTACACACACGCGCGCACCCATATTAATTTCTTAATAATTTAAATCAATTTGATTTAGTATATTAATTAATAAAATTCAATAGAATTATCGAAACGTATTGAGTAATTTATGAAAAACAGTGTTTTAATATTTATAAATTTATATATTTTCAAATACATATTATTTTCTGTTTAACATCTTGAAATAGTATTAAAATTAAAAATAAATAAATATATATAGTATTTTATAAATTTTTGGAAAAATTTTCTATATTATAATAATACAATTAATTTTTTCGACATCAAAGTTTCTCGATTACATTTTTTCATCAAATTATATCATTATTCATCGTTATATATATTTTCTGTTATTAATTTCATTTATATATGGCAATGTACATTTCTTCCCATACTTGCTCACATTTAATTACATTCGCCTTCTCGTATCTTGTCTCCCTATATTTTTCAATATTTAAATGTTCCCTTAGTCAATTCCAGCTCTTAATAATTTATAATACTCGCAATGAATTAATTTTTATTACATTTATTACATCTATTTTTGGTACTCATTAGCTTCTCTTTTATATAAAATGAATATTACTACAAAAAAAATGCATTTGTATTGTATTAAAGGATTTTTACTAATAATTGATATTACTATTATAATTAATAATACTAGGAATACATTAATACGATTATATTATATATGAATATTCATGTGATATTATTATATTTATAATTTATCAATTTTTATAATTTATTTATATAATTAATTTATATAATTTTTATAATATATACAATTTTATAATCAATTTATATTTTATAATAAATTATTTTTGAAGTACCAGACTTTACCGAATTCAAAATCCGTGTCTCTGTAAAATACTTGGTCAGATTGACCCAGTGATTTTGGCGACGAATAGATGTATCTATCAGATGGAATAATAATTCAGCTATATGCGCACTTTTCATAACTTTCATCGAAAACCCACTGAATGGGCTGAATCCAGTTGCTAATGGTTCAACTCAAGTAACTATGGGAGCAATAAAGCACAACTCAGTAATCTTCAGTCCACAAAAGGAAAAATACCCACTGTTGTTGGTTCTCACGGAATAAAGAGATTCCGCGCGGAACCGTCAACCAACTACCCCGTCAAAAAGAAAACAACACATAAAAAGGCAATATCGGGTTAATCGCCATCGTGTAATCGTTACATTTCTGCCTCGGTCATTCAATTTCACTTTAATCATTATACTTTCGGCACCTTCTTGTCACTGCAATCATCACTCAATACTTTCAAAACATTAAACCACATTACTTGATGCATTACATCCGTACATCCATTACATACTGAACAGAGTCATGAAACGACGAATTACTAAATTACGAATGATGCACATACGCCAATAAAAAAGCTGCATGCAATTATAACTGTGATTAGTTTGCAGGAACGTGCTATCGAAGAGATAAGTGATCCATACACGGGCGGACACACTCTCTTTCAATCCATCTCCTTCAATAAATAAAGTATTTGTATATTACTAATTAGTAATATTATTATTTTTATCTCTATTCGTAGGCGATTTAAGATGCTCTTACTGCATAAATCGATACAGCAATACTTTAATAATTTACATAATTAACAATTAGATTAAATCGATGATTACTGGTGTCAATGATAATTATATTTATTTTCATATACATCATACGTTATACAATAAAAGAACATGAAAATTAATGCACACCTGTTTGCCTATAATTTTTTTGCAATACTTACTTCGTAAATTATAACATTAATTGCAATGATGATATGATTAAAGCTTTATTATTCATAAATACTTTGTAAGATCATTTTAATTATAATTATTACATTACTTCGCAAACGCAATTAAACTTAATTACCAATAAATAATGAATAATCTAATAGAAGAGAATTGAAAGAAAACAGATTTATAGTAAGTATTCATTTATATTATATCTTGTATATAATGATCGCACTTGAATTCATCGCACAATCAATTAATTTCTAAAGTTATTTTAAATGCCATTTAATTTTAAGAAAAATAACGAAACATTGTCAAAAACTGCATAAATACATATATGCGAGTTTGTTGTTTGAAATATCGTTAATTTAATAGAGTTCACAAACTATAGTTATTAACTTTAAATATGCTACTATATAATAAATTCCTTATCTTATTAAAGTAGTACATTATAATATCATAAATTTCTGCAAAATAAAAAATTCTACGAGTTCAAAGGCTAAATATATAAATAAATTTTTATACAACATTTCAATTTATGTGACAGTGTAATCGAGGTTAATGCTCTCTTGAGAAAAGATAAAACTAGAAAATTATTGATTTAATAATAAAAAAAAAAATCTTCTTCACATAATCAAAAAATATTACAATAAATTTAGGTATTTTACGATTGTTAGTTTCGTTCGTTTACTTCCATTTTTACTATTTCTCTCCAATAATTACCCGCATAAGACGGCAATTTCTCTTCATAAACAAATAGATATGAATGGTAAACATGAAAATAATATTTTCTGCTCTTTATTTTCTCTCTTAAGGTGAGAAAATAAAAAATAAAAATTATACGTTAGTGTTATATGTACTCTTAGCAAAATTTCTGATAAGGAATTACACGGTCAATAACTTCAAGACTAATAAAGATGTTACAGTCGGATAAAATCGATTATTTGAAACTATAAACTTTAGTAAATTCATGGATAATATCAATTATAAAATAAGCAGGTCAAAAGAGTTGGAGTACAGTTTAAGTTTTCGTAGGTATTAAAAAAGAATATATCATTTCTTTTGATAAGTTTACAAAACTAAAAAAGGATATTTTGTAAAAATCTCAGTGGTGTTTTTAGATTGGCCAATGGGACTTGCAAATATTTATATTATAAAATTAAATATTATGCTATCATTTAAAAAAGTATATTGCATACACACACAGATATATATAAATAACTTGAACAAATAATTCTTGTATTTTTAATAAATTAATACACATACTAAATTATTGAAAAATTATTAAATGCTTATTCTTATATAATTATTTATATGTCCAGAAGCTCTTTAATATTTCCATACAAAAAGTTAATTTACATAAAAAAAACCAATTTGCCAATCTCTAATACTTATAGATTTATGAATTCTATTTACCCATTAATAGAAAATATAGAAGCCAAAAAATATGTACTATTCGAATATTTCATTTATATTTTGTAATTACGCTCATAGTAACTAATGACTAATACAGTATTTGTCAATCAGTAAAACAGAATAGGTATTTTTTTATAAATAAATACATTGTTTTTCTCGAAAGGGTGCAAATAAATTTAGCATTTATTAGTAATTATAAGCAAAATTTATTTTATCTAAAAAAATTTTTCATTTACCAATTATTAATTCACAATAAGTTTTGATTTGTTTTAATTATTTTATTATGAATTTATTAATTCCTCTGCTTTCTTTAGAATTTTAGACATTTTATAATCTTAATATTTAATATAAAATTTACATCGTCAACAAATTAAGCTTACACTAGGAAACGAATTTTCCATTATTTGCATGAGAAGTACTTTATAAATTAAGGAAACACAATTTTGATTATATATCTCTTAGTATATATTTGTGTGAAGCAGTTATTAAATTATTAAATTTGGAAATTACAGATATATCACTTCTCGTACACATAATATCATCGAAAAAACAAATAAGAAACAATTCAAGTAGCAAATATAAAGACGGCACAATCCTCTAAATCCCTTTATGGCCCTTCAAATATAATGGTCGCACTCTCGTGCATAAAAGATCGAAAAGTGAATAACTTCTTTCATGGATGAACGCCATTATGCAACTTGCAATATTGTTTGCGTAGTGATAGTTCCCGATTGATAATAGAATCGCCCGTTAGAGTTGAGAAAGCTTCGATCTCTCCCACCACTGTAATCCTGGCATCGGTCCTCTTATAAGTTCGAAATAATCAGTTATATTTTCTTTGTTTGACGAGATCCTTTTGACGGCTATTTTCGTGCTCGCTCGAGTTTATAGATTTATGGCAATGACACGTGCATAATTTTCACACACTTATAAGCTACAGAGAATTCGTGATAAGTTTAAATGTGAGTTACAAATAAATTATATGATTTATTTTTTAATTTAATAAACAAATTTTATGCCCGTGTGTGAAGAATTCTTGTCATTTTCAATTTCCAATAACCAGGGATGATACTTGGGGTAATACCTTTTTTTTACAAATCAAACAAATTCATTAATATTTATACTGCTTATTCCTTTTTTTCTGTTTTCTTGACTTATTAAAATATGAAAAAAGTTGATAAATGAGAAATGTAGTTTGGGTAAAAAAATTTATATTTCTATGTGAAATATATCTTACCATATGATTGAAATGAATGTAAATAAATTTCGAAGTCATTAAAAAAATTAATATTAAAACGTGTAATACATTCTTGTTAAATAGAATTTATGTAACTTTGAAAATTGCAGTTTGAGCTTATTATGTTATTCAATCATTTTAGCGTGTGAAATATAAGAATGAAATATTTCAAAATGATTTTAATTTAAAATTTTCAATTTATGACAAACTTTGTATTAGTGTATTAGATGATATTGAATTTTTATTATAATATTTAAAATTTTAAATATTAAATAATCTTGATTACTTGACGAATTAATAATATACGCATAGTCATTGGTTATTATATAACTCATTGAATTTAAGCTATAAAAATGTATTATTTATTTCATACACAATATTAATTAATTTTAATAAATCATTTTCTAATGGGAAATGAGTGAATGTCCGTTTCGATTCGATACTTATAAATTATATAACATGTGCTCTATTAAAATAAAATTTACACTTAAAAATTCAATTATCTTAATCAGATATATACGTTAATAATATTCCTTATTCGAAAATATTATCACTCGATACAATTAAAATAAGGATGAATTTCATAATTTCAGAATAACTTTTAGCGTATTGTATAGTATAGGTATTATTTTCCGCATTGATGACTCAATCAGAATTATCGCTTTTTCCGTGGGAATTCTCAATGAATAAGCTGTCATGATTCGTTTAATATTATATAGAAATAAAAATTAGTCACTATGCTTTTGAAAATTGAGGGTTTAATAAAAACTTTAAAATAAAACTTATTTGCTTTTTCATTCTTAAAATCATTTTGCAATACTATAATATCAGTAACGTTTTATATTATAATAATGTATAGAATTAATTTAACAAGCATTATTTTTTAATTTTAAAGTAAAACATTGAATAATGTTCATTGTCATAAACTATCACTAAAAATAGTGGATTTCATGAAAAATTCTGTTTATAAACTATATTTTTAGCTATTAGTTACTCTCAATTTTGTATTTGTAATTTTTTATTATAATGTTTATATATATAGTAGTGTAATTGTGTATAATAATTTAAAATATATTTAATAATGATTGTGAAAAATAACAATAATTTTAAAGCTTAAATATTATCTTTAAACAATCTATAGTCAGATTTAAAAGAATAAATAAACTGTAAATCCTTATATTTTAGCGGTATTTATAGAATACGAAATATTTCACTTATACAGAAAATATTAAAATATTCTTATTAGCTCATAAACAGATATAAGTTGATAGAGCTTTAATGATAAAACAAGAAAAATTTATTACTCTTACTTGCAACTCTATTTTAAAAAAATTAAATATTATGTTTACTATATTATACTCCGTAACATTATATAGAGATATGTAACATGAGAGTCTACAGGCGTATGCGAAAACCATTATGAATACATGGTATCATCAAGTTAAAGGGAATTATTGTAAATTTCGTCAATTTTCATTATTCAAGATCCTTTGAAATAAGACTGCGGAAGCACGACGGAACACATTGAGAAAATCATGTTCACGTTGCACTTCAAATACTTGAGTATACTCTTAGCTATTTCGCTCCTAGCATTAACTCAAATATCTTCTCGTGCCTTGGACTTGCCGCTCATCTCTGTTAATAGAACACCTATCATTGACGAATTTGAAACCCCACGCACAAATTCAACGGCTAATGATACAGTTAATTATAATGATTTTGCCAGCGCGCCGAGAATTGCGAAGAGACCATTTGTATTTACGAGAAATGGATTAGACGCAGCACGCAAAGTACGTAAAGTTACAATTGCAATTATTATTGATAATTCATGTCAACATAAAAATATGTCAATAATATATCTGCATAACCTTGTGCTATAATATTAAAAAAATGCTTTAAATTGTGCTAATATTAACTTGTTTTCAATGCAATTAATAATTTTTTACTAGTAACTTTTTTAATAATTAATTTTTTGAATATAAAATTTTTCAATTTATAATGATATAATAATTTCAATTTTATACTTTTATAGATATATGACTAGCAAACGTATAACAATTTAAGTATTTATTCTTCATTCGTGATATAAATTTGAACATTTTTTTGTCTATCTAATAAATTCCTCCATCTTAACAATCAAATAACTTATGCTGAAATACTGTAAACATTATCTTACTAAACCTTAGAAATAAAATGTATGCAATTAGCTTATTTATCAAAATTTTCTATGATATTTGCTGTAGGATTTAAATATTAAACAATTTCATTTCTTGTCACTCTATATTAATTTATCAAAATTACTTTTTTATTTATAAAATTAAACACAAATTTTCCAGCTATGTATGTAACGATTGACATTCTAATACCGAATAAAAATCTTTAGACTAGAACATTTCTATTTTAATTACAAGTGCATAGCTTTTATTTAATAGAAATAATTTTTTAATTATGAAAATACTTTTCCTCTTAGACGAAGTCGTATACGTTTAGGAGCACTAGAGGCAGTCCAATGGGACGAGTTCCATGGACACAGAGTGAAATTGGAAACAAAACGGAAAATCCTATTCACGCAGGCACGATTTTAAGAAAGCAATTGGGTGTCCGGTATAAGTACCCTAATAATGAAAATAACGGATACTATTCGAATGTCGTAGAAAACGAACAACAGTCTCAAGATTATGAATCTGGTAACTTTCTTTATATCTTAGCGCATTTCCAAAGAATTTTGTATTTTATCATTGACAAACATTTTATCAACATTACAAAGTTATTGATTTTCTTAATATCTGTAACTAATAATCAGTGAAATTTACAGAAGACCTAAAGCTTCGTTAATTTTACTTACTCATCCTTAAATAAATTTCATACATTAGCATTTAAACTTACGATAATAGCATTGACATAAATTTCGATGCTTTTTATGTTACAATATTGACATTTTTATAAAAATATTATCAATATTTAAAATATAATTAATACAATAAAATACATTTTTTTTCAGATTATTATTCCGAAGATAATTATCATACCATGTCCGATGATCAAAGCAGCAGCAATTTTGAAAATCTTGAAAGAGATCCTTGGCGTATCTCGTATAGTTTGCCAAATACCGGATACTTTTTACCTTCGATGTCGACAAGTTCTATCAATGACAATTATCCTGGTTAGAATTTTTATTATATTATACATATTCTTTATGTGTATAGACACACCTCCCTCCCCCCTCCAAATATACGTGTACAAATATAATTTTATAAGTTTAATTAATTTATTAAACTGAACGCATTATTACCTCAGCTGATTTAAAAATTAAATTCTAAAATTTTCGAAACATTAATTCTAAAAATAAATTCTATTTGTGCATAGTAATGCTCCGAGGATGCGATTGCCCCAGCAGATCAACTCGATCACACGAATGTGGAAATCCATCGAATACCTTTCTGAATTTGGTATTTATTCTTGGTCAGAATGTTTGGACTCTGATACGACTCATCGTCAGTAGCAGTGTCCCCTTCATAATACCCTTCGTCCTCCTTAAACTTATTATTATTCCTTTAAAAATCCTTAAATTTATCAAACTCATTAAGCTCTTCTTTAAATTCTTCGTCGTACTACCTTTCCTTCTCCGCTTCATTATTCCAGCTTTCTCCAACACCTTTAACCTGTCTAATTTCCTCTTTCAAAATTTACTCGGCATCCCTTTATCCTATTCCGACCCCCGTCAATCGCACGCTCATGATAACGACGATAATATTGACAGTTGGAACAGCACAAATACATCGTCAGCTTTTGAGAAAGAAATTAATTGGAGCAACGGAGACATGTGGGATTTAAGATCTTGCCCCAGCAGACTTGCCTGCGAGTTAGGCGCATTCCTCTCGACTCCAAGCGACACATTCGCGCTACAAAGAATTGCCAATTATTTGTTAAAAGTGGCCGGATGGATGAAAGTTAAAAATATGAATGCCGATACCGTTGATAACAAGGAATTTACTGAGAATATCAACGCGAATCGTGACGAGCAAAAGACCGAAGTCTTGAAAGCTTTTTTAATAGCGCTGAGTAAAAGCTGGGAGAAAGATAAATGTGAAATATATGATTGTGCGATGTTCTTTGAGAAATAAGCATTGTACTAGTATTATTTTTTAACAATTTAACGTTTTTTAGTTTGTTTAAATTGGAAAAATACTGTATTGAGAAGAACTTGGAAGTTCTATGCTTTACAGTTCTGGATTACAAACAATTACTTACCAAATATACTATTCAAGCATAACAGTATTATTAAATTTTAACATAAACAGTGTAATTATTATTGAATTATTGCAAATATAATAAGTTATATTGTAAAGGAGGCAAGTTTTAATTAATGGTATCGATGATGGAATTAAAAATAGGAACAATGGAAGAATTGCACATGTATTTGATAGATGAATAATAGGATTTAGTGAAATGGATATTGGATAAATATATTGTAATTTCCCAAATTATTTTCAATTTATGCCTTTATAGATTATTTCACTTTACTAAATACTTATAAAGACAGGTAACGCAGGAATTTATTAGAAAATAATTAATAAAAACAAAAACAATAACAATATTAAAAATAGTAATAATAATAACAATATTGCTACTACTACTAATAATAATAATAACAATAATAATAATAATAATCATAATAGTGATAATAAGCAATAGTATAATTATTGTTAGCAATAAATCAATTAAAACAGAATATTTTTCAACGATATTAACGAATAATCATTATTCTCTCTATCACTAGCATAGATTATTTGCAAAGGTTTCATTTCTTTTTATTTTCTTAAATACATCTTAGTGCAACAAGTGTACAAATACGAACTCTTACGTCAATAAAATAGTTGCGCAATAATTAATAATTGGTTATGTATTTCTATTTAACAAGTTTATGTGTATATGTATTTTACAAATATACTTCAAAAATACTAGTCGTTAAAAATTTTGGCCATTTATATATAAATTTTTGCCTCTATTGATTTCATTTACATATTAATTATTTATGTATACTTTTATGATCCTTATTCATTGTCCACATTTAATGCAAATTAACTAAATGTACTTATTAATCTACTATATAATAAATATAATTAAATAAATAAAAAAATAATATTTATTTATAATCTGCATTTTATTTAAGTAAATATTAATTTCTCGTTCGGTTTTAATTTACTTGTATCAGAAGCTTGTAATTAGTGCAGATATTTAAAATATTATAAAACAAAATTCTACAATTTTTTATTTAAATATTCGATAACGAGAATTTATTAATTATACATTTACTGTGATGATTCTCACAGAAGCATAACATAAATAATCTTATAAAATATTTCTAATCCACCCCCGCCCCCAAGTGAAATATATATAGGGGTATAAAATAGTTTAAACAAAAACGTTAATTTGTAAAAAAAAACGTTCGTTTAACTATGAAAATGATGTTGCAGCCGGTAAAATTCATGTATTATAGGTTTGAAAATGATATTTCACAATATGTAAACACGTTACTTACAAATTCATACACAATCTTATTTTTAAATTAATCTTTTGTAATAAAATAAGCCAATATTCGTAGAGAAATTGGTCATGATTTTAAATAGAAGGCATACGGGCCAACCCATATGCGAAGATTTTTTCCATTCAAATCCGCTTTTTCAAGCGCAATGGCTTTATTTAATTGACTAAAAGGGATTTCCGCTGTACAGCATTATTTTTTTCGTCCTCGAAATATTTTTTAACCAGTCTATTTGTCTTCTCATTATCTCGGTGGCTAGATATTCACACAGGCTAACTGTATGGTCAGCTCGACAGGTGTTTTACGAGTTGATTCTGCACTTTAAAACCTTTCGTGAACACATTGTGACGTCGGCCAAAGTCAATATCTGACAACCATCTGTCAATTCAAGGAAATATTTATGACAATCTGACGTTCTCTGATGTTCCTGAATAAGGTCGATGTACTCGATGGTAGGTTTAACCTTAGCCTGAGAAACTGAGGCAATGAGGTTTAATATATGTACATGCAATCTCTCGCTATTTATTTGAATTTATTTAGTTATTTGTATACCTTACCATTTCGTATCTCGGGAATTCATGGGTTCAGTTAATATTTTTATTTCCTTTATTTACTCCTTGCTGGACATAGACATTTTTAAGGTTTTGTCAAAATATTGGTTTGTATTATTTATGTTGGTATAGTGTCGCAATTCGCCGTGTCTGTCAAGGCTACATCCGACAGTATTCTAAGGCATTTATGTACACATATCAAGTTGTTTTTGACTCGTTGCTATCGCGTTGAAGCGAATGTACGCGTGTACTTACTTATTCATGAGGTAACATTTTTAGGCGATCCATGTAGATTTGTTCTCATTGTCTATGTAATATCTCTAACCTTGACATAATATTGTTGCTTACATCATATTTAATGGGCAGACGAAGGTCATTGATTCAATTCATTTTAATACAATTATAAATGAATGTACATTTTATTGAAATTGAATATTAATGATGAATTTAATTTTTAAAGTTTCAAAAATTCTTTATTATGCGTATGAAATCTGTATTTAAAACATAAAATTTTCATATTTCGTTAGTAAATATTGTTAGTATTGCACTCAATTTGTACGAGAAATATATTTTACTTTGTAAGCGGTATTAAAATAACATTAAATAATATTAAAAAATTCTTAATATAATTAAGAAAATATAAACACTATCAATTTTGTTTATTAGCTTATTAAATTCATGTAATCACGTATGCAAACTCTTAAGAATTTATAGTCGTATAATAAAAATTAATATTTACATTCAGAAAAGTACACTTATAATAATGAGAATAGTAAAGTATTAAAAGTGCATATGAATAATAGTAATAATAATATATGCATGTTGAATGTGATTAATTGTTGATTTATGGATTTATAGAAAATTAGTTCAAGTTTATATATATATGTTTATTTGTAAATACAAAGTTTTCAATAATTTTATCATACGAATACTTATTAGCAATTTTTAAATATTCACAAGTTTGACTTTTCGAGTTATCATATATCTTTCTCTTAATATACAATTTCATCTCACGTTATACTTAATATTATAATATATAATTTAATATATACTTTATAAATTTAATATATCTTTTAGAATAGAATATCTGATTATGATATACAATCGTTTTAAAGCGATTGCAAGTAAAAAGTTATGGAATATTATCAGATCGATAAAGTAGATAATAACAATATTTTTATATTTCAAAGTCATTATTATATGTAAAGACGAGTCGAAACTCTTCAGGGTTCAAGCATCGGTGCAGTTTCCGTGTGTGATTTATTACTCGAACCGAGAGGATATTTCCGCGCGGATGAAGGCGTTTGACGTCTTTTACGATAGAGCCCGAAGGGATTTTTAGCTTTTCTAAAAATCCTGGATGCAGAGATGCCGAGAACAGGAAAATTGGCGTGAGAACAAGAAAATTGCTCTTTGTTTTGTTCATTTACGGATTCTGAATTTATCGGGACGACTTCTATAGTCATTTGATTTTACTAAATACTATCTATTTTCACATCTACAATCGAAAACTTACCAATTAAATATATCTTATTATTATGTTACACCAAGTTTTTAATGATTTGGCTTAAAATAATTGAATGCAATAAATAGAATAATATTAAATATTGAGATTAAAAATGATCTGTAAATCAAATTAGTTACTTCGCTGTAATACATGAAAAAAGATGAATGACAAAGTTATTTATTATAATTTCATGTTTTCATTTAAATTAGTTTTAACATTATATAAATAACTCAATATTTATTACTTTATTTATTACATATATATAATATTTACTATATTATAAAGTAAGGTACGCAAAAATATATAGATATAAAATTTATATCTATATAATAGTGATTAGTAGAAAAGTTTAGATATATAACAAAATGTATAATAAAAAATAAGAACAAATATGCATTAAATAAAAATTTAAACATTTACAAGTTTACGTGTAAATTATTTAAAATTTTGTGTTAGAAATAGGAAATTAAGTTTTAACAATGTTATTACTGTGAAATAAAAAAATATATATATAAAAGTCATTGTTCTTCCACGTTATCTTGGAAATAAATAATAAACATCCACATTAACCTAAAAAAAACTGACGTATAAATGCTGGCTCAATGCCGACTCCTAAAATAGAATAAAATGAAGTATGTTAGCATCAAGTAGAAAGAAATATAATATTTCATTATTCATATAGTCATTCCAGATAATCAAATGTAACCGTTAATTAACGTTTCATGAAATTAATTTGAATTTGTTACATTAACGTGAAAAACTTTTTCTGTGATAAACATAATTATAAATATACTTATTACAAAACTTATAATTTAGAATTAAAAATTGAACGAATTAAAAATTTGCACGTTGCCAAAAGGATAAAAAATTTAAAATAGCTCTCTTTATTTGTGTTAGATTCTATTACTGTGAACGTTTACACAGGTACATTGGTTTTTTATTTTCTACATAAAATGTTCACATTTAATGTAAACAGCATTATTTTTACGCGTTACTATATGCGTAGTAAATAATTCTTCCATTTTTAGAGCAATAATGAAAGATGTTAAGTTATTTTTCTTAGTTAACGTGCCGCCGTGTCACCGTGCCACCGAAAATAGATAAAGCATCTTTAGCGACTACATTCATTTCTATCGATGAAAATAAAAAGGAAATAATTAATTGATGTAAAGATAAATTAGCGAGTGTTACAACGTTTTTTAGAGCAAAATAGTGGTGATTCGGCTTTATCGCGAGCTGATTACTCAATTTTGTTCAATGTTGTGGGCTTGAGAAGTGCATATCGGTAGGATGAAAGATCGATAAAAGGGTCGCATGAGTGGACAATGGCAACAGTCATTGAGAAGCAATTTCGTGTGTCGCTTTTCCTCACTGATGAAAAAGAGCGGACGATGTTTGTGAAAGTGTTGATTGTATCCTTGTATTGGCGCGACAACGAGAAGTTAATCGAGACTGATAATGGCAATTGGCGGCACTCCAATTGGATCGATCCTATTGGGACTTTCTTTTATAGGCTTACACAGTATCGGAAGA